TACACATTCATTATCTGGCCCCTGATCTCGCTCCCACTTTTATAGCCGAAAGACACGCATGTAAGTCACTGTTTTTCGCTTCCATTTTGAGTCTTCGACAAACTTCGGAACACTTTGACACCATGTTCCCATATATCTTAAGTCGCAATGTTTTTGAAAACAGTAATAAGAGCATGCGCAAACACTCCGTGGGCGCCAGTCCTCATTGCATGTCATTTTTAAAACAATAAAAATGTGACAGTGCGTGGGGCACGACGTTTTGTACACGATAACAAATAGTTGTCAACAACTGAAACCCTATATAGTCTGTGGACGCAATGGTTGTCACTGCAGTTGTAACCTACGATCAGGCGATCTTGGGCCTGATCGCAGGTTACTGCAGTTGACTTTGGTTATCACCCACCTATTTCCTACACACACGAAGATTCCTAAACACAGTGCCGTATGTAAATTTTGCGGGGGACGGTTGGCCTGTCACTTTTCAAAATCCCAGGGTACGAAATATGCATTTATTTAAAGTTCATTCGAAGTTTCAGATGTGTACATGAAGTCTCAGGTGTCTGAAAAGATTTCCCAGGCCCCATGAAAATGGTGTTGTCTTCGTTAAGTCGCAATAAAGTAGGATCTGTTCATATACTTTCAGGCAGTGAATCGTAAACCGATCATATTGTCAAGATATATTTTTAGAATCGCCACGCGCGAACAAATTCGCCGGGTGGAAAAGCAGAAGTCTGCTATACTTCAAGACTAAATATCAAGATCTGTTCAGTGGAATTCCATTACAAACTGCAAGCTATACACACATCACTACTCTCTTAATCAGGCGCAATACTAAATCCATACTTTCATTTTGTAGAATTCCATTGTGAAATCCATGCACTTCCCAAGAAGTGTTATATTTCCAATATGTTGATGTTCACAATAACAATTACATATTGAAGCTTTGAATGCAGAAACGTGCTCCAATACTCACCTTCAATATATAGTCTTCAACATATTCAAGTTTTATATACTGCGTTGTGATAAATTAGATTGCTGATTTAGCAAATTGCATATATCAAAGTAAAACTACAACAATAAGCAATCATTAAATTTTTGTAAATTAAATCCAGGCTGTATATGTCAAGCGCATAAAAGATGGCCAATTGGCTATGATGATAGTTGAACAATGTTGCTTTCAAGATTTAACCTATCACCACCCATTCTTGCAAAAGAACTTTTAAGTCTATATAATAATATCTTTTACTATTTTTTTGTCAACAGACCTTTTTATATTGGTGGTAAAATAAGAATGTCATGTAACCATTTTCTAATTCTGAAAACATTTTCGCATGACCTTTCATCACCATGCATGCAAAATGGCTATATAATATTATAAAGGTATATATAGCCGTGCAGGCAAAATTATAGATCAATCTCTCGTGCAATAACTAGTATATAGCTATTGTGTATGCATACACACCATTTGAAGATGTTTGTCTCGATGTTTTGCGAATAGTAAGCTTTTATATAATACAATTTTTGTAGACCTACACTTTCTCAGAACTTGTTCAAATCTCCCTCTGTCCTATACTCTATGTGGGAGTATACGGTTTTTATATATATAGGCTACTCCCTAAGTAATTCAGCACTTAAAAACATTGTTTCTTTATGGGTATTTTGTCATTAGACATTGAATATGAGAGCTTGAGCTCTTTTAATACTTGATCCCAGTCCTCTTCTGATTCCGGAATCAAGAGGGACTCATTTAATACATAATTTCATGTAAGTTGCAATGCTTACCATACGAGTGGTCTAATAAATGAAATACACACTTAACTCTAGAGATAAATTTAAAATTCTCTACTGTCATACAACATATATCAGTGGCATTGTCAGGTAATATTGGTACAGGAAATGGCGATAATTAGATATTATTCTACATTAAGGAAATTCGGCTCTCTTATAGTCAGTTTGAAATTCACTTTAAAATTATAGGAACACCTTACTTCAAAGTTATTTCGCACTGAAATAAGCATCCCTTAATTGTAGTTGAAACTATCCTTTTAATTGAAGTTTCATAACGTCTGCATACTTGACTCATGTGAAATTTTTCTCTACATAGCTATAAAATATTGCAATGATCGTTGTTACATTGGTCAAGATAGACAGAAGCAGTCAGGGCCAATATTTCACAATCTGCAATATAAAAGCTGTTGTCAGTGTGTCCATAATGGGATATTTAGTTTCCGATTTAACTCAGAGTACAAAAGACATTTCTTGTGTCTTAAAGAAGACTCGCTTGAGTGAGTATCGCAGTACACAGCGCAGCGCGATCACTTTGAACGAGACACTAGCCCTCTTGGTACATCAACACAAAACTGGACATTTACATCTCAACATACTAAACGAAAGGTAAGCTGTATGGATTTTTAAAGAGGTGCAACAGTTTTTCTCTGAATATGACAAAAATCACCAACTAGGGTTTAAATGTTCACAACTCAGGTGCTAATTATATATTTTGTTATTTTGTTTCCAAAAGCAAAATATCTTGCATGGTTGTAATAAGTTAGATATTTTTAATTTGGTATAAATCTATAATTGTGTTTCACCATAATACAGTTTATCGAGTGTTTTGACGTATTCAGTTACGATACGCCGCCCGTCAACTAATCCAATTTCTAATGCTATATAATATAGTAGTTTTCAATCACCAATTTAATGTAGTAAAAAGGTACATTGTACCTAATGCAATTAAATCGGTAACTGTAGTTTCCCACGGTGTACTCATTTGGATTCCTTTGTGTTAATATTAAAGTTAATAAAATTCATCATCTAAGCCGTTTCACCACGTAAATACGCCAAAAGACGTGAACCTGAAGGTAGAAACAACACTGCGCTACATTTCATTTTCATAGATTAAAAAATTATACGTTGATCCAATTAGCGCTTGGATGTGTCATGTATAGGACTGTATCAACGAGACAATAATTTTCCTGAAGATTTAGACCTCCTCTTATAAAATTCCTTTAATGCTTTATTTCACAAAGTTTTGGCTAGGAAATCTATATTCATCACGAGATAGGAATGGTAAAATAAAGTGGAGTCTATAGAGATTTCCTGCATGGAGGTGATATATAGTTCTGGTAATTATTGTGAAATTGGTGAGGGAATAACCTCACCTGTATCTTGCAGCAGTTTACAATGCCTAATTAAGATTGTGGTAAGCTAAGATATATTTATATGACAGAGATCAGGGCGTTAAATTAGCAAGGCTCCTGGATTTCGTTGTAATTATAACTGGTAAATAGCCTTATTAAGTATTTCTGACCAATATATAGCCCAAGATTATAAGGTTTCTAGTGCATGAGAAGAGAAAGTGCATGCATATACACTGTACATCTAGTTAGTTGAAAACTAAAACATTAGTATTATCGAACCCTTGTATTTTCCATTTGTCATGCACCGTCATATCAAGAATATACAGGAAATCCTCGATACTTGACTGCAGTGAATATGCCTCTTAAACCATGCACTTAAAATGAGAAAATTGACATCCGGAAGTTAGCACTTTAATGGCAGAAATAGAGTGAGCAGGACAAAGTTGCATTATAGAACCAAAACTTTGTCAGGTTACTCTTGTGCAAATAAAGTACAAAACCGAAAAATGAAAACATCTTGAAAATCCCAAGACATGGACTAAAACTAATAAAATTTAAACGTATATATACTAAATTTAAATGGCTATATTTCAATCATACTATGATGATTCGATCTGTAAAATGATTGTGTTCTGTACTAATATTTCCTGTCTTTAAGTTTTGTTACACTGGTAACTTGGAAGACTGGAAATGCAATATTATAGTCACTATTTCCTTTCATATTCCAAGTTGCAGTTTCAATATCAACCTTTCAAATTTTAGGTATTTATTAACTTTGATTCCGAGATCAGTCAATTTGTGGTATTTAGCTCGGTGAACATAAACATCCAGGTTTCTTATTATTCACACATAAAATGCCTGCCTCACTCAGTGGGAAGGCGGCTTACCCCACAGGCTTGCTCTTCAAACTGCGATCTCTTATGAAACGCAAGAGTTCGACTGACACACGCTGGTGAGAATTTAATAAGAGAAAATATCTCTGCGGGATATATCATCAATACAATGCAGTTAAATTTGCTCGAGATATAGCTTGTTATATATAAATTGTAAGATTCTATTGCCCATTGCAATTGATTGAAATGAAATGGTAAACAGTAGTTGGTTAAAGCAATCGGGCAACATGAGTGATTTATATCTAGCGTGGCTGCATTTGTATATAGTCTTAGAATGAAAGAAAGTTAGAATAAATAACCTACCGGTCCAATTACGAACTAGTTACTAATGACCATTGGTCACCGATTGTAGCTATTAGAAGGTAGTATATACTGTGTTAATAAGTGAAGAGAGTTTCGATAAGTAATGACGGGTATTCTGCACTCAGTTGATGACACAATGGGGCACAATCACAATGGTGATGACACAATTTTACACCACATCAAAGATTCACCGGAAAATCTCGGGTTAGGGATGGGGGCAGGGTTAGAAGCTCGGAGTGACGTCACCACATCAACTGAATGTCATTAAACGAACACCAATATTTTAGATTTCGAAATGTAATAGGTGATAAATGAAAGGCTTGGCTTTCGTTACTTTTCACTAACAATCCCATATATCCATATATAATTATACTGATACTGTATATAATGTTTCAAAGGGTCACAAAAATAGAAAATCTCCACAACCGTCATAGATTTGCTAATATTGTGAGTTTTTGACTATCAAAATATGATTATAAACTTGGTTATGACACCGTACCATTGTACTAGCAATGCGCTTATTCACAATGCACACATATTCCACATACAGTACTATAATATCCAATAATACACCAACGCGGCCTCATTTAATTTCATACATTGATTTAACAGGAAAGGATAACAAATCGCAGCAAACTTGGATTAACAAACACATTCTACATCCATGGATAGCAAGAATTATCCTATCTTTTATAAAAGTATGGACGACCCTGACGACGCCCAAAAAATTGAACATACCAGGAGAGTACGTAGTACAGTTATGACGAGAATTATAGAAAGACCTGTTCCCAGTACAACATCTACGAGCGATACCAGAAAGGTTCTGGGGACATCTTCTCGGCAGTCAAGAACCCGGTATATCAGTGGATTTGACAGTCGACGTGCACAAAGCTCATCACCAGCCCCCAGAGACATGCCTACGGCTATGGACGATGAACCCCCGCCAGACGAGAACCAACCTCCATATGAGAGCGATTTGAAACGAGCTCAAAGCGAAGGCGATCTTTTGGACGGAGATCTTAAATTGGCCAAGTTGAAGAAAATTCGAAGTTTTCCGTCATTGGAAAGGCGAGTTCGGTTTAAATCAACGAATACTGAAAATTACGACGTACCAGATGGTCAACAGGAAGACACGAAGAGACGTTCCAGGTCTTACGATGAACTGAGTTGGAAGAAACCAAGCATTGAGGTGAAGAGAAAAGTTCAACTTTTGCCACAGAAAGAACCTTCAAGGCGAGCAAGGTTGGTATTAAAATTACACCTTACGACGGTAGTGGTAAACCTACTTGATGATAGTTTAGATCGAATCTGATACATAAGCTTGCAGTTCTCATGCAATTAACTTAAATTTTCATCCACGACAGACACTGGAAACGTTCATAATATGAGATTTCGGACCTAAGGTTCCACTGTATAGGCAGTATGTTACAATACGCTGTCGTAGTTTGTGGTTTGTTATCTAAAAAATGATTCAATTTCAAACATTTTTTGAAAAAGATTTTTTTAAATTTGAATCTTTTTCAAGCAGCAAAAATGTTATTAGCCCCTCTCATAATGGGGCTCAGTGGACTCCAGATTATCAGATGTGAAACTTGATAAGATCAGAAAGCTCAAGAAATATTTATCTTTCAGGAGTGCGGATTCGAGTCCTCCCAAAGGAATACTGAAGACGAAAAGAATCACGCAGACAAGCACTATCAGAATATCTGGAACAGTACCGGGACACCAAGGTACAACTTCTCAAACAGAAACACGGCCAACGGACAGCGAACCTACAGCAACCACACAAGATGACAAGATGGACTGGACTCCATATCTAACAAAATCTTCAATAAGCACTGTCAGCACTCTTCCACCTGAAAAACCTAAAGAACAAGTGTTCAAACTCCCAACACGGTATCGTGTACAACAGGACATGGAACTGGAACCCGAGGTTCAACCAAAAAGTATGATCTTCACAAGGAGATGGAAATCAGAACCATTTTTAGTGACTGAAAAATCGGAACGGCGTTCAAGATCCGTCGACTGTCTTCCCTCTGAGAAAGAAACAAAGTTATCCAAAGTTAAGATCGATCTGATAAAACCCATCGACCTCAAGCCACTAAAACCTGCACACTCTATCGGTGACTTGCCCTCACATACAGTCGTACGAACGGAATCAAAGTTTCACATGAAGCCCCAACGATGGAAGAGTAATCCCGAGTTGGCGACTGCTGAAAAACTAGAAGAAATCCATCAACGAAAACCCACACGAGAACTTGAAACAAAAATTGTGCGTGCCCTCCCGGTACATTTGCAACCGCTTCATCAGCCAAAGCCTGCTAAAGAAACCACCTCAGTTAAGACCACTGAAGTGAAAGATGTGTCCATGCAGTTTACTAGCTCCATCCAAACGAAAAGTGAAGGAACCCAAGCACGCTTAGATCCATCCCCACCACTGACTGTGTCTACTGAGCCAGTTTATAAAAGTACCCAAACGGTCTACCAACCAGAAAAAATATATGTACAGGTACCCGCTCCGGTCGTTGTCGAGTTCCAGAAGTCCAACGTGATGGAGAAAAAGCCAAAAGTGAGGCCTCTACATGTGAACGATATAAGATCCTATGACACAACTAAGTACGGCATTAGTACAGAAAAGAAAGAGCCGACTAAGAAACAACAAGCATCCGACAAAATTGTAGTGGAGTACGTCAAAGAACCACGAAAGCCAAAGGTAGAAGAAAGGATGGAAACTGAAATCTGTGAAGACCACACTACTGAAGTAAGATTCAGAAAACAACATGACGAAAGCATGAAAACGAGACAAACTATTCACGTCGGTCGTATTGATGATATTGAAATGGAATCTTTAACATCAGAGGTAAGCTACATTATACATTTACTCTCCACAAGTGGTCAAAATACTTAAAAGCAATTTTGCCAGCGGGAAATACACGATCAAAAGAAAACATTGTTTTAGAATTCAATTACCTGTTATTGGCAAAATCTAAAAACCTTTCTTCCATTAAGGTGCGCGAAATTTTGGTGAAATAAGGAGAAAGCAGAATGAAAGGGCAGATGTGAGAAAATGTAAGAGTGAACATGTGTGTTTCTGAGTGTAGTGAAAGGAGTGAGCAATGTGAAATATACCAGACAGTTCTAATAGTAACAGTAGTTTTTAAATTCTAGCAGAAATGCTGTTCTGCTGTAACAAGATATGATACTTCCGCGATGGTAATTCCTAGCTATCTACAACACGAAAGGCAGAATGTATACAACAACGTTGTTGCGTATCATTTATTGGTGTTTTAAATTTAGTTCTGGTGTAGTTTAGTGGACAAAATTATGGCATGACTAAACTGGGCTTTTAGTTTACAAAAACAACCCTACTCACCAGGAACATTTTGTCCAAAAATCTTATATTACCAGGTGTTTTCTATACATTGTTAAAGATAGTAACTACAATGATCGAATGTTTAGTCCAAGAAAAACTATGTACAAGCAATCTTCATTTTACTTTCTTAATCTAGGAAGACTATCCTGAAACACGAAGAGCGGTAAAGAAGCTAAAAACAACCCATGTCGATTACAAACCATCTGGTCAATCAGAAGAAACAAAACCATATGTGCGAAAAGAACCAGAAGAAAAACCAGTACAAGTTACCTACCGTCGTGATGACTTGACATATGGCAGAATAGAGACGAGCAGAAAGCTTCCTTCAACCCATAGACAAGACAAACCAGTGGCAGTTGACCGTATTACCGTAGAAGAAATCACATTTCCAAGAAGAACAACTGTTACATCAAAAGAGACACATCAGGTAAATTCCTTCATATCTATATACTACCTGGTAACAATTTCAAGAAATGGCAAAATGGTACAGAGCAATTTCTGAAAGCTCAAATAAGCATTCTCGACAGAATTTTAGGTGATCACCTTTTCTGCAACGACCTACCTAAGTCAACCTAAATCTTGAAAAAAAAGTATGCCTACAAAGTATGCCTCTTGCCTTAAATGAATCATAATATTTATCTCCCGCTAAACCTGTATATTTACACTTTCTCTAGCGTCAACAAGGACTGAAACGGAAGAAGGACACTATTGAGGTGAAATATGAAAGACCAGCAAAGGAGGTGACAAAAGTAAGAAGACAAACAACCGAGAAGACCGACATTGGAAGATTTGTGATTGATGAAACGGTAAAGCCAAAGAAGAAAGCGAGACGTGAACCACATGTTGGGCGGATTGAGGACATCAACGTGGAGGAAACACCGAAACAGAACGGAGATTATCCTTTAGAACCCCACATTGGAAGTTTTCTTGTGAAAAGTACGCCCATTGATGAAGAGCCTTGTGAGGTGAGCTTCTATATTAAATAATTCTGGTCAGGCAGTGCTTTTATCATTAAATAATATGGTTTAATTTCCACACTATTCTCTCAGTAATACTATTAGCCTATATTCAAATGTAATGAAAAATGGAGGTAATCAACGTATGATACCTAAAATGAGTTGAAAAACAAATGTATAAAAATTTAACATTAAAGTAGCAGTTAAATTCAATGGATGGTAGATTAAGTGAGGCCGGTTACTGTTGCTGGTGTAAGATAAAAAACTAAAAAATCATGTTACTAAATGATTATATATTTCTATTCTTACACCACCACAACATTACTCTTAGGCGAACGGAAGGGAACAAATTAGGGAGCAGAGCAATATTTGCCCGACCTTGGTGGATATTGCCCGACGAATTAAATTTTTTGTCCCTTCCCCCCCCCCCCCTCCCCCCCGACCTCCTATGAGGTCATTACTTCTTCTATCCTTGTGACAAGAATATGATTAAACAGCTCAACATACCATTTTAGCAATCATATCAAGTTGTAATTCTCCGTCCTTCACGTTTTTCATAATCTTGAGATTCTCGTTTCTGTAAGAAAGAAGAGTCACATGACTGTTCGTGGCATGATTCCTTAACCATCTACCTTGAGTTCATTCATTGCGACAGACTGTCTCTTTGGATGAACTCAAGGCTCATGCAGACAGAAGATGCGCAGCTAAATACGATTGGCGGGATATAACTCATATGTATAACCAAGCACACTAAAACATGAAAATAGTATAGATATAACACTTTAAATTATTGATATATATGATCAAAAACACTAAAACTAAATTTGAAGCATTAAATCAATTTAAGGTGCGTAGAGAAGGAAAGCCTAAACAAGAAAGAGTTGGGAGAAGACAACTACACGCTGAGGACACAAAGTCAGCTAGAGCACAAGTTACTACGGAAAAAGTAACTGTGAGCAGACGCGATGTCACCAAACTAGAACAAATGACAGAAAGAGAATTCCCAAAACAAGATATAGGACGCATTGTGATTGAAGAGATCCCGGAGAGAAAAGTTGAATCAAAACGTGAGACACCTCGGAGAGAAGTCGTAAGAAAGAGAGAACCCGAAATAGTGGCGACAAGACACGAAGTGGTTCCACGAGAGTACGTGAAAGAAGAGGTAATCAAAGTACGTCAAAGTGATTTTACACCTGTGACCGGAAAGGATATAATACAACGAATTGACAGAGTTGATGGTAAAGAGCAGGTGGGTAGTGTGGAACGAAACCCAGATTAAATGAAATCGCATCCGAAATTACCCACATAGCGAGACATATTCCATGTAGTAATGTCATTTGAAAACTTTTACAATTTCTTTCTTACGTGTCAGGCAGAGTAAGAATTTGAAAAACCCCGTGGAAAACACTCGATAGGACTTACTTAAACATCCAAACCCACTACAGATTTTCTGAGTACTCTAACATGAGATCGTGATAAATTGGAGTGAGTCTTGCCAAGATGAATTATTTCCTGACAATGACATAATTATATATTTACACCAAAAACAAACTCTAAAATTTTAAAAACGAAAAAAAAATTATTGAAAAGTTTTACAATCATGGATCATCATGGCCAGAAATCCCGGACATAATTTATTCTAATTCCATAAAACTTTACATATCACTTTGAAATATGCATGCTTTAACTATAAACAGTAGATTGTACAACGCGATGAGGTAAATCGCAAAATCTAAGAATATGGTAGATCGTTTGCAACTTGCCGAAATCGCTGGTGCTAAATCGAAGTTTGTCGATGTATCTAGTAGAATAAATTATGTCCGTGATTTCTGGCCATGAAAAGTATTTCATACATTTTAAAATTAAACTATCCATGGTATAACCTATCTAATTGATCTGAATGTTCTGTTCAATTGAATATACTTCCTTTATCTAAACTCATTGGAACATAACTTTTTTTCTTTTTAATTTGATTTTCAGGTTGAACAAAGAAAAACTGAAACCAAAGTAACAAGACACGATACAAAAGAAACTTCAAAACATAAAGTCAAAGACGAAACAATAAATGTTGGCAAAATACATGTAGAAGAGTTCGAGTTGGCTCCCGAAGAATCAGAAAAAGTGGATGAAAGAGTGACAAAGTATAAAGAAAGAGTGGAAAGTTCTCGCAAGGTATTGTAGAAGGTCTTAATCTTTGTAAGTAGTTGACTGTATTATAATTTAAATCGGTAGTTGGAGACAAATTAAAGGTAGGTAAACATGTTTATGTGCTGTGAGTTGAGGTAAGGATGAAATATCCGTTTCTCAAACCACAGCACGTGAATTACTCACGTTATATAACAATGAACTTGAAATGTTGGAATCACACTTATCGTTATGTAAGCTGTGTAAAGGGAGTGCTATTCTTTTACACGAGATTGCTTAATGCCCCCCCCCCCCCTTCTCCATCATTGTTTTTTTTTCGTGATCATTCCCATACAATCTTTACAATCAAATAATCCTAAAGTAGAGGAATACGCCTATGTACAGGTCTAATATATCTGCACAATTGGTAATGGTCTTATGGATTACTGGGATCACCGTGCACTTTCTGTAAATCTATAAATTATCAGGTAAAAGAGAGTGTTCATTTACCAGTGTTGTGGTCTTACAGGTAATATAAAATGAAACATAAAGAGATAATGGCTTGAACTTGAATTTAGAGTTAGTAAAATTTCATGACATTGTCTGCATAAAAATAACGATTCAATAAAAAATGCATGTTATACTTGCTACAGAATTCTGCTTTTTCTATTTTTTCTGACATGTCTTAAGAAATGAAAGATCAAATCATATTTACTATAGTCTACGGTAGGTATATACAACCATGATAAATGTGTAAACAGTTGAATGAATAGTTTTCTTTCACACTGGCACTATGATTGCACCTCAAACTGCACCATGGATCAGCGCACTAATAATTGAAGATACTACTTTGGTAGTGCGCAAGTCAAGATGATGATATCAAAGTTAGCAAACTAGATGTGCTTGCAAGGGAGAAAACCTCGATTGATTCATGCATCGTGGAAGAAATAGTTACAGAGTTCATACATGAAGTGGATGGACCAAGAAAGGTAGGCTTGGTTACATAAAATCTTTTAGACTACGTTCACATTACGCCAGAGCGAAATAATAACGCTACGTTTTACGTCTGTTCACACTAAGCCGTTAGAGTTTCGGTACGGATTCCCAAAACGAGCTCAAATAGTAAAAAAATTAAAATAGTAATTAAAATATAATAAAAAAATAATAATCAAAATATAATAAAAATACGATAAAGTAATATGGAGCCACCAAGCGCTCCGTTTTCATTTCGTTTCGTATTAGACACCATACTGAAATTATTAATCAAAAGTGACGTTTTCAAACTATTCCGCGCCCTTTTCAAACCGCCAACGTAGTGTAAACTTAGTCTCAGTTGCATAGAATACAAGAAAGTACTTTTTAGCGGTCCAGTATCCATGAAAGTAAAGAAATCCCAATCTGATTGGCTAAATGAAAATAAGCCAATCACAATCAGAGCGGGCCAGTCTTTTTCATCCGGTCAATCTTTTGTCATCCAGTTTTTTCAAGCCGAAAAATCTACGCATTTTATTTACATGCGCACGTATCTTAAAGTGAAAAAAAATCACAATTTAAACTGATATCATAGAGGAAAAAACTTGAAATCGTGAAAAAGGTTTAACGGTAGAGGTGTGCAAATCCGATCCGAAACCAATCCGAATCCGATCCGATTTCGGAACCAAAATATTCATTTCGGATCGGATCAAAATTCTTCGGATCGGATTGGAATTCTTTATCAAAACTCGGATCGGATTCGGATTAGACAATTTCGGATCGGATTTTAAACATTAGACAATTGTCGGATTATAAACGTCCAATCCGGTCCGATGCACACCTCTATTTAACTGCCATGTAAACATAATTTCCCTACCATTTATGTAATGAATTTGTAATAAGTATTGTATACAACAGAACCGCGTCCTTCGGGCTCAGGCCGTTTTCAAAACCTCAGGCACAGTTCTTTTTTAAACAATATGAATTGGTTATTTTAGGAAGAAGTGGATAGTATATCAGACGAGCTAGAATGGCTAGATAATCTTGACGCCAGATACACCCAGTTTGACAAACTTCAACCACAGACAAAACAAAGTCGTGACAATATCACGTCCATCGATCAACCAGATACCACCCAAACTATTACGGTTAACAGGAACACAGTTCGCACGAAACAAAAAACCAACAATCTGCGAGAAGTTGACATTGACTGTATCATAATCCAGGAAACACCTGAGGAACAAAGACAACCGAAACCCATATCACGACGACCAGAAAACGGTAAAACAGAAAATACAGATACACCAATAACGACCTATAGAATGAACGGAAATTCGAAACAAGGTGTGAAAGAAAATACATTGAGAGTGGGAAAACTTGATGTGACAAAGATCGAAGAAAGGAACAAAGAATTTCAAATAATGGAAGAAGAAAGTCGAATGTACCAAGCGAAAAAGGTATTATTTTAATACTAGTCAATTCATTAAAACATATTTTTACATGGCGATTGCATGCACTTGACCCACCTTTAGTCAGGCATGTGATGGTCGTAATGAGATGTCCCCTGGGCATTCCTTTTGGTCCATTGGATGTAATACATATAATTTCTGAGTAGAATCTACTCCAACGTAAATAACGCATTAGAAAGCAACTTTATTCATAGGCATTTGATTTGAATTGCCCTTGAATGGCTTGAGTTTGGTAATAATGTATACTGACTATTAAACCAATCGGATCTGTACGCTTTGTCTACGTTATTATTTTGAATGAATCTACTATACTGTACTTACGATTCTCCAGTTGGAATAATCATTGAGGTTGAGGCGCGGGCAGCGAAAATTAGGGAGACGAGGAGCAGGAAAGGGAAAAAACGCGGTCAAAAACGCAGGCTAAATCATAAACGTCTCTTAAGCAGCAGACGCCCTGGCCATTGGAATGTAATTTAAACCAACAAATGGGCCGGGCAAATAAACGTCTATAGACATCATTTTTGTCCATACTTGAAACCAATGGCAATTTGATGACTATAAGACATCCTTTTTGTTGATTGCATCAATGGAAAAAGTTAATGTGTAGAGTATTAAATAAAATAGTGACATAAAATCAACCGAAGAAATTTCGTTTATGCTGTAGGAGCAGACAATGAAAAAGTTCACAAAGAGAAGAAATGAAAGTAGAATAACGAAAGAACTAAAACGGCATACGTTTTCTAAAGATAATGAAGTGGGCGAAATCTTGGTGAACAACGTATCCACAAAACCAGAAAAAGAGGACTCCACAAATTACAAAGGAACTCCAACCGTTGATGGCGAAATAAAATGCAGCATCGATGTGGAACAATTTGTTTCAATGCCGGATGTTAAACAAAAGGTACTTGGTCTAAATAGACTGTATGTCTGGTACATAATTGGCTACCTCCTAAATAACTAGTATAGTTAGTTTAAAAATACAATTCGTAGGTGGACGTTTTCTTCATATTTTACATGTCACTACATCCTTTAACAAAAATATCATGTTGTTGACCACTATCTACACACAGACCTTTCTCATAATGACGTCAAACGCGGAAAACCGATTTATGCGATGTCCCACAAGTTGGCGAGCTAGTAAATTTCATAAAAACGTCATTTCGAATTGTCGCTAAATATTAATGTCCCTTGGAACATTGCATTAAATTTTTTCCGCGTTTGACGTCATTATAAGAAAGGTCTATATTTGCAACTTTGAAAACTCGCACAAAGTCATCTACAGTCAAACAAAAGAAACTGAACATGGCCAGAAATCACGGACATGATTTATTCTACTTACTTCATAATTTGCATATCACGTTGAAATATGGTTTCTGCAGTAACTAACAGTAAATTATATTACGCGATGCTGTAAATTTCAAAATCAGAGAATATGGTAGGTCGTTTGCAACTTGACTCAGTCGCTGGCTATAAATCAAAGTCTGTCGAAGTATTTAGCGTAATGTTGACTTGATTCTAGTTAGTGACCATTCTGCATTTTCAGTATTAATTGTACAGAGGTTAGTTTGGACGGAATTTGTCTATTTAGCCCTATATAATAATACCGCACTATAGCCACTAGAAACAAACGAAAATGCAGAATAGGCAGTAACTTACACCAGGCAAACAGTACACGATATATTTCAACAGAACGTGTTCTGCAACCAGCAATCGAGGCAAATTGCAAACGACTACCAATATTCTCTGATTTTGCGATTTAAAGCATCACGTAATATAATTTACTGTCTACTACCGAAGCCATATTTCAACGGGTTATGTATTAATGATATGCAAATTAGTAAGGAAGTAGAATAATCATGTCCGTGATTTCTGGCCATGAATCTGAAAAACTTGCAAATACCTACTTGGATGCCCTCTCATTTGCTTTGATCACTAACTTTTCATCTATTTAAATAAACTATCGCAAAGGCATTCTTTTAAATGAATCTATTGCCTTTTTAGGAAGGAGTGAATACAATGTCAGGTGAATTAGAATGGATAGATCACCTTGACTCCAGGTACACCGAATTTCAAAAACTTCTCCAACAAGCAAAACAGAGTCCTGACAACATCTCGACTAATGATCAAGCAAACACCACCCAGACTATTATGGTCAACAGGAATATAATTCGAGAGACAGAAAAGACCAGAAATCTACGAGAAGTTAACATTGATCGTATCATAATCCAGGAAACTCCACAAGAACAAAGACAGTCGAAAACCACATTGCGTAGAATAGAAAACGACATCACCGGAAATACAAAGAAATCAGTAACAAACTGCAAAATCAACGGAGATTGGAGAGAAAGTGTGAAAGAAAACACATTCAGAGTGGGAAAACTTGATGTGACGAAGATCGAACAAAGAAGCAAAGAATTTCAAATAATGGAAGAAAAAAATCGAATGTATAAGAAGAACAAGGTATTGTCATTTTCGTCAAAGCTGATGCCGACATTTAGTTGTCATTAATTGAACAACTGGGGTCGGTTGGTCAAAAGCCAATTAACATAACCCAAGTTTAGCCTAAAATTCAAAGCAATACCTTGTTTATAAATTTCGAAATATTTCCTCAGAAATCGTGTCTGGATCAGTGGAAGTTTTTTTCTCCAAAGTTTTGAAATAAACAGACGTGCAGAAATACATAACTAAAACAGCAAAAATGTCCATATACAGTAGGTATGGAATGGTCTTTTAGGCGTATTACGGGACAAATCTAAATCTATTGAATACGTCTTTCCTGTTCTGCCACGTGATCTACAGAACAATAAAAAGCATAAACACGGGAGGATTTTGGGTCCATTAAACTATCAAATGTCCATTAATTAATTTAAATGGGTCTGTGACCGTCGTACTAACTAAACAAAATTAGACATGATTGCTAAATTGAAGAAATTTGATTTATAGGAGCGGAGTGTGAAGACCACAGATCAACTTAGAACTGGAACAGAAAAGATAAAACCAGTGAAATTAGATACACAAGTTGAAGGAGAGTCATCTTCAATATACAACGAGAAACCGAAGATTTACAGGACTAATGATGGAGGTGTAGAAATCAAGGTTAAGATAATAAATACCGAGTTGACTGATGTTGAATCAAAATTGTTTGAAAAGAGATATTTCATTCCAATTGAACGAGCAGAAAGTCCCAGAAAGGTATGTGCAAAATAAGTCGGTCGATCGATGTTGGATGTGAAGGGAAAGCTTCTATTTTCTAGCTAGTGTGCTAAGATAAACTGAGCGAGTATCTCTGCACCCTTGTTCAAATTGTAACCACTTATCAAATGTTCTAATTATAATACTGAGTTGTGTCTAATAATTACAACAGTATGTAAGACTATAAAATGATTCTAGATCATTCAATATCTTTTTCGTGATAAATTATAATGAATTCTCTTATTTCCATTAATTACGAAAATCGAATTGCTATAAAAAGCTGCGTGTGCGTCTAAATGGAGAGGGTGTTTGAACGAGTCGTCAAATTAACGATATAACTGTGAGGTTTGTCTGCATGCGTCGCTCTTTATGTGGTCTCCAGTTTCAAAATTTCGGAGAAGAAAACTCCTATCGATCCAGACAAGATCTATGAAGAAATGTTTCCAAATGTATAGACAAGCTGTCAGCAAGTTCGCTTTGAATTTTAGGTTAACCTAGGGTTAAGCTAATCCAGCTTTGAACAACTGGCCCCTGAACGTTATTTATTCAAATTGAAGTAATAAGTGGTATACCTGTAGGATTGCGGGAGACTTTTTTGTATATTTGTCTATTACAGCCTCCAAACCAATACTGTAGTTCTACTGAATACAATAAATGTAATTTTGATGTATCCTCCTGCAATCCTGGTTGTCTTCGCCACTTTTCCATGCCATTCGTGAAAAATAGACATATTCATGTATTAAACATATTAAAAATGAAAGAAAATGCAGAAAGGGAAAGGAAAGGTTACAACTAAATAAAGTACTGTACTTTAATAAAATGAGAAAAGGATACTTTAAGCTTGATAACATTTTATTCTCAACACTTCGACTACATTTAGTTCGCAATAAATCGTTGCTAAATTTGAAAACACACTCAGGCAAAATGTTATTACTTGAGTATCCGTTGTTTTGTCTTTTATTAAAGGAATATGTAAGTTGACTTACATTATACAATTTTACCGACATTTTTGAAATACGCAATACTCATAATGAATATCGATATGCGTCATCCTTTTGTAGACACTGAAAATTTCTCGAGCTCAAATTTTGTGAACCAGGGGGTGTGTCTTTTCCAACAAACTAAAAATGGCTTCCGCACAAAATTTAAAGGCTTTAATCATATTTTGAGTTAATAGATGGAAAATGTGTTGGGTTTGTAATTACTGTACAAAATTTCAAACAATTTGCTTTAGTTTAAGCCCTTTAACTATTCACGCAAACGTTCATTTTTTCCTAAAAATCAGCTATTTGCATGCTTAATTAATGCCTTTACCTAATTTGCATATGTCAGCAATATGCAAATTAGGTAAAGGCATTAATTAAGCATGCGAAAGGCTGATTTTTTAGGAAAAAATGAATAGATAAAGGGCTTAAACTAAAGCAAATTGTCTGAAATTTAGTACAGTAATTAAAAGCTCAACACATTTTCTATCTATTAACTCAAAATATGACTAAATCGTTTAAATTTCGTGAGCAAGCCATTTTTAGTTTGTTGGAAAAGATACCCCTCCCCCCTGGTTCACAAAATTTGAGTTCGAGAATTATTATTTTACATTATAAGTACCCAAAGAAGCTATATACACAAACAAATCGGATACTAATAGCTGTTTTGCGAAATTGAGAGCAATTTCAAATTTGTTAAGTTTTTTTATACACCCTGTATATCCAGTAAAAAGTAAATTGGTATATTGTTGTCATTTCGTTTCCTAGCCAACGACAGTTGTCAGCATTAGTTCGCCTTGGCCATATCTCAGGCAGTGCAAAACTAATGCAGGTATTTTCATTTCAAGTAAGTGCGACGGCAGCAAAATAAATTTAAACTACAGAAGCTCCCGCCTTTTTTGTTTGGAAATAATGTATTCTGTGTACATTTTCTCAGCTTTTCTTTATTTTCATTGTTTGTGATATTAGTTAACAATTGGCTAATAACCAAAATAAATTCAAGTTTGTATACTGTATACCATTAAATTAACCATAAACACTTCCATCAGAAGTCAACCCTACATCAGGTCCAAGTGTCTCAAAACGGATTTGAATTTACTTATAAATTCAGCTATATCAAACCAGCCAGCCGACCAACATTTCAAGTTCATCTACGTTTTATTTCAGAGATGAAAAATAAATTATTTGGTCAAATTTTTATTGTAACTGTATTTATTATTTTTTAGACTAAAAGGCATGAAACATCAAGACAACAAAAGATTGGTCGTATCGATTTTATAGAACTGAGCGAAGAACAACCAGTGAAACCAAGGTATACGAAAAATATTGATATTGGACGTATTATAATTGAAGAGATTCCTGAGGAAAAACAAGAAATTCCAAAACGTGAAATGTTAAGAAAAGAACAAGTGAGACCGAAGAGTACTGAGGTGACAGTCACACAACGCGAAGTTGAAGATCTTCCACAGAAACCAAAGTATTCCAAAGATCTTGATATTGGACGTATAGTAATTGAAGAAATTCCAGAAGAAATTAAAGACTTGCCAAAAGTTCACAGGATAGAGAAAGATGCAACAAAGAGTACCGAAGTCACACTTACAAGGCACGAGGTTGAAGACATTTCGACTGTGAAAGAAGGCATCCTCAAACTTGGTAAACTTGATGTAACTTGTCTCGAACAACACGTCTTAGAATCTACAAACGTAGGAGAAAGAACTAATGCAGATAGCACCCAAAAGGTAATCATAGAACACGTTTGATAGTAGCTTTCAATGGTGACAATTGTGAAAATAAAATCTTTAAAATGAGCTGAGTTTGTATCTTAAATCTTTGGAAAGGATTCAAAAACAAGGATTGAGAGAAAGTCCTTCAAAGACTTCATGCGACTAACGTCGACGGGTTTCCAATAATTTTCAGGTAGTTCAGTGACAAACCGCGGTTGCTTAGTTAGAAGATTACCTAGAAGGACCCTACATACGAGTCTTCAGAATATATAAGTTTTTACCAAACCATTCCAACCCACTTAATTTCTATATACCGTTTTTTTTCCTTTCAGAAGAGTGTAGAAGAACTGAAGACCTTTGATCGACCCATCGTTCCAGAAACAAGACCAGCTACTGACAATGGCATACAAATCTCCAAGAAACATGCGACAGAGACGGTAGCGGTAACTAAAACAGAAATTGGACCCATTGAGCCACCAAGATATCGCAAGAAGATCGATATTGGACTCATTGTGATTGAGGAAAGTCTTGAGGAAAAGGAGATCACTAAATGTAAAGTTCAGACATGGGAAGAAAAAGTCAGACCAAAGAGTACGGAGATGATGGTCACACAACATGAAGTTAAAGAACAAGAGAAAGAGAGGCCGAGATACTTTCCAGATCTTGATGTTGGTCGTATTGTAATTGAAGAAATTCCAGAAGAAAAGAAAGAGAAACGACGAGTTTCAAAGAAAGAAGAAGTCAAACCAAGAAGTATGGAAGTCATTTTAACAAGTCAACGGTTCGATGAGTTTCCAGGTAAAAGTATCAAACAAGACGTGGTAAAAGTGGGAAAACTTGACGTGGCTGATGTTGAAAAACACTCCGTGGAATATAAAACTGTCAAAGAAAGAACAAGAAGGTATAAAGACTGGACACACAAGAAGCAGGAACCCGAAGAGAAACTACTTATTTCTATTGATGACGTTAGTAAAACAGACGAACCAGAGAAGCCAAGACATCCCAAAGATCTCGATGTTGGACGTATTGCAATTGAAGAAATTACCCACGAAATGAAAGAAATACCAAGTGTTCCAGAGAAAGAAAGACCGAAAAGTGTCGAAATCACTTTGACAGCCAAGCAAGTAAAAGACCAAGTAAAAGATCGATCAAAGATCACGTCGCCAATCAAAGCTGGTAAAATTGACGTATGCAATCTAGAAAAACAATTTGTCAACTCAGAGACTGTTAAAGAAAGAATAAGGAGTTGTACACAGAAGAAACCAGTTTATGCAACCATAGAGACAACTACAAAATGTGAACTTAAAAGGATAGGAGAACCAGGAAAACCACGATATCCCAACGATCTTGATATTGGACGTATTGTGATTGAAGAAATTCCTGACGAAAAAGAAGTTCATAAACGTAATGTTTTAAGAAAAAAACACCTGGAACCAAACACTACAGAGGTGGCAGTTACGAAACATGAAGCTAAAGAACAGAGAGAAGTTAGGCCGAGATATTCTAAAGATCTTAATATCGCACGTATTGTAATTGACGAAATTCCTGAAGAAAAGAAAACGATACCGCGAGCTCCAAAGAAAGAAAAAACCAGACCGAAAAGTATTGAGGACACTTTAACTGATCAAGAGGTGAAAGAAATTCCAAGTGAACGTACTAAAGAAAATGTCATCAACGTGGGGAAACTTGATGTAACTGATTATGAAAAACAAATCGACCAATCTAGAACTGTTCAAGAAAGAACTAGGATTTATAAAGACTGGACACACCAACACGAGACGAAAGCGCAAGCCAAAATTGCTACTGAAGATGTAAAAAGAACAGAAAAACTAGAAAAACCAAGATACTCCAAAGATCTCAATGTTGGACGTATTGTAATCGAAGATATTACCAAAGATAAGGAAGAAATGCCAAGAGTTCCTATAAAGAAAAAAAAAATCAGACCAAAAAGTATAGAGGTTACTGAAACAGGGAAAGACTTTGAAGAGATTCCAGGTGATTATGTCAAGGAAGATGCTGTTGAGGTGGGGAAACTTGATGTAACTGATTTTGAACAACAAGAAGAGAGACCGAGATATCTTAAAGATCTTGATGTAGGGCGTATTGTAATTGACGAAATTCCTGAAGTAAAGGAGATACCACGAGTTCCAAAAAGAGAAAACGTCAGACCGAAAAGTATCGAGGTCACTTTATCAGGTCAAGAGTATGAAGAGATTCCAGGTGAATATATAACAGATGCTGGCAAAGTGGAAAAACTTGATGTGACTGGTTTTGAAAAAGAATTCGTGGAATCTACAACTGTCAAAGAAAGAATTAGAAATTATAAAGACAAGACGCATAAACCTAAAACTGTGGAGAAAGTAACAATCACTTATGATGTAGTGGAACAAACAAAAGAACCGGAAAAGCCAAGATACTTTAAAGATCTCGACATCGGCCGTATTGTCATTGAAGAAATTCCCGAAGAAAAAGAGGTAAGAAAAGGACATGTCAAACCCAGGAATACCGAGGTGACATTTAAACAATATGAAGCTGAAGAGCATCCCGTGACGTATATTACAGAAAATGTTATCAAAGTTGGTAAATTGGATCTACCACATTTGGTAAAGGAAACAGTAGGGACTGAAACTGTTGAAGAAAGAATACAAATTTATAAAGACACAGTTGATGGAATTCCAAAGGTATTCTTCTTGTTTTCAAGTGTGATAGAATTGGTCTAAACAGTGTTTTTTTTTATTTAGTACATATATCTATCTATTCAATATTTTAGTTCAATTACGCATCGGTGTGATAAAAATGTGACCAAATATATGAAAAGAAACACATTGGCTTTCTTTTGTTGACGTGTCAAATATTGAAAATCCTGCTTGTCGTTCCGTTAAAAATTTGTTATGTTGTGCAATTTTATAGTCTAAGAAAGAAGAAAAAGAAGCTGGTCGTATTACTATGAAACCATAATATACAGAGGATTGAATTTACTGGGCCCAAATACTCGATGATTTTTTAACTTGAATTTCATTTCACAGTCCGAATGATTTCGATAATAAATTTGGTTCACTTCTTTTAAAGTAGTCATGGTACAACAACTACCTTAACAATAACAACCTTAATCCTCTAGCCAAACTTAAACCAGGAGCCTTATTTGTACTTGTATTTAATTAGATCCTTAGTTAGCTAATGCTAGTTTACACAAGGTCTATACTATAAAATTAATTAGTAGTTGGTTAATTAGTTCAAAAAATTCAGGTCAACATGTCTTATACTATTTACAATATAGAAAAGTTATAGGAATGTTTTACTATACGAGCCAAGGCATCTGTTTTCTAATAGCGGATTTGAAATTTTCTTTGAAGGCAATGTTTTTGGTTTCTATGCTCAAGTTATTCCAGATTTCTATTGCTCTAGTTATGAACGCTCTACAACCTTATTTCCATCCGCCAATTTAAACATCCAGAATTTTGTTTTTGCCAATTTCTAATTTATTTTATTCCATTGAAGCAAACGTCTATGCAAAATCCTTCCAGTTCAGAAATCCATCTTCGTACACAACTAAAGTATATGTTGTATTTCACAGCCGAGATATGAGAAAACTAAAGAAGATAGAATTGATGATTATCGTCCACAAGGTGAAGAGTTTGACAAAGCCTATACATACGACTATAAATCTCGTACAGATGACACTGAAGCATCTCAGCAACAAGTCACCGCAGAGAAAATAACTGTCAGCAGAAACGATCTAACTTATATGGAAGAAACTGTCAAACCAAGAGATCCCAAAGATCTTGATATCGGACGTATTGTGATTGAAGAAATTCCCGAAGAAAAAGAAGTGACAAAACGTGACGTTGTTAAGAGAGACGAAGTGAAGCCAAGACGTGAAGACATGGAAACACGTTATGAAGTTGAAAAAATTGCCAGAAAACAAGTACAAGAAGATATGATTAATGTTGGTAGACTGGATATAACTGACTACGAGAAAACAGCAAAACAATCTGAAGTTGAAGCAAGAAGCACTTACACTGAAAGACTTGGAAAATATCAAAAGGTAGCTTAATTTTCGTTACATTTGCACATCATGCTCGCTAGGTTTCGTTTTTCACGTACAGGTTATTGGACCTTTCCGGTAATTACGTCACAACTACACTGTTTTCAACTTAGGACCACCTTAAATGGAATAGATTTCAAGTTTGTTTCTCACGGGCTATGGTCAGAGAAGCAGAACATCCTTCGTCAACACATGCATAAAAAAGAATTATGGATTTTTACTATTAAATGTGGAAATAAGCTTAAACACGAAAACGAGGTTGAGGGGCCATGGTCCCTCTTGGCCCCTCAGCCTCGTTTTCGTGTTTAAGCTTATTTCCACATTTATTGTTCAAAATCAAAAATTCCTTTGTATGCATGTGTTGAAGGAGGATATTCTGCTCCTCTGACCATAGCCCGTGAGACACAAACTTAAAATCCATTCCCTTGAATGACCTTACCTCTTACAAAGGATTGGCACATAACAGAAAACTAGAGGAGCAATGTCTAAATATAATTCTCATACTTTCTACTGTATATAATGATTGTCGTATTTAAGGCAAAGTTCCTTTCTTACTCTACCTGCAGGAAAATACTACAGTACAATGTCCATTATCTATTACAAATCTAGAATGCATAATTTTCGTCTTCATTATTAGTTACGCATGTCAAGATTTTCTTCTAAACTGCATATTTCTATTTTTCCACATCTTTAGACAATAAAAGATGAAAAACTTGAAGAAGAAAGAACGAACCGTTACCGTCCACAAGGCGAAGAATTTGACAAAGCCTATACACACGACTATAAACCTCGTACAGATGACACTGAAATAACAGACCAACAAGTAACTTCAGAGAAAATAACCGTCAGGAGAGGAGATGTAACTCTTCTGCAGGAAACTGAAAAACTAAAATATCCCAAAGATCTTGATATAGGACGTATTGTGATTGAAGAAATTCCTGAAGAGAAAGAAGAGATCCCAAAACGTGAAATTCTAAGGAAAGAACACGTCAGATCAAAGCACGCTGAGGTGAAAGTCACACAACATGAAGAACAGTCCAAGACGTGTGTCACAGAAAATGTCATCAAAGTTGGTAAACTGGATGTAACGCATTTGGAAAAGGATACGGTGGAGGCTAAGACGGTTCAAGAAAGAATCAAGACTTTCAGGGATAAGGTGGATGGAGATCGTAAGGTATTGAACTTGTTTGTTACAAAACATGGAGACATTGGTCTCAAAACATGGAGATAGTTGGTCTCACTTACTTTTATTTCTGTCAGGCGGAATTTCTAATTTTAGGTTGTAACTATCCAAAATTACCAAGGTATTACAAATTTTATTTGCAAGCATAGTACAAATTTACTTTTTCTTTATATGTGTTGTGAGATTGCTTAAAGGACAATGGCAACGAAAATTTTTATTGGCTATTTCAACCCTACTTGACGACCTAACTATGAAAATATTATCATTTCCTTCTCGAACATTATAGTCTACGAGTAAAATGCATGCGAACTTTGTGTTTCCCCACCATCTTGGAAACAATTTTTGAAAAATTATCTCGAAGGTCAATGAAATTTGTCACGTGATTAGATGGGTACCACCAAAACTACAAGAGAGAATTATATTGCGTGCGTGTTATGTTGGCTAAAAACACCGGAAAAAACACAAGTGGAATCCACAAGAATTGAAGAAAGATCACTAACACATGGAGAAAGGGATGAAGGTTCTCGAAAGGTAATTCAGTATTTTTAGTTACACATATTAAGCAGTTATTGGATGAGGTTTTTGAAATATCCAGAATTATCAAGGTCGAGGTAAGTGTTATCAGTTGAGCCGAAGGCGAGATTGATTACACTTACCGAGACCATGATAATTCAGGACATCACAAAATCCGAGCTATGAAAACGATTTAAAATAGAAATATTAAAATCTCATTTACCTACTAAAGTTTCGATAAAAATGTCAAAAATGTCTGCTTTTTCCACAAAAAATATTCACGAAAACACCTTCGTTCATGTTGTTTTTGTTGTTGTTATTCGTGTAATTAAAACTGCCGCTTGCTAGAAAATTACATACCGCGGGCTCAACCTACATAACTCCGTTATCTGCTAGCAAATAACTATGTTGGGTTGCGTGATTTCCATATTTAGCTGTAACTCGATCACCTGTAATGTTATTGGCCAATCAGAAGACACGTTGCTTGTGATGTTACTCTGAGTGTATATCCACACCGGGCAGGCTTGAAAAATATGCCTGGCCACGGTGGTAGTGACTAAATTTATAATAATTGCAATCATAGCACTATAGGAACATACGTACATTGACCAACGAGGAGGACATTATTTTACGCGGAACAGATTTTAATTTCGTTTTCATCTACCTAAGCAATATGTCAGCACATAGTATTCGTAAAACATCGTTAAAAATAGCCAGTTTGCTTATTCAGTATATAATAAAGTTTACAGGTTTAATGCTACCAGGTATAATATCAGACATGTTTTCGCTTTGCTGAACAAATTATATTCAAGGACATTTTTTTCTTAAACAGAATAGCGAAGCGAAAACAAGCTCGATTTTTATTATTCAAAAATCTTTGAAAACATGCCAACCATTATTTTTTGTAGAAACGAAAAGATGAAAAACCAGAGAGAGAAAGGCCGGTTCATCTGGATATCGATGAAGATTTTGATAAAACATTTGAGATAGCACCTCGCAAAGACGACGTTTCACGCCAGAAAATAACCTCTGAGAAAATTACTGTGAGCAGACGAAACAAAGGTGAAATGGAGGAAACAGAAAAACCAAGATATCCCAAATATCTTGATATTGGACGAATTGTAATTGAGGAAACTCCAGAGGAAGAAGAGATTCTAAAACGTAAAGTTTTAAGAAGAGAACATGAAAGACCAAGGAGTACCGAGGTAACAGTCACACAACATGGAGTTGAAGAGCACCGCAAAACGTATGTTACAGAAGATACCATTAAAGTTGGTAAACTGGATGTGTAACACATTTGGAAAAGGAGATGGTGGAGACTAAGACGGTACAAGAAAGAACAAAAGCGTATAATGATAGAGTTGATGGAGCTCATAAGGTATGGTTGAAAACGTCGTTAAACACAGCACAATACAACAGTAACTCCAAAAACGGTAAACATTTAATTTTGAAAAGTAATTTTAAAAATAGTGCTTACAAAAATGTTTACAATTTTCGGAGTAACCGTTTTCGGAGTTACGGTTTTGTGTTGTATTAATTTAAAATACTCAGTGGTTCCCGCAATTTATGGCATGAACGTAGTTAGATACGTTTGGTTTGAAGAAATTATAATCAAACAAAAATCATAATACGATCAGCGCAAAGAATTCTGATCTGGATGTTGGTGCGAGAGTGGAATGCAAAAAATACAATTCGCGGCTTGGGTGTATGATGCATCTACCTGGAAAATGTGAAAAAACTTTGAAGTTTCTTCTTTTCTTAAGGTACAGTAGTTGCAACATACAGTACAAGCAACCCAAAAAATCTTCAGTGTACAGTGTACAGTGTATGTAGTAGATTGTCGCTGACCTAAATATACCTACGCAGAAATCCAGAAATAACTACTAAATCTGTAATAATTGTAAGAACACGAATAAAAAGATGTACATACTACATTTCCAATACTGAATTACAATTTTTACTGCTACAAAATAGAGAAACACATACAGTGCAGAGATTCTTATAATTTCCTTCAACTTGCATCATTTCAAAGAATTAGCATGCAGTATAAAACTAAACTCAGTATAATATATCATTATCTAGCCACATAGACAACGAAAACCAAAAAATAAAGCTTTGGAACCTATATAGTTATGTCGATGATACTCATTACACAACGACAAGGCGGGGAAAAAACAAACTGCGTTTGGATGAAACAAAGGTGTCCGGAAGAGAAGTAAAACAGAGCAAATAACAGTAATGAAAAGTGACACAACAAGGACTGAGCAACCAGAACAACAAATATATGCAAAAGAACACGACATTGGTCGTATCGTGATTGAAGAAATTCCTGAGATGAGCCACGAAAAAACCTAGAATATCCAAGTGAACCTAAATCTACCAAAGTAACGGTTACGAGAGAACATATTACGGATACAGCAAGAGCTCCACAAAAAAAAATGCGACAAACGTTGGAAAATTCAATCTTTACAAAGTGGAAACACGACTAGACTTGCTCCAAGTCTCTCTTTCATTGTCATATCGATCCACTATAGTGTACATTACATGACGTAGCACGGAGAGGCGTAGCGAGAAAGAGAGACTTGTCAACTTCGGAAAATCTCGGTTCAAAACTGAACCGAAAATGCAAGACTTGCTTTAATTGTTTTCCTTCAATTTCTTTCTGTATTATTTACTATAATGGAACTCGTGTTATTTACATGTGCTAGATCAATACATATAAACACTGGCAGAAAACAATTGAAGCAAGTCTTGCATTTTCGGTTCAGTTTTGAACCGAGATTTTCAAGTTGACAAGTCTCTCTTTCTCGCTCCGCCCCTCCGTACTACGTCATGTAATGTACACTATACTGGACCGATACTATATGACAATGAAAGAGAGACTTGGAGCAAGTCTAAAACACGACAGGAGGAATCTAGTAAAATAGCAGAAAGACCTTTCAAAAAAAACAGAAAGAGTAGAACGCCCTCGAAAGGCATGTGTAAAATATTTCCATGCATCGGTGGAGACGAGCCATCAGACATTTAGAACGACCAAACAATACAAATCAATATATTGCATTTTTAATATCCTACAGGAAAGCAATAGCTCTCTATTTCACATTTTGATCATCCCACCATATGCCGATTCCAACATTTCAAGTAAAACATAGGAAGAGTTAGATAAAGTTATCTCAATACGAGTCTTATAATGCTTCCAAATCTCTTCGTAGGTGAGAAAAGATTTCAAGCAGGAGGAAAGAACCGTAGTTCAATGTGAAGACACTGATGTAGATTTTGACAAGTTCTCAGAGACCAAGCCACGCCCAGATGCAATTCCTCGCGAAAAAGTAACAACGGAAAAGGTTACCGTAAGAAGACGAGATATCATATCACGCGAAGAACAACAAAAACCACAATTTCGCAAAGATCTTGACATTGGATGCATTGTGATTGAAGAAACTCCTGAAGACAAACGAAATATTCCACGGCGTGATATTGCTCAAAGAAAACCAATCATGCCAAACAGACTCGATCTGCCAATAAACCAACGTGAAGTTAGAGAACGTCCAAAGAAGTATATCAAAGGGGATGTTATTAAACTTGGTAAACTTGACACAACCAATCTTGATCGAGTAACTGAAAAATCTCGACGAGCGGACGAAAAATTAAAAACACAAAAAGGAACCATCGATGAAACAAAGGTAAGACTCTATTAGATATCATTTCTCGGTGGTGTATGTATGAACCCTTCCTTCGCCTTTCACAATCGCAACAGATTAATTTCATCGTTAAGATTCCACCTTCAACCTAGAAAGTGATCTATAACATAAATCCAGCGCTAACTCAAAACTGCTACAAAGTCATTAAGGACAATAATTCCAATATTAGAGAGAACGTTGGGTATTATAGGAATCAAGTTATGAACATTAACGGTGATTTGACAGTCTACAGCGGTTTTTTGCGGAAGACCTTATTTAAGTATGTATGCAACACAAATCTACAAAGCCAGCGGAATTTTATAATTTGGACACGCAAAATTTTTTAGTCATATTCTGCTTTTTTTTACCCTTCCACGCACACTAAGATTTATCTTCCAGAGAAGTAATAAATTAATTGCCGCACAATTCAATGCCACTTACATTAACTAAAGTACGTCTCCTATTCAACAGTGGAAAAAAGACAAACCAAAAAAAGACAGGATTGACCATTATCGTCCACAAGGTGAAGAATTTGACAAAGCCTATACATACGATTATAAATCTCGCACAGATGACACTGAAGTATCTCAGCAACGAGTGGCGACAGAGAAAATAATCGTCGACAGAAGAGATATAACTCGCATGGAGGCAACCGAGAAACCAAGATATCCCAAAGACATTGACGTTGGACGTATTGTGATTGAAGAAATTCCTGAAGAAAAAGAAGTGACAAAACGCGACGTTATTAAGAGAGAGGAAGTGAAGCCAAAACATGAAGATATGGAAACATGTTTTGAAGTTGAAAAAGTTCCTAGAAGGCAGGCGCACGAAGATGTGGTTAAAGTTGGCAGACTGGATATCACTGAATATGAGAAAACACAAAGGGAGCCCGAATCAATTAAAGACAGAAGAACAACTTACTCTGGAAGATTGGAAAAAGATGCCAAGGTAAGGATAATCTCACTAGAAATTCCATCTGTGTTCCTGAAAATTTCCTAATGTGATATGTCAATGATAGCAGATGTTGCATGGTGTTATTCCTTTCAATATGATGTCGAGTCATGTTTCCAAGACACAAATCTATTGTATTTCAATCTGATAAACAAATATTTCATTGATTATGGTTTCCCATGCTGTTGGTCGTTTGCGAATAGTATCTAAATACAGCCATACTTTGTACTAGTCTTTGTCGCCTTTCCTCACTATATTCTGAAATTAATAGTACAAAGAAAAAACCCAGAGGTATGCACAGTTCTCTTCTCGCACGGCAAAAGGAGAAATTGAGTGAACTACACACACCTACATACTTCATAGATTAACTAAAGTACGTTTTGTATTTTACAGCCGAGACAAGAGAAACCTAAAAAAGACAAGATTGATCATTATCGTCCACAAGGAGAAGAATTTGACAAAGCCTATACATACGATTATAAAACTCGCACAGATGACACTGAAGTATCTCCGCAACGAGTAGCGACAGAGAAAATAACCGTCGACAGAAGAGATATAACTCGTATGGAGGCAACCGAGAAACCAAGATATCCCAAAGACATTGACGTTGGACGTATTGTGGTTGAAGAAACTCCTGAAGAAAAAGAAGTGACTAAACGCGACGTTATTAAGAGAGAGGAAGTGAAGCCAAAACATGAAGATATGGAAACATGTTATCAAGTTGAAAAGGTTCCTAGAAGCCAGGCGCACGAAGATGTGGTTAAAGTTGGCAGACTGGATATCACTGAATATGAGAAAACACAAAGGGAGCCCGAATCAATTAAAGACAGAAGAACAACTTACACTGGAAGATTGGAAAAGGATGCCAAGGTAACGATAATCTCACTAGAAATTCCATCTGTGTTCCTGAAAACTTCGTAATGTGATATGTCAATGATAGCAGATTTTGCATGTTATCATTCCTTTCAATAATAATAATAATAATAATAATAATAATAGTAATAATAATAATAATAATAATAGTAATAATAATAATAATAATGGAAACTTTATTTAATTTTCTAAACTTACAACTGCAAATCTCACTATATAAGGTAATTTACAATTGGCAACTTGATATATTACTATTAAATGATTTTATAACGCATGATTAAATTTACTCTATTACTCTATATACATACTTAATAATAATAATAATAATAAAAATAATAATAATAATAATAATATTAATAATAATAATAATAATTCCATAAAAATTTATTTATAAAATAATCGTGCTACATTAATAACTAATTGCTAGTATATATAAGGAAGTGAGTCTAGATTGTTGTAGTATGTTATAGTATCTGTTATAGTAAGAATTTATGGTAAAAGTCTAAGCCTAAATTTTGGCACGAGAATTGTCTACTTCGAAGTCCGTTTCTTGAACGTTCGGGTTCGTTGTTATCCTCCTGGGAGCTCTAGTCCCTCTGAGACAAAGTAGAGCTGACCGCAAGATGGCAAAGGAGACCTTGGCTCGTATGCAGGACATGGTCGTAGAGTAGTCTTCGCCTTTCTTCGCTGCTATGAGCTCGGTCAATCTGCTATGATACCTCTTGCACTCTTCACTCATGCCTCCAGTCGTTGTAAATACTAATGGTGTAAACGTTCCGTGTTCTATCTCCATCACTCTTTGGGCATACATCCTCTCCTCTCGTTTTCATGTTGCCTGTATATCTGTTGAGGGCTCAGGTCTTTGTAGGATTCCGCGTTGGGGTGACAAACCCTAACGTCAAAGAACGCGGACCTTTGTTTCTCCCAAAACCCTCGAGCGTGGATATCTAGGCGAGCGTCGGACGCTGTATTTGCTCCACTTGGTAAAACCTCGCCAGTTAACTCTTGAAGAACGGGTTCAACCTCGACATCATTGCAGACGATGTTAAGCATATCAGCCTCAAGATCTCGCAGCTCGTTGTGGCGCTGTATGATGAACCCACCTCGCTTGCAGATCATTGCGTGATCAATATTGAAAGTATCGCCACACACGCATACTGATGGCTTATCAGCAATTTTCCACTCATATCTCAGCTTTACTGCGTCTCGAAACTCACCCTTGTTCAGATTGTAGTCCATTTCTTTAATGGGGAGAACTGTTAGCCAGTTGGATGCACCTTTTTCAGTTGCTAGTTCCATAGCACGCCGTGTTTTCGGGGGATAATAATAATATAAATAATAATAATAATAATATTAATAATAATAATAATAATAATAATAATAATAAAAGTCTTTATTTCAATACTCAAAGCAAACGTTAGATGTGATGATAACGAGCAATGTTTCCAAGACACAAATCTATTGTATTTCAATCTGATAAACAAATATTTCATTGATTATCGTTTCTCATGCCGATGCTCGTTAGCGAATAGTATCTAAATACAGCCATACTCCGTACTAGTCTTTGTCGCCTTTCCTCACTATACTCTGAAATTAATAGTACAAAGAAAAACCCAGAGGGATGCACTGTTCTCTTCTCGCACGGCAAAAGGAGAAATTGGGTGAACTACACACACCTACATACTTCGTACATTAACAATTTAAAGTACTTTTCTATTTTACAGCCGAGACAAGAGAAACCTAAAAAAGACAGGATTGATCATTATCGTCCACAAGGAGAAGAATTTGACAAAGCCTATGCATACGATTATAAACCTCGCACAGATGACACTGAAGTATCTCCGCAACGAATAGCGACAGAAAACATAACCGGCGACAGACGAGATATAACTCGTATGGAGGCAAGCGAGAAACCAAGATATCCCAAAGACATTGACGTTGGACGTATTGTGATTGAAGAAATTCCTGAAGAAAAAGAACTGACAAAACGCAACGTTATTAAGAGAGAGGAAGTGAAGCCAAGACATGAAGATATGGAAACATGTTATGAAGTTGAAAAAGTTCCTAGAAGGCAGGCGCACGAAGATGTGGTTAAAGTTGGCAGACTGGATATCACTGAATATGAGAAAACACAAAGGGAGCCCGAATCAATTAAAGACAGAAGAACAACTTACTCTGGAAGATTGGAAAAAGATGCCAAGGTAAGGATAATCTCACTAGAAATTCCATCTGTGTTCCTGAAAACTTCGTAATGTGATACGTCAATGATAGCAGATTTTGCATAGTATCTGAATACAGCCATACTTTGTACTAGTCTTTGTTGCCTTTCCTCACTATATTCTGAAATTAATAGTACTGAGAAAAAAACCACAGGGATGCACAGTTCTCTTCTCGCACAGCAAAAGGAGAAATTGAGTGAACTACACATACCTAAATACTTCATACATTAACTAAAGTACGTTTTGTATTTTACAGCCGAGACAAGAGAAACCTAAAAAAGACAAGATTGATCATTATCGTCCACAAGGAGAAGAATTTGACAAAGCCTATACATACGATTATAAATCTCGCACAGATGACACTGAAGTATCTCAGGAACGAGTGGCGACAGAGAAAACAACCGTCGACAGAATAGATATAACTCGTATGGAGGCAACCGAGAAACCAAGATATCCCAAAGACATTGACGTTGGACGTGTTGTATTTGAAGAAATTCCGGAAGAAAAAGAAGTGACAAAACGTGATGTTATTAAGAGAGAGGAAGTGAAGCCACAACATGAAGATATGGAAACATGTTATGAAGTTGAGAAAGCTCCTAGAAGGCAGGCGCACGAAGATGTGGTTAAAGTTGGCAGACTGGATATCACTGAATATGAGAAAACACAAAGGGAGCCCGAATCAATTAAAGACAGAAGAACAACTTACTCTGGAAGATTGGAAAAAGATGCCAAGGTAAGGATAATCTCACTAGAAATTTCATCTGTGTTCCTGAAAACTTCGTAATGTGATATGTCAATGATAGCAGATTTTGCATGCTATCAATCCTTTCAATATGATGTCGAGTTATGTTCCCAAGACACAAATCTATTGTATTTTAATCTGACAAACAAATATTTCATTATCGTTTCCCATGCTGTTGGTCGTTAGCAAATAGTATCTAAATACAGCCATACTTTGTACTAGTCTTTGTCGCCTTTCCTCACTATATTCTGAAATTAATAGTACAAAGAAAAAACCCAGAGGTATGCACAGTTCTCTTCTCGCACGGCAAAAGGAGAAATTGAGTAAACTGCACACAGCTAGATACTTCATACATTAACTAATATTATACCTCAAATTCAAATCGTCCAATTAAAATACTCCATTTTGCCCACGTGAGGATGAAATATATCGTCGTATTCCGACATCTACTCGTAGGTATTAGTTTCTGCCGTCCTTTTGACCAGCGCCCACATCGTATTCACCGGTAGAGCGGTGGACATTAATTTCTGCAGTCCTTTTGACCAGCGCCCACCTCGTATTCACCGGTACAGCGGTGGATATTTAATCGTGGAAGCCAGGCAACTCACGAGACTGACGTGTGGAGAAAAAAGCGGGAAATTGTTATTTATTTAATTCAAAATGGCCAGCCATGATTCTGCATCGGAAGAAGATCTAGAAATTGCCAGAATTTTAGACGAAAGACATTCTAAAAACATGACCAAAAGTACTAAAACGGCATTGAAAGCATTTGTAAAAGCCGCCGGAAATGTAGCCGAGTTACAAGACAAAGAAGTTCTGGATAAAAGTCTGGCAAAATTTAATGCGAACGCCGAAAAGAAAGACGGCTCAAAGTATAAAGCAAATGCTATGCTAACGCTTCGGCAAGGTCTAAGACGCCATTTCTTGGACAAGTTTGGATTTGATAAAGTAAAAGTGTTATTATTACGTTTTTAATTATAAGTTGCAACCTCCGTTAAGTCCAACAACCGTGCACTTGTTTACCTTTTAACATCCAACCCTGCTTAAATTTTCGGTATAATATATCAATTATAGACCTTCCGCTCGGGGGATTCAGAGAAATATTACCCTCAGTGATGATATTTCCCTCGGGCTGCGCCCTCAAGAAATATCATCACTGAGGGTAATATTTCTCCGAATCCCCCGAGCGGAAGGTCTATAACTGATAAAAGTACATTTTGTATTTTACAGCCGAGACAAGAGAAACCTAAAAAAGACAGGATTGATCATTATCGTCCACAAGGAGAAGAATTTGACAAAGCCTATACATACGATTATAAATCTCGCACAGATGACACTGAAGTATCTCAGCAACGGGTGGCGACAGAGAAAATAACCGTCGACAGAAGAGATACAACTCGTATGGAGGCAACCGAGAAATCAAGATATCCCAGAGACATTGACGTTGGACGTATTGTGATTGAAGAAATTCCTGAAGAAAAAGAAGTGACAAAACGTGACGTTATTAAGAAAGAGGAAGTGAAGCCAAAACATGAAGATATGGAAACACGTTATGAAGTTGAAAAAGTTCCTAGAAGACAAGCGCACGAAGATGTGGTTAAAGTTGGTAGACTGGATATGACGGAATATGAGAAAACACAAAGGGAGCCCGAAGCAATTAAAGACAGAACAACAACTTATATTGGAAGATTGGGAAAAGATCTCGAGGTAACGTTAATCTCACCAGAAACGCTATATATGTCCTGAAGACTTCGTAATGTGATTTGTCAACGAAACGAATTCTAAATGCGAAATTTTAGTGTTAGAATATGATGTTGAGCTGTGTTTCGAAGACAGAAATCTATTGCTTTTCAATATGACGAACAAATTATTTTATTAATTATCATTCCCCATCCTGCTGATCGTTGGCGAATATTGTCTAAATACTGCGATATCTTGTATTAGTCTGTGTTGGCTTTGTCGACTATTTTGTAAAATTTATAGTATAATGAAAAACCCAGGGTGAAAAACGAGGGATACACAGTTTTTATAGATCGCTCGGAAGTTTAAAATACAAATTCCTTTCCTTTTTCAGTTCTCTTTTCGCACAGCAAAAGGGAAAAATGAGATAACTACATCCTCCTACATACTTTGCACCTTAACTAAAGTACGTCTTGTATTTCACAGAAACCTAAAAAAGACAGGATCGATCATTATCGTCCACAAGGTGAAGAATTTAACAAAGCCTATACATACGACTATAAATCTCGCACAGATGACACTGAAGTATCTCAGCAACGAGTGGCGACAGAGAAAATAACCGTCGACAGAAGAGATATAACACGTATCGAGGCAACCGAGAAACCGAGATATCCCAAAGACATTGACGTTGGACGTATTGTGATTGAAGAAATTCCTGAAGAAAAGGAAGTGACAAAACGTGACGTTATTAAGAGAGAGGAAGTGAAGCCAAAACATGAAGATATGGAAACACGTTATGAAGTTGAAAAAGTTCCTAGAAGACAAGTGCACGAAGATGTGGTTAAAGTTGGTAGACTGGATATGACGGAATATGAGAAAACACAAAGGGAGCCCGAACCAATTAAAGACAGAACAACAACTTATATTGGAAGATTGAGAAAAGATCTCGAGGTAACGTTAATCTCACCAGAAACTCTATATATGTTCCTGAAGACTTCGTAATCTGATTTGTCAACGAAACGAATTCTAAGTGCGAAATTTTAATGTTTGAATATGATGTTGAGTTGTGTTTCGAAGACAGAAATCTATTGCTTTTCAATATGACGAACAAATTATTTTATTAATTATCATTCCCCATGTTGCTGATCGTTGGCGAATATTGTCTAAATACTGCGATATCTTGTATTAGTCTGTGTTGGCTTTGTCGACTATTTTGTAAAATTTATAGTATAATGAAAAACCCAGGGTGAAAAACGAGGGATACACAGTTTTTATAGATCGTTCGGAAGTTTAAAATACAGACTCCTTTGCTTTTTCAGTTCTCTTTTCGCACAGCAAAAGGGAAAAATGAGATAACTACATCCTCCTACATACTTTGCACCTTAACTAAAGTACGTCTTGTATTTCACAGAAACCTAAAAAAGACAGGATCGATCATTATCGTCCACAAGGTGAAGAATTTGACAAAGCCTATACATACGACTATAAATCTCGCACAGATGACACTGAAGTATCTCAGCAACGAGTGGCGACAGAGAAAATAACCGTCGACAGAAGAGATATAACACGCATCGAGGTAACCGAGAAACCAAGATATCCCAAAGACATTGACGTTGGACGTATTGTGATTGAAGGAATTCCTGAAGAAAAGGAAGTGACAAAACGTGACGTTATTAAGAGAGAGGAAGTGAAGCCAAAACATGAAGATATGGAAACACGTTATGAAGTTGAAAAAGTTCCTAGAAGACAAGTGCACGAAGATGTGGTTAAAGTTGGTAGACTGGATATGACGGAATATGAGAAAACACAAAGGGAGCCCGAAGCAATTAAAGACAGAACAACAACTTATATTGGAAGATTGAGAAAAGATCTCGAGGTAACGTTAATCTCACCAGAAACTCTATATATGTTCCTGAAGACTTCGTAATCTGATTTGTCAACGAAACGAATTCTAAATGCGAAATTTTAATGTTTGAATATGATGTTGAGTTGTGTTTCGAAGACAGAAATCTATTGCTTTTCAATATGACGAACAAATTATTTTATTAATTATCATTCCCCATGCTGCTGATCGTTGGCGAATATTGTCTAAATACTGCGATATCTTGTATTAGTCTGTGTTGGCTTTGTCGACTATTTTGTAAAATTTATAGTATAATGAAAAACCCAGGGTGAAAAACGAGGGATACATAGTTTTTATAGATCGTTCGGAAGTTTAAAATACAAACTCCTTTGCTTTTTCAGTTCTCTTTTCGCACAGCAAAAGGGAAAAATGAGATAACTACATCCTCCTACATACTTTGCACCTTAACTAAAGTACGTCTTGTATTTCACAGAAACCGAAAAAAGACAGGATCGATCATTATCGTCCACAAGGTGAAGAATTTGACAAAGCCTATAGATACGACTATAAATCTCGCACAGATGACACTGAAGTATCTCAGCAACGAGTGGCGACAGAGAAAATAACCGTCGACAGAAGAGATATAACACGCATCGAGGTAACCGAGAAACCAAGATATCCCAAAGACATTGACGTTGGACGTATTGTGATTGAAGGAATTCCTGAAGAAAAGGAAGTGACAAAACGTGACGTTATTAAGAGAGAGGAAGTGAAGCCAAAACATGAAGATATGGAAACACGTTATGAAGTTGAAAAAGTTCCTAGAAGACAAGTGCACGAAGATGTGGTTAAAGTTGGTAGACTGGATATGACGGAATATGAGAAAACACAAAGGGAGCCCGAAGCAATTAAAGACAGAACAACAACTTATATCGGAAGATTGAGAAAAGATCTCGAGGTAACGTTAATCTCACCAGAAACTCTATATATGTTCCTGAAGACTTCGTAATCTGATTTGTCAACGAAACGAATTCTAAATGCGAAATTTTAATGTTTGAATATGATGTTGAGTTGTGTTTCGAAGACAGAAATCTATTGCTTTTCAATATGACGAACAAATTATTTTATTAATTATCATTCCCCATGCTGCTGATCGTTGGCGAATATTGTCTAAATACTGCGATATCTTGTATTAGACTGTGTTGGCTTTGTCGACTATTTTGTAAAATTTATAGTATAATGAAAAACCCAGGGTGAAAAACGAGGGATACATAGTTTTTATAGATCGTTCGGAAGTTTAAAATACAAACTCCTTTGCTTTTTCAGTTCTCTTTTCGCACAGCAAAAGGGAAAAATGAGATAACTACATCCTCCTACATACTTTGCACCTTAACTAAAGTACGTCTTGTATTTCACAGAAACCGAAAAAAGACAGGATCGATCATTATCGTCCACAAGGTGAAGAATTTGACAAAGCCTATACATACGACTATAAATCTCGCACAGATGACACTGAAGTATCTCAGCAACGAGTGGCGACAGAGAAAATAACCGTCGACAGAAGAGATATAACACGTATCGAGGCAACCGAGAAACCGAGATATCCCAAAGACATTGACGTTGGACGTATTGTGATTGAAGAAATTCCTGAAGAAAAGGAAGTGACAAAACGTGACATTATTGAGAGAGAGGAAGTGAAGTCAAAACATGAAGATATGGAAACACGTTATGAAGTTGAAAGAGTTCCTAGAAGACAAGTGCACGAAGATGTGGTTAAAGTTGGTGGACTGGATATGACGGAATATGAGAAAACACAAAGGGAGCCCGAACCAATTAAAGACAGAACAACAACTTATTTTGGAAGATTGAGAAAAGATCTCGAGGTAACGTTAATCTCACCAGAAACTCTATATATGTTCCTGAAGACTTCGTAATCTGATTTGTCAACGAAACGAATTCTAAATGCGAAATTTTAATGTTTGAATATGATGTTGAGTTGTGTTTCGAAGACAGAAATCTATTGCTTTTCAATATGACGAACAAATTATTTTATTAATTATCATTCCCCATGCTGCTGATCGTTGGCGAATATTGTCTAAATACTGCGATATCTTGTATTAGTCTGTGTTGGCTTTGTCGACTATTTTGTAAAATTTATAGTATAATGAAAAACCCAGGGTGAAAAACGAGGGATACATAGTTTTTATAGATCGTTCGGAAGTTTAAAATACAAACTCCTTTGCTTTTTCAGTTCTCTTTTCGCACAGCAAAAGGGAAAAATGAGATAACTACATCCTCCTACATACTTTGCACCTTAACTAAAGTACGTCTTGTATTTCACAGAAACCTAAAAAAGACAGGATCGATCATTATCGTCCACAAGGTGAAGAATTTGACAAAGCCTATAGATACGACTATAAATCTCGCACAGATGACACTGAAGTATCTCAGCAACGAGTGGCGACAGAGAAAATAACCGTCGACAGAAGAGATATAACACGTATCGAGGCAACCGAGAAACCGAGATATCCCAAAGACATTGACGTTGGACGTATTGTGATTGAAGAAATTCCTGAAGAAAAGGAAGTGACAAAACGTGACGTTATTAAGAGAGAGGAAGTGAAGCCAAAACATAAAGATATGGAAACACGTTATGAAGTTGAAAAAGTTCCTAGAAGACAAGTGCACGAAGATGTGGTTAAAGTTGGTAGACTGGATATGACGGAATATGAGAAAACACAAAGGGAGCCCGAACCAATTAAAGACAGAACAACAACTTACACTGGAAGATTGAGAAAAGATCTCGAGGTAACGTTAATCTCACCAGAAACTCTATATATGTTCCTGAAGACTTCGTAATCTGATTTGTCAACGAAACGAATTCTAAGTGCGAAATTTTAATGTTTGAATATGATGTTGAGTTGTGTTTCGAAGACAGAAATCTATTGTTTTTCAATATGACGAACAAATATTTCATTAATTATCATTCCCCATGCTGCTGATCGTTGGCGAATATTGTCTAAATACTGCGATATCTTGTATTAGTCTGTGTTGGCTTTGTCGACTATTTTGTAAAATTTATAGTATAATGAAAAACCCAGGGTGAAAAACGAGGGATACACAGTTTTTATAGATCGTTCGGAAGTTTAAAATACAAACTCCTTTGCTTTTTCAGTTCTCTTTTCGCGCAGCGAAAGGGAAAAATGAGATAACTACATCCTCCTACATACTTTGCACCTTAACTAAAGTACGTCTTGTATTTCACAGAAACCTAAAAAAGACAGGATCGATCATTATCGTCCACAAGGTGAAGAATTTGACAAAGCCTATACATACGACTATAAATCTCGCACAGATGACACTGAAGTATCTCAGCAACGAGTGGCGACAGAGAAAATAACCGTCGACAGAAGAGATATAACACGTATCGAGGCAACCGAGAAACCGAGATATCCCAAAGATCTTGATATTGGACGTATTGTAATTGAAGAAATTCCTGAAGAGATTCCAAAACATAAAATCCTAAGGAAAGAACACGGCGGACCAAGGAGCACTGGGGTGACAATCGCACAACATGAAGTTGAAGAACATCCCAAGACGTACCTTAAAGAAGATGTCATCAAAGTTGGTAAACTGGATGTAACCCATTTGGAAAAGGAAATGGTGGAAGCGAAGACGGTTCAGGATAGAATCAGGACTTATAAAGACAGAGTTGATGGACCTCGCAAGGTATCGCTCGTCGTGTTTTGTGTTTTTCATTCCAATAATCCATTAAGTCTAACTATAATTGATCTTAAAAAATGGGTGACACTAAACGGTAGTGTGCACCAGGTAGTGCTCAAACCGACAGTGAAAGTATTAAAAGAATGTTTTCCCTTTCCACCATTTACGTCTATGTATATGTTTTGAAAATGAAAATGAAATATGAAAATAAATAGGTTTTGGGAATCGTGCCTGGTATAAATTTGAATACAATTTTTTATTTGAAAAATTTGAAAAAGACTTCTACACAGGCAATAAAAAAGTTCTAAAATTTTGTTCGAAACGTTTCGCCAGTTAAGGCTTCCTCAGCGGGAATGTTTTAGCTAGGTCACGTCCGATGAACATATATACACATATATATAAGCAGGACTAAATTTAAATAAATATTAACAAAAGGATGGAATATGGACAATTACGAGCTAATATTTTGAATGTTATTATTCAGGCGTATCATGCCAAATCAGGATATTAAATGTTAATTGTTCTGCCAATGCACTCGTTTACTATTTTTCCCACTCTTTTCTTGATTTCAAACGCCTCAAAGCACTTACGCTCATCGTCATGGCTTATGTTCGCATGTGGGGTGCTGAAGAAAGTCAGAAACATTGATAACTACAAGATGTGGAATTAGTGTAGCAACACCAATAAAACGTAAATGTATACATAAAATTCTCCCAATTTTAGAAACAATTTTTTTATAAACATATTTTATTAAATAATTAAAGTGTTTATCCCCAAAACAAAAAAAGCTTATCGAGGGGACTCGCACAAGTTAATATAAAAGTATATGGAAAACTTAATTCTTGAATGGCATTAAGGACATAAAATACCTTATTTCCATCCCTACTTTTCGTCCACCTTTGACCACATATCCGCTTGGCAGAGGCAAGAAATAAATAGCGTTGAGCAGCAAAACGGGAACAAGTCAGAAAGTAATGTTTTACAGATTCATTTTCCATTCCACAGTGACAAGGAGGCGAAGACAGACAATTGATTTTAAACAAATACTCATTCAGACCATGAAAGCCTAATCTCAATCGAGTATGTAAAATTGATGCTCGACGAGTAAGAGAAACAAAAAAAATTTTAGTATACACAAACGGAGAGAACATTGATTTAATTCTAACTTTAAATGTATCAAGGGAATCCAAATTTCTTATATCAGTGCCTAAAGAATTCCATTGATTGATTGTTGAAGGAAAAACGATTGTTTAAATTTTACCGTTCGACATGAGATAGAGCTAACATTTTCACTGGAACGAAGTGAACGATGAGCCCTTCCTCCAACAGTATTAGGTAATAAATCAACAAGATCGCTGGAGCAACAGATGCACTTAGTAATTTTGCAGAAATAAACTAAATTATGTAATTTTCTCCTATCACTGAGATTCTCCCATGCTAGCTCATTCAACAGAGCTATATCACTTGTGCCTTTAATCGCTCCGGCCACAACTTTAGCTGCCTCATACTGAACATGTTCCAATAATTCTTCTTCACTACAATTGTCATATTACATCTCCATACTCCATCAATGGGCATCAATTTTCAATAGAGAAACACGTAGAGATTCTTAAAATATTATTCAAATTGCACCATCTTGTGATGCACTTTAGCTTTCAAAAAATTAGCATGCAATACAAATCACAAAACTAAACTAAACTCAGCATAAAATGTCATTATCTAGCCACAGAAAGAACGAAAACCGAAAGATAAAGCCTTGGAACCCAGTTATGTCGAAGATACTCATTACACAACGGCAATGCGGGAAAAAATCAAACCACGTTTAGATGAAACAAAGGTGTCACGAAGAGAAGTAGACACAAAGCGAATAACAATAATGAAAAGTGACACAACACGGACTGAAGAACCAGAACGACAAATATATGCAAAAGAACACGACATTGGTCGTATCGTGATTGAAGAAATTCCTGAAGATAAGCCACGAAAATACCTGAAATATCAAAGTGAACCCAAATCTACCAAAGTTACGGTTACGAGAGAACAAGTTACGGATGCAACTAGAGCTCAAGAAAAAGAAAATGCGATAAACGTTGAAAAACTTGATTTTAACAAAGTAGATACAAGACAAGTGGAAGCTAGAAGGATAGCAGAAAGACCTTTGAAAGAAACAGAAAGGGTTGAACGCCCTCGAAAGGCATGTGTAAAATATTTCCATGGATCGATCGAGAGGAGCCATAGAATATACAACGATTAACCAATACAACTTCATATACTGCATTTTTAATAGATTACTGCAAAGTTGTTTTGCACATTTTTATCATCCCACTATATGCCGATACTGATTCCAACATTTCAAGTTTAGTAATAAACATAGGTAAACTTAGATAAACGTATGCCAATATGAGGTTTATAATGCTTCTAACTCACTTTGCAGGTGAGAAAAGATTTGAAACTGGAGGAAAGAACCCTGGTTGAATGTGAAGTCACTGATGTAGATTTTGACAAGATCTCAGAGACCAAACCACGCCCAGATGCAATTCCTCGTGAAAAAGTAGCCACGGAAAAGATTACAGTAAGAAGAAGGGATATCATACCACGCGACGAACAACAAAAACCACAATTTCGCAAAGATCTTGACATTGGACGTATTGTGATTGAAGAAATTCCTGAAGAAAAAGAAGAGGTACCAGAACGTGAGATTTTCCAAAAGGAACCAGTCAGACCAATGGGAACCGATATGCCAGTAAATCAACGTGAAGTTAAAGAACTACCTAAGAAATATATCAAAGAGGATGTTGTTAAAGTTGGTAAACTTGCAACAAGTGATCTTGATCGAGTAACTGGAGAATCCCGACGAGTAGAGGAAAGAATAAAAACACAGAGAGAAACGATCGATGGAAGAAAGGTGAGATGCAATTAGATATCTTTTCTCTGTGGGGGGCACCGCCGCCCCTCGCTTTCTCACATTGGTTTGAGATTAATTTTACCGACATTCAGCTTCCACATTAGGAAGTGATTCATAACGGAAATCCACCTTAAACTCAAAGTCACTTCAAAGTCATTAGGTACAATAATTCTAATATTAAAGAGCACCTTTGAAATTATTAGAATAATATTTTGTGCGAATTAGTAATGATGCATGTACGATAGTTTCATGTAGTTTAGTGTAGAAGACCTGATTTACATAGGTCACACAAAATTAATCTACAAAGCCAGCGGAACTCTAAAATTCAAGTACGGAAAAGGGTTTAAGTCGCTTAGAACATCTTTACCAAACCTTCGCCTTCCGTAACTTGCAAGAGATTATTTTGCCCATTAAGATTCGTCTTCAGAGAAGTAAGAGAGGTTTAGTTGCACCAGTCTATACACTTCGTACATTAACTAAAGTACATCATCTATTAAACAGCCGAAACAAATTAAACCAAAAGAAGACAGGATTGACCATTATCGTCCACAGGGTGAAGAGTTTGATAAAGCGTATACATACGACTATAAATCCCATACAGATGATACTCAAATATCTCAGCGACAAGTCACCTCCGAGAAAATAACCGTTAGCAAAAGGGATATAACTCGAATGGAGGCAACTGAGAAACCAAGATATCCTAAAGACGTTAACGTTGGACATATTACAATTGAAGAACTCCCTGAAGAAAAAGAAGTAACAAAACGAGACGTTGTTAATAGAGACGAAGTGAAGCCAAAACATGAAGATGTGGAAACATGTTATGCAGTTGAAACAATTCCTAGAAGGCAAGCGCACGAAGATATCGCCAAAGTTGGTAGACTGGATATGACGGAATATGAGAAAACACAAAGGGAGCCCGAACCAATTAAAGACAGAACAACAACTTACACTGGAAGATTGGGAAAAGATCTCGAGGTAACGTCAACCTCACTGGAAATTCCAACTGTGTTCCTGAAGGCTTCGTAAAGTGATATGTCAACGACAGTAGATTTTTCCATGGTATCATTCCTTTCAATATGATGTCGAGTTATGTTTCCAAGACACAAATCTATTGTTTTTTAATCTGATAAACAAATATTTGCTTGATTATCGCTTCCCATGCTGTTGGTCATTAGCGAATAGTATCTAAATACAGCCATATCTTCTATTAGTCTTTGTCGCCATTCCTCACTATATTCCAAAATTAATAGTAGAAAGAAAAAACCCAGTGGGATGCACAATTATTTTCCCGCACAGCAAAAGGAGAAATTGAATGAACTACACACACCTACATATACTGCATACATTAAGTAAAATTCGTTTTGTATTTTACAGCCGAGACAGGAGAAACCTAAAAAAGACAAGATTGATCATTATCGTCCGCAAGGTGAAGAATTTGACAAAGCCTATACATACGACTATAAATCTCGCACAGATGACACTGAAGTATCTCAGCAACGAGTGGCGACAGAGAAAATAACCGTCGACAGAAGAGCTATAACTCGTATGGAGGCAACCGAGAAACCAAGATATCCCAAAGACATTGACGTTGGACGTATTATGATCGAAGAAATTCCTGAAGAAAAAGAAGTGACAAAACGTGACGTTATTAAGAGAGAGGAAGTGAAGCCAAAACATGAAGATATGGAAACACGTTATCAAGTTGAAAAAGTTCCTAGAAGACAAGCGCACGAAGATGTTGCTAAAGTTGGTAGACTGGATATCACGGAATATGAGAAAATACAAAGGGAGCCCGAACCAATTAAAGACAGAACAACAACTTACACTGGAAGATTGGGAAAAGATCTCGAGGTAACGTTAATCTCACCAGAAACTCTATATGCGTTCCTGAAGACATCGTAATGTGATATGTCAACGAAACGAATTCTAAATGCGAAATTTTAATGTTTGAATATGATGTTGAGTTGTGTTTCGAAGACAGAAATCTATTGTGTTTCAATATGACGAAAAAATATTTCATTAATTATCATTCCCCATGCTGCTGATCGTTGGCGAATATTGTCTAAATATTGCGATATCTTGTATTAGTCTGTGTCGGCTTTGTCGACTATTTTGTAAAATTTATAGTATAATGAAAAACCTAGGATGAAAAACGAGGGATACACAGTTTTTATAGGTTGTTCAGAATTTTAAAATACAAACTCCTTTACTTTTTCAGTTCTCTTTTCGCACAGCAAAAGGGAAAAATGAGATAACTACATCCTCCTACATACTTCGCACCTTAACTAAAGTACGTCTTGTATTTCACAGAAACCTAAAAAAGACAGGATCGATCATTATCGTCCACAAGGTGAAGAATTTGACAAAGCCTATACATACGACTATAAATCTCGCACAGATGACACTGAAGTATCTCAGCAACGAGTGGCGACAGAGAAAATAACCGTCGGCAGAAGAGATATAACACGTACCGAGGCAACCGAGAAACCGAGATATCCCAAAGACATTGACGTTGGACGCATTGTGATTGAAGAAATTCCTGAAGAAAAGGAAGTGACAAAACGTGACGTTATTAAGAGAGAGGAAGTGAAGCCAAAACATGAAGAAATGGAAACACGTTATCAAGTTGAAAAAGTTCCTAGAAGACAAGCGCACGAAAATGTGGTTAAAGTTGGCAGACTGGAAATGACCGAATATGAGAAAACACAAAGGGAGCCCGAATCAATTAAAGACAGAACAACAACTTACACTGGAAGATTGGGAAAAGATCTCGAGGTAACGTTAATCTCACCAGAAACTCTATACGTGTTCCTGAAGACATCGTAATGTGATATGTCAATGAAACGTATTCTCAATGCGAAATTTTAATCTTTGACTATAATGTTGAGTAGTGTTTCGAAGTCAGAAATCTATTGTTTTTCAATATGACGAACAAATATTTCATTAATTATCATTCCCCATGCTGCTGATCGTTGGCGAGTATTGTCTAAATATTGCGATATTTTGTATTAGTCTGTGTCGGCTTTCTCGACTATTTTGTAAAATTTATAGTATAATGAAAAACCTAGGATGAAAAACGAGGGATACACAGTTTTTATAGGTTGTTCAGAATTTTAAAATACACACTCCTTTACTTTTTCAGTTCTCTTTTCGCACAGCAAAAGAGGAAAATGAGATAACTACATCCTCCTACATACTTTGCACCTTAAACCTTAACTAAAGTACGTCTTGTATTTCACAGAAACCTAAAAAAGACAGGATGGATCATTATCGTCCACAAGGTGAAGAATTTGACAAAGCCTATACATACGATTATAAATCTCGCACAGATGACACTGAAGTATCTCAGCAACGAGAGGCGACAGAGAAAATAACCGTCGACAGAAGAGATATAACTCGTATGGAGGCAACCGAGAAACCAAGATATCCCAAAGACATTGACGTTGGACGTATTGTGATTGAAGAAATTCCTGAAGAAAAAGAAGTGACAAATCGTGACGTTATTAAGAGAGAGGAAGTGAAGCCAAAACATGAAGATATGGAAACACGTTATCAAGTTGAAAAAGTTCCTGGAAGACAAGCGCACGAAGATGTGGTTAAAGTTGGTAGACTGGGTATGACGGAATATGAGAAAACACAAAGGGAGCCCGAACCAATTAAAGACAGAACAACAACTTACACTGGAAGATTGGGAAAAGATCTCGAGGTAACGTTAATCTCACCAGAAACTCTATATGTGTTCCTGAAGACTTCGTAATGTGATATGTCAATGAAACGAATTCTAAATACGAAATTTTAATGCTTGAATATGATGTTGAGTTGTGTTTCGAAGACAGAAAGCTATTGTTTTTCAAAATAACGAACAAATATTTCATTAATTATCATTCCCCATGTTGCTGATCGTTTGCGAATATTGTCTAAACACTGCGATATCTTGTATTAGTCCGTGTTTTGGCTTTGTCGACTAATTTTTAAAATTTATAGTATAACGAAAAACCTAGGATGAAAAACGAGGGATACCCAGTTTTTATAGATCGTTCAGAATTTTAAAATACAAACTCTTTTCCTTCTTCAGTTCTCTTTTCGCACAGCAAAAGGGAAAAATGAGATAACTACATCCTTCTACATACTTTGCACCTTAACTAAAGTACGTCTTGTATTTCACAGAAACCTAAAAAAGACAGGATCGATCATTATCGTCCACAAGGTGACGAATTTGACAAAGCCTATACATACGATTATAAATCTCGCACATATGACACTGAAGTATCTCAGCAACCAGTGGCGAAAGAGAAAATAACCGTCGACAGAAGAGATATAACTCGTATGGAGGCAACCGAGAAACCAAGATATCCCAAAGACATTGACGTTGGACGTATTGCGATTGAAGAAATTCCTGAAGAAAAAGAAGTGACAAAACGTGACGTTATTAAGAGAGAGGAAGTGAAGCCAAAACATGAAGATATGGAAACACGTTATGAAGTTGAAAAAGTTCCTAGAAGACAAGCGCACGAAGATGTGGTTAAAGTTGGTAGACTGGATATGACGGAATATGAGAAAACACAAAGGGAGCCGGAACCAATTAAAGACAGAACAACAACTTACACTGGAGGATTGGGAAAAGATCTCGAGGTAACGTTAATCTCACCAGAAACTCTATATGTGTTCCTGAAGACTTCGTAATGTGATATGTCAATGAAACGAATTCTAAATGCGAAATTTTAATGTTTGAATATGATGTTGAGTTGTGTTTCGAAGACAGAAATCTATTCTTTTTCGATATGACGAACAAATATTTCATTAATTATCATTCCCCATGTTGCTGATCGTTGGTGAATATTGTCTAAATACTGCGATATCTTGTATTAGTCCGTGTCGGCTTTGTCGACTAATTTGTAAAATTTATAGTATAACGAAAAACCTAGGATGAAAAACGAGGGATACACAGTTTTTATATATCGTTCAGAATTTTAAAATACAAACTCTTTTCCTTTTTCAGTTCTCTTTTCGCACAGCAAAAGGGAAAAATGAGATAACTACATCCTTCTACATACTTTGCACCTTAACTAAAGTACGTCTTGTATTTCACAGAAACCTAAAAAAGACAGGATCGATCAGTATCGTCCACAAGGTGAAGAATTTGACAAAGCCTATACACACGATTATAAATCTCGCACAGATGACACTGAAGTATGTCAGCAACGAGTGGCGACAGAGAAAATAACCGTCGACAGAAGAGATATAACTCGTATGGAGGCAACCGAGAAACCAAGATCTCCCAAAGACATTGACATTGGACGTATTGTGATTGAAGAAATTCCTGAAGAAAAAGAAGTGACAAAACGTGACGTTATTAAGAGAGAGGAAGTGAAGCCAAAACATGAAGATATGGAAACACGTTATGAAGTTGAAAAAGTTCCTAGAAGACAAGCGCACGAAGATGTGGTTAAAGTTGGTAGACTGGATATGACGGAATATGAGAAAACACAAAGGGAGCCGGAACCAATTAAAGACAGAACAACAACTTACACTGGAAGATTGCGAAAAGATCTCGAGGTAACGTTAATCTCACCAGAAACTCTATATGTGTTCCTGAAGACTTCGTAATGTGATATGTCAATGAAACGAATTCTAAATGCGAAATTTTAATGTTTGAATATGATGTTGAGTTGTGTTTTGAAGACAGAAATCTATTCTTTTTCGATATGACGAACAAATATTTCATTAATTATCATTCCCCATGTTGCTGATCGTTGGTGAATATTGTCTAAATACTGCGATATCTTGTATTAGTCCGTGTCGGCTTTGTCGACTAATTTGTAAAATTTATAGTATAACGAAAAACCTAGGATGAAAAACGAGGGATACACAGTTTTTATATATCGTTCAGAATTTTAAAATACAAACTCTTTTCCTTTTTCAGTTCTCTTTTCGCACAGCAAAAGGGAAAAATGAGATAACTACATCCTTCTACATACTTTGCACCTTAACTAAAGTACGTCTTGTATTTCACAGAAACCTAAAAAAGACAGGATCGATCAGTATCGTCCACAAGGTGAAGAATTTGACAAAGCCTATACATACGATTATAAATCTCGCACAGATGACACTGAAGTATCTCAGCAACGAGTGGCGACAGAGAAAATAACCGTCGACAGAAGAGATATAACTCGTATCGAGGCAACTGAGAAACCAAGACATCCCAAAGACATTGACGTTGGACGTATTGTGATTGAAGAAATTCCTGAAGAAAAAGAAGTGACAAAACGTGACGTTATTAAGAGAGAGGAAGTGAAGCCAAAACATGAAGATATGGAAACACGTTATCAAGTTGAAAAAGTTTCTAGAAGACAAGCGCACGAAGATGTGGTTAAAGTTGGTAGACTGGATATGACGGAATATGAGAAAACACAAAGGGAGCCCGAACCAATTAAAGACAGAACAACAACTTACACTGGAGGATTGGGAAAAGATCTCGAGGTAACGTTAATCTCACCAGAAACTCTATATGTGTTCCTGAAGACTTCGTAATGTGATATGTCAATGAAACGAATTCTAAATGCGAAATTTTAATGTTTGAATATGATGTTGAGTTGTGTTTCGAAGACAGAAAGCTATTGTTTTTCAATATGACGAACAAATATTTCATTAATTATCATTCCCCATGCTGCTGATCGTTGGCGAATATTGTCTAAATATTGCGATATCTTGTATTAGTCTGTGTCGGCTTTGTCGACTATTTTGTAAAATTTATAGTATAATGAAAAACCTAGGATGAAAAACGAGGGATACACAGTTTTTATAGATCGTTCAGAATTTTAAAATACAAACTCTTTTCCTTCTGCAGTTCTCTTTTCGCACAGCAAAAGGGAAAAATGAGATAACTACATCCTTCTACATACTTTGCACCTTAACTAAAGTACGTCTTGTATTTCACAGAAACCTAAAAAAGACAGGATCGATCATTATCGTCCACAAGGTGAAGAATTTGACAAAGCCTATACATACGACTATAAATCTCGCACAGATGACACTGAAGTATCTCAGCAACGAGTGGCGACAGAGAAAATAACCGTCGACAGAAGAGATATAACTCGTATCGAGGCAACCGAGAAACCAAGACATCCCAAAGACATTGACGTTGGACGTATTGTGATTGAAGAAATTCCTGAAGAAAAAGAAGTGACAAAACGTGACGTTATTAAGAGAGAGGAAGTGAAGCCAAAACATGAAGATATGGAAACACGTTATCAAGTTGAAAAAGTTCCTGGAAGACAAGCGCACGAAGATGTGGTTAAAGTTGGTAGACTGGATATGACGGAATATGAGAAAACACAAAGGGAGCCCGAACCAATTAAAGACAGAACAACAACTTACACTGGAAGATTGAGAAAAGATCTCGAGGTAACGTTAATCTCACCAGAAACTCTATATATGTTCCTGAAGACTTCGTAATCTGATTTGTCAACGAAACGAATTCTAAATGCGAAATTTTAATGTTTGAATATGATGTTGAGTTGTGTTTCGAAGACAGAAATCTATTGCTTTTCAATATGACGAACAAATTATTTTATTAATTATCATTCCCCATGCTGCTGATCGTTGGCGAATATTGTCTAAATACTGCGATATCTTGTATTAGTCTGTGTTGGCTTTGTCGACTATTTTGTAAAATTTATAGTATAATGAAAAACCCAGGGTGAAAAACGAGGGATACACAGTTTTTATAGATCGTTCGGAAGTTTAAAATACAAACTCCTTTGCTTTTTCAGTTCTCTTTTCGCACAGCAAAAGGGAAAAATGAGATAACTACATCCTCCTACATACTTTGCACCTTAACTAAAGTACGTCTTGTATTTCACAGAAACCTAAAAAAGACAGGATCGATCATTATCGTCCACAAGGTGAAGAATTTGACAAAGCCTATAGATACGACTATAAATCTCGCACAGATGACACTGAAGTATCTCAGCAACGAGTGGCGACAGAGAAAATAACCGTCGACAGAAGAGATATAACACGTATCCAGGCAACCGAGAAACCGAGATATCCCAAAGACATTGACGTTGGACGTATTGTGATTGAAGAAATTCCTGAAGAAAAGGAAGTGACAAAACGTGACGTTATTAAGAGAGAGGAAGTGAAGCCAAAACATGAAGATATGGAAACACGTTATGAAGTTGAAAAAGTTCCTAGAAGACAAGTGCACGAAGATGTGGTTAAAGTTGGTAGACTGGATATGACGGAATATGAGAAAACACAAAGGGAGCCCGAACCAATTAAAGACAGAACAACAACTTACACTGGAAGATTGGGAAAAGATCTCGAGGTAACATTAATCTCACCAGAAACTCTATATGTGTTCCTGAAGACTTCGTAATGTGATATCTCAATGAAACGAATTCTAAATGCGAAATTTTAATGTTTAAATGATGTTGAGTTGTGTTTCGAAGACAGAAATCTATTGTTTTTCAATACGATGAACAAATATTTCATTAATTATCATTCCCCATGCTGCTGATCGTTGGCGAATATTGTCTAAATACTGCGATATGTTGTATTAGTCTTTGTCGGCTTGGTTGACTATATCGTAAAATTAATGGTATAATGAAAAACGTAGGATGAAAAACGAGGGATACACTTTTTATAGATCGTTCAGAATTTTAAAATAGAAACTCGTTTCCTTTTTCAGTTCTCTTTTCGCACAGCAAAAGTGGAAAGTGAGATAACTACACAATCCTACATACTTTGCACCTTAACTAAAGTACGTCTTGTATTTCATAGAAACCTAAAAAAGACAGGATTGACCATTATCGTCCACAAGGTGAAGAATTTGACAAAGCCTATACATACGATTATAAATCCCGCACAGATGACACTGAAGTATGTCAGCAACGTATAACGACAGAGAAAATAACCGTCGACAGAAGAGATATAACTCGTATGGGGGAAACTGAAAAACGAAAATATCCTAAAGATCTTGATATTGGACGTATTGTAATTGAAGAAATACCTGAAGAGGTTCCAAAACATAAAATCCTAAGGAAAGAACACGGCGGACCAAGGAGCACCGGGGTGACAATCGCACAACATGAAGTTGAAGAACATCCCAAGACGTACCTTACAGAGGATGTCATCAAAGTTGGTAAACTGGATGTAACCCATTTGGAAAAGGAAATGGTGGAAGCGAAGACGGTTCGGGATAGAATCAGGACTTATAAAGACAGAGTTGATGGACCTCGCAAGGTATCGCTCGTCGTGTTTTGTGTTTTTCATTCCAATAATCCATTTAGTCTAACTATAGTTGATCTTAAAAAATGGGTGATACTAAACGGTAGTGTGCACCAGGTAGTGCTCAAACCGACAGTCAAAGTATTAAAAGAATGTTGTACTTTTTCCACCATTTACGTCTATGAATATGTTTTGAAAATGAAATATGAAAATAAATAGGTTTTGGGGATCATGCATGGTATAAATTTGAATACAATTTTTTATTTGAAAAATTTGAAAAAGACTTCTACACAGGCAATAAAAAAGTTCTAAAATTTTGTTCGAAACGTTTCGCCAGTTAAGGCTTCCTCAGCGGGAATGTTTTAGCCAGGTCACGTCCGATGAACATATATACACATATATATAAGCTAGACTAACTTTAAATAAATATTAACAAAAGGATGGAATATGGACAATTACGAGCTATTGTTTTGAATGTTATTATTCCGGCGTGTCATGCCAAATTAGGATATTAAATGTTAATTGTTCTGCCAATGCACTCGTTTATTATGTTTCCCACTCTTTTCTTGATTTCAAACGCCTCAAAGCACTTACGCTCATCATCATGGCTTATGTTGGCATGTGGGGGTGCTGAAGAAAGCCAGGAACATTGATAACTACAATATGTGGAATTAGTGTAGCAAGACCAATAAAACGAAAATGTATACATAAAATTCTCCCAATTTTAAAAACAATTTTTTTTATAAACATATTTTATTAAATAATTAAAGTGTTTATTCCAAAAACACAAAAAGCTTATCGAGGGGACTCACACACAAGTTAATATAAAAGTATATGGAAATAAGATAAGAAAGTAACGACGTATACACATAGAGCATTAGTAAAGACAAGAAAAAAGAAGCAATAAATAACATACAACATTACAGGACTTCACAAATACACACACACACACAAATACATTAGTCATTATACAAGTCAAATTTAATTTAATTTAATTTAATTTAATTTACGAGGCGACAGGAGAAAAGCGATTTGTTGAAAGAATGTAGCTTTGTACTTCTTCAAAGAATTTGCGATTATCAAATAACTTAATTCTTGAATGGCATTAAGGATATAAAATACCTAAATTCCATCGCTACTTTCCGTCCACCTTTGACCACATATCCGCTTCGCAGAGGCAAGAAATAAGTTGCGTTGAGCTGCAAAACGGGAACAAGTCAGAAAATAATATTTTACAGATTCATTTTCCATTCCACAGTGACAAAGTGGTGAAGACAGACAATTGATTTTAAACAAATACTCATTCAGACAATGAAAGCCCAATCTCAATCGAGTATGTAAAATTGATGCTCGACGAGTAAGAGAAACATAAAAAATTTTATTATACACTAACGGACAGAACATTGATTTAATTTTAACTTTAAATGTATCAAGCGAATCCAAATTTCGTATATCAGTGCCTAAATAATTCCATTGATTGATTGTTGAAGGAAAAACGATTGTTTAAATTTTACCGTTCGACATGAGATAGAGCTAACATTTTCACTGGAACGAAGTGAACGATGAGCCCTTCCTCCAACAGTATTAGGTAATAAATCAACAAGATACGCTGGAGCTAGAGATGCACTTAGTAATTTTGCAGAAATAAACTAAATTATGTAATTTTCTCCTATCACTGAGATTCTCCCATGCTAGCTCATTCAACAGAGCTATATCACTTGTGCCTTTAATCGCTCCGGCCACAACTTTAGCTGCCTCATACTGAACATGTTCCAATAATTCTTCTTCACTACAATTGTCATATTACATCTCCATACTCCAATGGGCATCAATTTTCAATAGAGAAACAAGTAGAGATTCTTAAAATATTATTCAAATTGCACCATCTTGTGATGCACTTTAGCTTTCAAAAAATTAGCATGCAATACAAATCACAAAACTAAACTAAACTCAGCATAAAATGTCATTATCTAGCCACAGAAAGAACGAAAACCGAAAGATAAAGCCTTGGAACCCAGTTATGTCGAAGATACTCATTACACAACGGCAATGCGGGAAAAAATCAAACCACGTTTAGATGAAACAAAGGTGTCACGAAGAGAAGTAGACACAGAGCGAATAACAATAATGAAAAGTGACACAACACGGACTGAAGAACCAGAACGACAAATATATCCAAAAGAACACGACACTGGTCGTATCGTGATTGAAGAAATTCCTGAAGATAAGCCACGAAAATACCTGAAATATCAAAGTGAACCCAAATCTACCAAAGTTACGGTTACGAGAGAACATGTTACGGATGCAACTAGAGCTCAAGAAAAAGAAAATGCGATAAACGTTGAAAAACTTGATTTTAACAAAGTAGATACAAGACAAGTGGAAGCTAGAAGGATAGCAGAAAGACCTTTGAAAGAAACAGAAAGGGTTGAACGCCCTCGAAAGGCATGTGTAAAATATTTCCATGGATCGATCGAGAAGAGCCATAGAATATACAACGATTAACCAATACAACTCCATATACTGCATTTTTAATAGATTACTGCAAAGTTGTTTTGCAAATTTTTATCATCTCACTATGTGCCGATACTGATTCCAACATTTCAAGTTTAATAATAAACATAGGTAAAGTTAGATAAACGTATGCCAATATGAGGTTTATAATTCTTCTAACTCACTTTGCAGGTGAGAAAAGATTTGAAACTGGAGGAAAGAACCCTGGTTGAATGTGAAGTCACTGATGTAGATTTTGACAAGATCTCAGAGACCAAACCACGCCCAGATGCAATTCCTCGTGAAAAAGTAGCCACGGAAAAGATTACAGTAAGAAGAAGGGATATCATACCACGCGAAGAACAACAAAAACCACAATTTCGCAAAGATCTTGACATTGGACGTATTGTGATTGAAGAAATTCCTGAAGAAAAAGAAGAGGTACCAGAACGTGAGATTTTCCAAAAGGAACCAGTCAGACCAATGGGAACCGATATGCCAGTAAATCAACGTGAAGTTAAAGAACTACCTAAGAAATATATCAAAGAGGATGTTGTTAAAGTTGGTAAACTTGCAACAAGTGATCTTGATCGCGTAACTGGAGAATCCCGACGAGTAGAGGAAAGAATAAAAACACAGAGAGAAACGATCGATGGAAGAAAGGTGAGATACAATAAGATATCTTTTCTTTGTGGGGGGCTTCCCCCCCCCCGTCGCTTTCTCACATTGGTTTGAGATTAATTTTACCGACTTTCAGCTTCCACACTAGGAAGTGATTCATAACAGAAATCCACCTTAAACTCAAAGTTACTTCAATTAGAGGACGTTCGGAATTATTAGAGTCATATTTTGTCCGAATTAGTAATGATGTACGAATAGCTTGATGTGGTTTAGTGTAAAAGACCTGATTTACACAGGTGACACAAATCTACGAAGCCAGCGGTACTCTAAAATTCAGGCACGGAAAAGGTTTAAGACACTATGAACATCTTTACCATACCTTCGCCTTCTGCAACTTGCAAGAGATTATTTTACCCATTAAGATTCATCTTCAGAGAAGTAAGAGAGTTTTTAATAGTTGCACAAGTTTATACACTTCGTAAATTAACTAAAGTACATCATCTATTCAACAGCCGAAACAAGTTAAACCAAAAGAAGACAGGATTGACCATTATCGTCCACAGGGTGAAGAATTTGATAAAGCGTATACATACGACTATAAATCCCATACAGATGATACTGAAATATCTCAGCAACAAGTCACCTCCGAGAAAATAACCGTCAGCAGAAGGGATATAACTCGTATGGAGGCAACTGAGAAACCAAGACATCCCAAAGACATTGACGTTGGACGTATTGTAATTGAAGAACTTCCTGAAGAAAAGGAAGAAGTGACAAAACGTGAAGCTGTTAAGAGAGACGAAGTGAAGCCAAAACATGAACACCTGGAAACACATTATGCAGTTGAAAAATCTCCTAGGAAGCAAGTACAAGAAGATGTGGTTAAAGTTGGTAGACTGGATATCACTGACTATGAAAAAACGCCAAGTGAGCAAGAACGAGTTGAAGAAAGAATCACTTACACCGGAAGATTAGAAAAGGATGCCAAGGTAACGTTAATCTACTTCCTGAAGACTTTGCAATGTGATATGTCGATGATACGGAGATAAGATGCGAAATAATGGCGTTTCAGCTCTCCATCATCGATAATCTATTTGTATCAAGGGCGACGGAATAGGTAGGCTAGGGAGCTACAGTATAGCCGCCAAAAAGTGAATATGAGGGGCTAAGCCCCTCCCCCACAAAAAATCAGAGTAAAGGCCCGGTCACACTACACAACGATAACGATATGATAACTTGTAAAAAGGTGCTGATTGGTAAAAAAAATCATTATCGTCCAACTGCAAAAAATCGCTCGGGTGAGCGATCTCAATAACGATAAATTTAATGAATAAATTTAATAAAATGGCCAATCAGCGTATGTTTACAAGTTATCGTACCGTTATCGTTGTGTAGTGTGACCTGGGCTTAAGGCAGTAATATGAAGATTCTTGATCGCTGAAGTGTGTGTGAGGAGGGGGGCTTCGGCACCCGTGACAGTTTTCATAGGTTAAGTCGTATATGCTTCGGTTCAAAAGCGTGAGCTCTTTCCATCGCCCGGTAGTTCGACTATGCTAATTTGCTAGTGACTTTAGCCCCCACCAAGTCATACAAACTAACCAAAACCAATTATGAAGCAAGTTTTTGCAGCATTTTTGTTGTCCAAATTCTTATATTCGGTGCAAGAAAGGGCAGGAAATAGCACTTCCGAGCTCTATTTGCCCGCTCTTCTAACTTTAAATATCTTCCTACGCTATGCTGTTGTGACAATTCGATCACGTTTTGCCTGTCGTGTTTCCACTTAAAGCTACAAGCATAGCTCATCCACTCGTTCATATCCATCAGAAGAAGAAAATTGCACCTAAAATCGCAGCAAAAATTGCATGTGTAAACGCGGCTTTAGAACATTTCTTCCCTTGTTGAATTCTCTTCTTTCATAGTAAATGTGAAAGTGAGATGACTGTACCATCCTATACACTTCGTGCATTAACTAAAGTACGTCTTGTACTTTACAGCCGCGACAGGAGAAACTTAAAGAAGATAGGATTGACCATTATCGTCCACAAGGAGAAGAATTTGACAAAGCCTACACATACGACTATAAACCCCGTACAGATGACACTGAAGTATCTCAGCAACGAGTCACGACAGAGAAAATAACCGTCAACAGAAGAGATATAACTCATATGGAGGAAACAGAAAAACCAAGATATCCCAAAGACATTTGTGTTGGACGTATTGTGATTGAAGAAATTCCTGAAGAAAAGGAAGAAGTGACAAAACCTGACGTTGTTAAGAGAGACGTAGTGAGGCCAAGACATGAAGACAAAGAAACACGTTATGAAGGTGAAAAAGTTGCTGGAACACGAGTGAAAGAAGTTATCAAAGTCGGCAGGCTAGATATTACCGACTACGAGAAAATACAAAAGGAATCCGAAAGAGTCGAACAACGGAAAGCTACTTACACTGAACAATTGAGAAAAGATCGAAAGGTATTATAGTTTAAACAATTTAACGTTCCGTGCTTTTGTGATTTCATGTTTCAGCTAAACTTGTAAAGTTTGTTGCATGTTATCTTCAAATTAGTTTTAAAGCTAATAATTTCAATAGTCCCTATACCACTGACAAGTGATTATTCTGTTTAATAGTTGTTGGATAGGCTCGACTTCTTTTTAGTTTACCTGCAACAAGATATTCTAATGTTCACCACTACGATTCAGTGCCCTCTAAGTGTAATTTTGTTTGCTCTAGCTAAAAGAAAAAACAGATACTCAAACAATAGAACGTCACGATATCGAAGATCTAAGCTACAACAAGGATAAACCTTATGACCGTAAACCACGCTATGATGAAACCAGACTCTACCAAAACGAAGTGGACGGGAGAATAGTTGGTGTTCCTAGAGATGACGAAATATGTGAAGATAATAGTATACAGCGCAAGGAATATCCAGAAGAAAAAGATGTAGGTCGTCAGGAAACACAAGAGTACGATATGCCAGGAGATATTTATCGTAAACTTTTGGAAAAACCGCGTATAACCGAAGTAGCAACCACGCAGCACGAGGTTGAAGATATCACCAAATCGTACCAAGATGATATATGTAATATTGGAAGACTTGATATTAGGGAATTTGAAAAACAACCACTAGGATCAAAGAGAGTAGAACAGAAGACCTTCGTACAAACAGAAAAACTGAAAGAAACACAAAAGGTTCGTTCATAAAAACTGTATTGAAATGTGCCAAGAATTATTTCCACATTAGGCATAAATTTAAAGCAGATATTTTCAACAATGTTGCGAAGATATTGCTCGTCATGCAAGATTGTGTCGCCGTTCGACGATCTCCATTACTTTTGTGTAAAACATGACATCATATGCATTGCACTATCTTCTGTGAGTATAACCCTTTCACAATCCTCTTAATACTCCTTACAGATTCCTTTCATAATTCTCTGTCAACCATTATAAACCATCTCATACATGCTTCTTCTTCTTCTGTGACAATACTTTCCACTTATATCAAATGCAGCATACTAATCTCAGTCGTCCCTTGCAGTGACCAATCATAACATTGTCATTTCGGTCCTAATACCGTGTCTTTTCCCTTCCTGAATTCCCACATTTCAGTCTGATATATTACTAATGCACAAATAAAATGCTTGTCAATATCAAAAGTGTTTCTTCACAAGAAAGTTGGGCTTTACAATATGAACGGCATGGTCGTCTCATCAGTTTCACTCGGTTTAAATTTCCTCTAAACATTTTCTTTTGTTTTTTGTCTATTTTACCAGTCAAGAAAAGGTGAACGACCTAAACAAGACGGGATTGATCATTACCGTCCACAAGGTGAAGACTTTGACAAAGCATATACATACGACTATAAATCCCATAGAGATGATACTGAAATACCTCAGCAACAAGTAACCACAGAGAAAATAACCATCAGCAGAAGAGATATAACTCGTATGGAAGAAACAGAGAAACCAAGATATCCCACAGATCTTGATATTGGCCGTATTGTGATTGAAGAAATTCCTAAAGAAATGGAAGAAGTGACAAAACCTAACGTTGTCAAGAGAGACGAAGTGAAGCTAAGACGTGAAGATACGGAAACACGTTATGGAGTTGAAAAAGTACATAGAAAGCAAGTACAAGAAATGGTTAATGTTGGTAGACAGGATATAACTGACTATGAGAAAACACCAAGAGAGTCTGAACATGTTGAAGAAAGAACAACCACTTACACTGAAAGATTGGAAAAGGATCGCAAGGTAAATTTGATGTCAAAGATCAAAATTTTAAGTGGCTAAGATTACATAAACAAACTGCTAAATGTAATGGCATAGAAACTCCAATTTGCAATAACGCGTAATTATTCCGACAAAAACTTTTTCCACTCAACATCATAATTCTTCATGACGACATACAGTAAAAAGGCTTTAATTAGTAACGCATAAGCCCTTGTTTGTGGATTAAGGGTTCTACTAAGCTACCATTAATAAAATAATACAACTGAGGTCTTAGCAATTTGATTCTCAAAAATCCACAATTTAACTTGAGTGAGACGTTGAATGTGTATCATCATCAATCTTCTGCCGTGCAGTACTGAGAATATAGACTATAAGCTTGAATGCAAATCGATATAGCAACAGAAATGTGAAAGAACTTTTAAAATTTTAAACATTATTTTTTTACCGATTTTCAAGATCTTGCTTAGTTCTTGAAATATTTCGCCATCTGGGATTATTTTTTAATCTCATTAACGGTTGTTTCAGTGACGTCACAAGCGCCCCTGGGTGCCAATAACAATTAGATGTGAAAAGGTTTTTATTTGAAATTACAATTTTGGGCCCATTGTGACCATTGACTGTCCGCCATATTGAAAATCGTAAATATTTTCGCTATCCTAAAATAATTTCGTGAATTATGATTATTTCAGTCAAAATATTTTAGTTTCCACACAATTTTAAATAAAGGGAACATGTTTTTTTATTGCCGTATCCCTCTAAAAATATTTCCTAACATTAGGGTGCTGGACGTTGAGTGCTAGTGTAGGCAGCAAAGAATACAATGTACAATGTATCATGTACAATTTTGTGTATGATGCACAAATTAAGGTGACTCGATACATTTTTTTTAAAGGAACATTTGCGCTTTAGATGAGCATTTTTGGACAAGTATTACTTAATGAAAAACAAAAGCATCTTACTTATGTGAAACCACATCTAAAGAGTTTGAAATTTTTGCACAAAAGTTACGCAACTGCCGTTGCTATGGAAACAATGACGTTTCAATATGGCGGATATTTGGCTTTAAAGTAATTTAACTAGTAAAGGACATCGGTGACCTCCAATTTTTATTTCATAATGAACATAACGTCCCTGCTTATCCAGAACTTTTACAATCAATTTACCTTTCACATCCTACAATATATAAAGTCGTGCGTTTCTTATTCTAGCTTTCTGGAATAAGATTGTTCACCGTAAGTCAATATCTCTTGCATCAATGTTCTGAAAAGTATTTTTTATTTTACAGCCAAAAAGAGACGAGAGACCTAAAAAAGACAGGATTGATCATTATCGTCCACAAGGTGAAGAATTTGACAAAGCTTATACATACGACTATAAATCTCGCGCAGATGACACTAAAGTATCTCAGCAACAAGTAACCTCGGAGAAAATAACCGTCAGCCGAAGAGATATAACTCGTATAGAGGAAACTGAGAAACCCAGATATCCCAAAGATCTTGATATTGGACGTATTGTAATTGAAGAAATTCCAGAGGAAAAGGAAGAAGTGACAAAACGTGACATTATCAAGAAAGACGAAGTGAAACAAAGACGTGAAGACATGGAAACACGTTATCAAGTCGAAAGGGGTCCAAAACGGCAAGTGAAAGAAGAAATTATTAAAGTTGGTAAATTTGATGTCAGAGACTACGAGAAAACACCCATGGTGTGCGAGCGAGTGGAAGAAAGAAGTACTACGTATACTGACAGGATGCAGAAGGATCGTGAGGTAATTTGATTAATTCAATTTCTGAATGATCATCTAGAAATGGTATTAACCATTATAAACCAAAGAGTGGATGAGTTAAATATTTGCCACAAATTATAATCGTCCATGTTCACAGTTCTACTTACAAGAAGTAAATCCTTAGATTTTTAGATCTTTAGAAAGGTTTTAACTTCTAAATCCAACGAGATTATTAAAATCCTCCCTCTATTTCAAAAACATATATTTTTCTTGCTACTAGTAGTTTTTGGTTTGATGGTAAGATTAGATGTTATTTATTCCCTTCCATTATCCAGCCAAGAAAAGGAAAATTATACGAGGACCCGAAAACGAAAAAAAGTTACATTGACGACACATACAATGTGGAAAAGCCCTACGAACGCAAGCCTCGTTATGATGAGACTGAAGTTGATAGAGAAAAGGTCGGGACAGAAAAGGTCGCAATAACACGAACATACGAAGACGGACGGGTAGATCGAATGGAACGACAAAAGTATCCGAATGATAAGGATGTTGGTCGCATTGTAATGGATGAAACGGTCGAAGAAACACCAAAGGAGGTTCGTCATAAAATTACAGACAGACCTCGAAAGAAAGAAACAACAACCACGCGTAACGATGTGATAGATATTCATAGAACAGATGTGAAAGATGTCCAGAGAACATACATCCACAAAGAGAAAGAACGTTTTGGACCAACAAGACCTGAGGAACAATTCCTACCAGAGACAGAAAGACTAGATCATCAGAGAAAGGTAAGTCGAAGAGGTTTCCAAGAGCAAAAATATAGATATTTTGTATCATTATGTTTGTCATTTATTTTGTCTTTTATTGTTTCCAAAAGTGAGTCTTTCTACGCGGGCTTACGATTAGCATTTCTATAGCGCAAATTTACATGTGGATATGACCAAATGCACTTTAGATACATCAAGTATTATACGCCTACCTAGCTACATACTTAGCTTGGACTAAGCAATTGTGACAACAATTGTGATATTAATTTCTTAACTCCGGAGCACCCGGAGAAAACCCACGACTTTCGGCAGAGCGTTGATTGACTCTTTTCACATGAGTCCATAGCGAGAATCGAACCCACGAACTGAGAGGTGAACTGAGTCGCTTGCTCTGACGACTGCGCCACCGAAGGGGGCTATGGTAGAAGATATCTCGCCCTTATGGTTATTACAGGCAGGTAGTACGCATATTAATTTTAAATTTTAAAAAATTCGGGATAAATGTAAATAATCTTTATCTTGGGTACAAATAAATGCTTATTGTTGTTGGTATACATTACGTCAATATATTTATTTGCTATGGGCCGACACAAAACTTAATTCAGACATTGAGTGACATTCTATAAATTTTCTAACTTGGGATTGTAAATATATTTCAGGTCCGTAAAGACGAAACACCAGACGATACGGATTTTGATCGTCGTGTTTTAGAAGATCTAGATTCAACGTTCCGAAAAGAACCTAAATCATACACCGATGACGCACATGCACCACGGCAACGCGTCACAACAGAACGAATCATTGTAAGCAGACAGGATATTTCCAAAACAGAAGAACCCGAGAAACCAAGATATCCTAAAGATCTTGACATTGGGAGAATTGTGATTGAAGAAATTCCAGAGGAGAAAATCCCAAAACGAGAAAGCCCACAAAAAGAGCGTTCAAAACCCAAAGCGAGGGAGTCTATAGAAACACAAGAAACTAAAGTACCAAGAAAGGAAGTTATAGAGCATGAAACAAAAATACACAAGGAATACACAACTGATTATGAAGAACGACCTTGGGAGAGACGGTCAGTGGATGAAAGAGTGACGACATACACAGACAGACTTGATGGAGTGCATAAGGTAATTAGAGTATACCTGTATCATCACTATCTTAGTTTGTGATACCATTGGACCAAATGCTTGAAGTAGTATTTCTAGCTTATAAGATCTACTTATGAATTCATTGCTAATGACCAAATAGTTTTCAACTTTAAATTAAGCCTGCAACTAATAAAATTTTAAATATTTGCTAAATCTAGATCTCCAGCTAAAAGAGGGGTCAGGCTTTCCTTCAATCCTATTCTTTTACTTAATTATTTAAGTTAAGAAATAAGTTGATGCTCAGCCCCAGTATTTCGACAGGAACAGGCAACATTTGATTTTGCCATTTTATTAATATGTAGACATACTAAAATTTATTAATATGTAGACTGAATAGATCGAAATATTAATAAAATTAATACATTGTCTTTTAGCCAAAGAAGGAAGACAAGCCGGATGAACGTGAACAAGTTCCGAGGTGTATCGAAGATTCGACTTACTACAAGGAGACTCGTGGTGATCGTGTGTCCAGCAGAGATGAACCTCGTGTCTCTCGACTATCAACAGATAAAATAACGTTCACCAGAACCGATGACATCGCGAGAGAAAAAGTGAAACGTCATGATCATCCAAGTGAGCAGCGAATTGGTCGTATTGTCATTGACGAAATTCTAGACGAATCTGAAAGAATCACAGAACCCAAAAAAGTAAGAACATTGATTTCATAATTAATAATAATATGTATACCAAGACGATGGTGGTATGCGGCTGACGTTTATCGAAATTAGTTTAGCCGAAAGTAAAAATTTTCATTACGCCGGCTTTCCGTTGTCTCACCAAAACGTGCTTGTTTATAATTGACAGCCAACAATGTATTTTATGCTAGCAGCTAGCTCAAATCATTCGAATGTTTCGAGTAAAAATCAGTAAAATAATCAAAAGATACATTCTTCAGTCGCCAGTCCAACACGTTCTAAATGAGTAACACTAAGGTGTAGCAAGAGACTACTTTCAATACGGACTATGTAAATGCTCAGAAGTTGTCAATCTTTTTGACAGGAAACATCAATAACCGTTCAATCATTACCTTTATTATTAGGTAAAGAAAGATGTACAACCCGAGAAACAACGACCATCCCATCTTCAGGTAGAAGATTTCCAAACCGTACATCGACCATATGAGACGAAACCCCGTGAAGACGAGACCCCTCGAAAGTATATATCTAGTGATAAAATAACTATCACCAAATACGACATTACCAAGCAAGAGGAAACAGAAAGACGCAAACATCCTAAAGATCTTGACATTGGTCGTATTGTGATTGAAGAAATACCAGGAGAAAAAGAACAAGGGCCAACAAAAGAACAAGCACACCCGAGAGACACACAAGAGATCATAACACGGAAAGAAGTCAAAGATATCCCCAAGTTACGAGAAGAAACAATCAAAGTTGGTAAATTCGACTTACGTGGTGTTGAGAAGGAGGTCGAGGAATCGAGAAAAACGGAGGGAACATTAATAACGCATAACGAGCGAGTTGACCACAGCTGCAAGTTTGTGACAGATCAACACACTGTCAGTGAAACTAAAATAGATGTTATTGATGAAAGAGTGCGGATGGGACTTCGACCAAAAGACAAAACTTTTATGGGTGTTCAAAAGACAGTTGGACCTCGTGTTATAACAGACAGGATTGATGGAGGACAGAAAGTTGATGACAAAACTGGAGAGAAGAAAATAGCTGAATCTACAATAGGTACGATTTCAAATTATACAAGGCAAAATACCTGACAGCAATTCTCGTAACTTAAGGTGTAATTAGGATAGCCCTATTTCACTGGCTAATTGTTTCTAAAACCATTGGGGAAAAGCACTAAATATACAAAAAAATTACAATAAGAGTAAAAAATATATACAAATGACAGAATATACTAAAAATGTGTTGACAAAAAGATCATATTTTAATTGGATCATCCGTTCACACGAGGCCGGATGAATTCCGAACCGTACTCATATTGGTCCGGATTCACCTTGCGCTTACTCGGGACGCATGAAACCGGACGAATTCCAGCATAGCTAACCAAATAAAATTTAGGTCTCGTTTTGTACCGGAATGGATCCTAAATTAGACGGCGCCATGTGAACAGCGGCATCGGTCTTTTTGCACGGTAGAGGATTGGGATTGAGACATCTACACACGCATATGTAAATACTTTCGAGACTACAATTCACTCGGTTCCGTGTGAACACTTTTCGTCTCGTAATTAATCCGGTTCCGTGTGAACATGTAGAACCGAACGAATTTGAGTGAGTGAGTGTTCCGATTCATCCATCCCCGTGTGATTGCTTGCTACAATTTTATTGCTAAATCCAGAAGAAAATGTAGACAGACATTGAAAGGATAGACAGTGGAAGAAACTGAATAAAGCTTTGGTTGGTTTTCATCAGCTAGCAATGTTTTGAAGACCAAAATCATTATTCTAGACCAATTAAAACAAAATAAATATATGTTATTATAGGTGTGGATGCTCTTCGCGGACACGATGTAGTCACAGATTCTGTCTGGGAAGAAAGCGTAAAACCTTTGGATGAACATCCCAAGGAACCAGAAGAAGCGGGAAAACCTGTGCAGCCCAAAGCAATCATTATTACCAAAGATGATCGATCCAAAGTCCAAGAAGACGTCCTTGTGTCTCTTCGCAAAGTAAAAGCAGAGGAAGTGAAAGAAGATGTCAAAGTTCGGCGATTTAAAATCGATGAATCACGGGACATTCATGGTGTAAAGAAACACAAAGAACCTGTTAATGAAAGAAGAATCAAAGAAAAGCCAAAGAAAGAAGCAGAACAAAAACAACGAGAAGGACCAGAAGAGAAACCAAGAAAGGGACACGAGGAGCCGAAACGGGGAAAACCAAAAGAAAAGCAAACACAAACCAAGGAAAGAATGGACGAGCGTGACATAAAGATAGCTTATTATGAGAAAAAGAAACGAGAACGGTTACAACGAGCACACGAGAAAAGACGTTTTGAAGAAGAGAGATATCAGATGAAGAGAGCATCGTCAGACCCATGGATACACGTGAGAAGACATGAAAAGCAACCATTACATGAAATAACTGCAACTCAAGTCATCGATGATGATCCAAGAAGGTAATATACAAAATGCATTAAATCAAACCTCGTCAATACTTTAACCAATCAAATCACTCATAATACAGGGTGTATAAAAAAACTGAACCGATTTGAAATTGCTCTCAATTTCGCAAACTCGAAGGTCGCTGGTTCAAGATCCAGCTGCGGCAGACACTATCTTTCTACTTACGCTGGGTATGGAAATTATGAAATACACACTCGAGAACATTTTCAACTTATCATGTTACGGAGTGAACAATAACACACACATTATATGTACTATTTAAAGCACGCGTAGGAGTGTTTTATCGCATATAAAACACGACGCGTAGCGGAGAAAATAGCTTCAAAAACGACTCATCTTATACGAGTTCATTGGCGAAGTAATTTTTAAAATAAACTTTGTCTAAACCGAGAAACTACAGACGGTACCGATTTAGTAGAACTAGGCAATAAAACGCATATATATATATATATATATATATATATATATATATATATATATGTGTGTGTTTTATTGCCTAGTTCTACTAAAATTATCGACATTCGAACTTTCGCGCTTTTTATACGCCGCTGTTCGAATGCTGATAACCTTAAAACTAGGCAATAAAACGCAAATCCAAGCAGCAAATTTTTAGAAAACTTCTTATTTTACCTTGTCACGTTAGGGAGCAGTCATTATTAATGCTGGGGGGGGGGGGCGGAAGACATTTGGGGGGCCATCAAAAATTTATTAATCACTTAGGGGGCTACCAAAGTATCAAAGAAAGGTAGGGGGGGGGGGTCACCAAAAATAATGTACAATAATCATAAAACATCAGCAGTTATAGTTCACTGTAATATAAATGTCAATGCGGTAATCGCGCACAGGGACGAGTGCAATTAATGATTAACACTACGAGTGATATTTGAAAAATGTGCCAAAATTGCACAAGCGATTAATAATTAATTGCACGACTTGCCCGTGTGATTATTTATTTATTTTATGCATGGGATGATGAGAAAATAGTTTTCTTTAAAATTCAATTTCATTTTGTCAAGAGTTTTTAATTCTTTTGTAAGCAATTTGGCATAACAAACTTGGGAAATGATCATAAACTCATTATTCAAACTCAAATAACATATGTTCAAAGTATTGAGAAAATCTTTATAAATTGTATTACAGACTTACATAGTCACGTTTCGCTGCATCTCGCCGAGATTATTTCTTAAAACTGTTTCCAGGTATTCTCCACAGGCTGTTTTTGCCATACTATGTTTTTTAAACTCATTCTTGTGCCAAAATTTAGTTCAGTTCGTCCATGTGGTTTTTATACAAGATAAAGATAAATTTCCCCGCCATATTGGACTTGTTGTTTTGATTTCCCGCCCCCCCCCCAAGCCATCGAAAATCATTAATTGCACCACAAGTGGCACAATCTCGCAAGGGTCAAGTACCATCGAGACTGATCGAGTGCAAAGTCTCGGAAAATATTAGTCCAACAAAAAAGGAATAAAAGGAGAACACACACTATCGAATAGACAAGTCAATTTCATTTTAAAATTTATATTTTATTACATATTTTTACTATAATATACATTGCTATAATATACAAGTCTATACTGTCGCTTGCGAGATTGGACCGCCTGTGATCAATAGTATATGTTTGGAATGCAAGTTCAATCACAGGGGGAAGAGGGGTGGCCTATGAAAATTTATTATATTTAAAGGGGAGGGGGGCATGAAAAAATATTTTGAAAGAGTGAGGGGCCATGAAAAATTTACCATAAGTTTAGAAATATCTCCCCCCCCCCCCGGCATTAATAATAACTGCTCCCTTAAATCCAATCAAAAAATTTAAAAATCCTGACCCACTCGAAGCTTTAAGACCCTAAATTTTCTGTAACCGGAAGTAGTAACCGAAAATGTCAACAAATGCATTGATTAGGCGAAAACAAAATTCCTCGTTGTTTGTTCACAATCAATCGCTCAGGTCCATGGAAAACCTTTTGTGATAAAATCCTGATAATTATGCACTTTTATTTCCATAGATACTTTGATGACAAATACGAAACAGAGGTTCGCAGAAAGCAGGCCACCCTTCCATGGATTGAAGTTCGCAGACGAACCAAAATTGAGAAAGATCGAAGCCTGGTGAGTGAGAAGAGTCGCCATGCTTATCACATGGCACAAGAATCCTCAGGAAGAGATCGTCTTCTTCTTTTGAAAATACCTCAAAAAATGTTCCTTTCCATGCAAAATGGCGAGAAGAGCAAAGTACAAGAGATTGATATTCCATGGATGGAGATAGAAGCAACTCCAGATAATGGCAGCGAGGCATTACCATGGATAGAACTGGAAGCACACGACCCAAAGACAGGACGGGATCGTCTCATCATGTTGAAAATACCCAGAGATATGGTCATGAAAACATCCAAATTTTCCAACGGCTCAGAACGTGAGATACAACTACGCTGGGATGATGTCACAAGGTATTTTGAAGAAACTGGTCAGATCCCTCTAGGTTCCTCAGTACGCATGCGCCTTAAACAGCCACCTACCATGAGTATCACATTACCACGAGAAGCAAATAACGTCCGTTACCAGTCCACTTCGCAACGCACAATTTCTCATGAAGGATTACCCACAATCCGTTTGATGATGCCTAAGAAGTTTTATGCAGCAGGATCGTGGCAAGATCGACCCCTTATTAACTTCAATCCAGATCGCCGCATCAAGTTGCGACTCAACCAACAATCGAATTCAAAAACCGTTGAAGACGTGCGCACAATTCGTCTGAACGAATACGACAGGAGGACCAATTACATGCCAGTAGCTTTAACACGTGATTCTCCACGCCGTGTCTTATTGGCAGATGGCACGACCTGGAAACGATTGGACATCGATGACCTCCGGGCGTTAGATCAAGAGAAAGGTCAGTGCAACGCGAGCCGATTCAGAAATACTTACGAAATTGGTCAGGAATCAGAAGCACACAGTTTCCCAGATCTTCGTGAGTTTTCAAAAGAGAAAGACGGAACAACTCGAGAAAATCCCAAAATCTTCAGCTTCCTTATTAACGGCAACAAAGACAAAAAGTGACTGGTATAGTTTGTAGTGCGTAAGATGTGGACATTTATATTTGAGAGAACTAAATTAGTTTTTCTTAAAGAGTATCACTTTTTATTAACTTTTAAAGAAAGAGAACTTGATTTTTATATATTATATATTTTTACATAGCAAGTTATTTTTACAAAGAGTATTATTGTATTTTGTCTTTTGGTCGTGTGAGATAAGAATGAAGTATTAACCGTTAAAGGGGAACGCTGGAAAAATAGTTTGAAAGGACATATTTATAGCGAGATAATTTGAGTGAGAGGAAACATATCAAGGAAGGTTTTACATGCAATGTGCAATTAATACGTAGAGTGAAGTAGTTGTGTGGATTATATAGCAAGGATTATAACATTTTATAACAGTATAAAAGTAGCGTGTCGGTAGTAATAAAGTTATATTGGATGTAATAGTATAAGTACATACAAATTAAGGAGTTTAAAGTTTAATTGATACTATTAAAGTTTATTTTGTGTTAATATATTTGTATACACATGATTCAATGTCGTATTTCTTGTGTCATTGCAAGATGTGATGTTAGTCTAAAACTCGTGTACAGCCACCACGCAAATCCTCAACACATCATAAACTTCCCAGTTTTATTCCATAAATTCAACGCTTTTGGCTTTTTCATTCTTCATAAAAATAACTAAAATATATTCGGCAGTTGGTAGCTAGTCCTTGTCCTTTTCAAGCTAGCATGCGAGCTCTTATTACTCTGACGTCACTGCTATTGAAATTACGATATACCGTTAGAAAGGAAATGACACACAGGATCTCTGTTGACCTGCACTGAATCATTGTTACTTTAAATTTGCCAACATTTATTCGATTTATAGGTGTCTGCAGACTTGTATCTACTGTTTCATATATCTATCTTTTATTTATGCACAAGTGCCAAACACACAGCCTAATAGGCTCTTATAGCTAACTAAAACTGTCTGTACCAGTGTAGGTAGTACCAATCGGTAGAAATGCTGTGCTGAGTGGTTATACCTTAAAAAATAAGCAGAAACTCGACGTTTCGAGCGAAGGCCCTTATATACCTCTATAATACAACCTTATATACCTCTTACAAACTCGGCTTCACCCGGGGTTATTCTGTAACTGTGGGATATAAGCAGACTTTTTGTATAAAGAAACATGCTATACGCTAATGAAAACCTAGCTAACGTATCCATGTCATGGTTGACACTAATTAGGCATAACCGTCCATAACACGTCCAAATGCTTGCTACGCAAAACATAAGATTGACTCTTCTAATCATTTCACTTTCCCTTTGAGCTTTTTTTAAGGTATTTCGTTTTAGAACTGGTAAAGCCATGTTTCCATGCCTTTAGTCATGACGGCAACGTAATACAATGTTGCGTGTATCTCTATACTTTCCGAAAATACTGATTTGAACAAAAGCATGCACTGGATATTAATAAACAAGAAGAATCCAGACTATTGCGCATTGTCAAACATCACGTTACGATAATTGCGACTAAAACTACCTGATTTGGAAAATTAATAAGCATAACATAACTCATAAGCCGATTGAGTGTTGTTGCGATTATGAGACACGCCATTCGCTGTTTTCTTCCCTTTGTGGACATTAAATTATTCTACAATTAAACCCTCGAAAGTAAATATAGATTTAATTATGACATATAGAGATAAGTATCGCGGGCCTCTTGTTTCAAGTATAAATCAAACTGAATAATACAAGGTATGCTGAAAATGCTTGTGAATATTCAAGAAGACTGCAGTCGGTAGGATATTAGTCTATCGCCTGCAGAGAGCTCACCAAATGGCAAATATCTTAAAACTAGATATCTTTCTTGCATTTCAAGTTCAAAAGTAAGAAACTTTGATACAATTAGCACTTTTGTACAATCTAAGCGAGTCAATAACCAATATTTCGTGATTACAGTTAGGCAAATGACTTTGAGTTGGCGTTTATCTTGCATTCTTTTCAAATCGTGCTTTGTGTAGAATGGTAATTCGTTTCGCATGAGTGTCATTGATATGCAGCATAATTACAGCACAGCACATTCCAGATTTTGTGAGTCTAAACATGCTCAACATGTAATGCTATGTAAACCACAACTATTTTCGTTGAAAACATCCTATCTGCCATGTAACGTTTTCGAAATCTACCAGCAAAGGATCTTGGACGATGTCTTAAATCCTGGACATTTGAGTGCTTAAACAATCGACAAGTTCGATTCTATTGGCCAATTCTTCAGTAAACGGATTCTTTGTTTGCTTAAAGTCATGTAAGTAAGTAGAAACCACTAAATTATTTATTGGTGTGTTAGGTAAAGATATTAAATGTATATCAGGGCAAGATGGTTAAGTCAACCCTGCCTTTGATGTTCAAACTACGTTGCGACGATTGCTTGAAATATGTTTTCGATACAACAACTCACAACAACAAAGTGAATTTTGCGAGGCAGTTATCTCTACATGGAATATAATTTGACGTGTGAAAGAGGTTAATTTAAAGTCATATAGAAAAAATGATGCCGGAACATTTTAGACTTGTGCGCATGATTACCACTAAAATAAACGGTGCATTAACGACTGTATTTTTGGATTTATATTGATTTGCTTTTACTATAGTCTCACAAAGTGAAGAGAAACGGTAAGACAAATCTCTAGTTCGTTTTTCGTACGGGCTTATAGGCTCAGCATAGACACGATAATCATTTATACTGAACTACATATAGACTTATAAGCTCATTCTCTAAATCGCATATGGCTATATATGACGTGACTATATAACCAAACAATGACAGCGTTCATTAAATAATTATATCTGCATGTAAAAACAAATTGGTTAAAACAACACAGAATGTGGTTGTCTCAGATTCACGATAATCGATATTGAAATTTATTCATTTTGAATCTGACAATAAATCAGACAAATTTATGGGTTGTTTTAACCACTTTATTTTTACCGTAGTGTGTATGCCATATATACATGCAGAATATTGAAGGAATCTAAGCCATTGATAGCTGAAATTCTATCGATCTATTCATAACTGTATGAATTTGTTTCGAAACTAATTTTCATGAAATTTATAATTCTTGTCATTTTGTCATATAATAATCGATCCCTCACATATATATTATGTTTAACATTCACCCGAATGGTGTATTTTTCATATATAATTTCCTTTACGTTGTCGTATGGTAATTACTCTGACTCAAATAAAAGCCTTGTTATATAGCTATGAGCAGCGCATATTAAGTTGGAAAAATTAGTAACACTTATATATAGGCATCAATGGCTGTATATAGTCTCCAAACCAACAGCACGTCATGCCAGAGAACAGTGACGCACGAGTCCAAGTTCGACTAATGAATTTGACAACTTTCCAATTTTTACATTATTGTATAAGAAAAAAGTATTGTAAAAAAACATTTTACATTATTCAGTAAAAACATTTCGGCCATGGCCTTTGTATATACATAGCCTTCGTCGAACTAATTAATTTACGTAAGCATCTTGATCAGTCTATAGTCAGTATACGGCTATCATTTCGTTCACTCCTTTTTTGTCAAAATGTGTTCAGGTGTTTATAAAAACTTTACTTTTTACTCTTCAGACAACGTACTTGCCAAACAAAAATCATATATGTAAATGTTATGCACGGAAGATTGTGTGAAACCTTTAATAGTAAAAGTTTGAAACCTTTAATAGTAAAAATATTATTCAATTTACACTACATACACCCGAAGCTCTAGCTATTGAGTAGTGTGGACAGTAGTTGGCGAAACATATAAATAAATCCAATTACAGACATTAAAAATTCGAGCTAAAAATCTTTGAAAATAATCGTATGAAAATAATGATGATGATGTCAAACAATAACTATGCTAGCAATTCATAATTGTTCCGCAATTCAACTGATCAAATACAAATGATTAGCTTCCCATTCTTTCAAATGTTCGACAGTGACAAAGTTTTTGTATAGACGAGAAAATACATCGCGAAATTGATACCTTTTTTCAGAAAGCGGTATCAATTTCCCATGCGTAATACAAAATGACTGAAAAACGGCAAACTTCGCAGGGCTATATTATCCGCATTTTACAACATTTCGCAACGAAACTTCGGAATATTACTAATTTTGTGATGCCCTTCCAAGCTGTGATGAAATTTTTGTCTAGACTTGTCTAGATCAAAATTTTGTTCATTAGGGAATAGGTCCATTTGGAATCAATTGATACAGATAGTGCCTACAACAAAATCTTGCGCTTGGACGTGCATGTCTATATTTGACTATTTGTCTGATAATTCATTTAATATTATAATTAATGAGCGTGTTATTGCTTGATTGCGTAAAGTTTATATGTGCTCTGGAAAGAATCAGCAATCAGGCGTCCAACCTTTACATAAATCCTATTTTATGCGAGTTTGATATACATGAATCATGATTGTGGAAAACGATCGATAGACTTTAAGCAGTTGTAAATTTTGATTAGAATTATTGAAGGCTTAGTTCGTTTTAACGGTTGCAGTCAGAACGCCAAATTAGCATGCGTACGTTTAACAATATTATGCAGAAGAGAGGTTGGCTTTGTACGTGTGTGAACCAGAACATACCATTGGGTGGGGAAAATCACGCGTCTTTACCACCAACAATCACTAACTTTAGATAGAATGCTTTGCCCATAAGCATCCCGCTTAAACATATGCCTTGAATACATGATTTACATGACCCAGTACTCTTAGTCACATTCATTACATGATTTGAGCAGGATCCTTTGGTTTTGCAAAGAGACTTGAAGTAAAAATTTGAAGTAAAAGCCTTTCCAACCAATGTCCTAGCATGCCCAAAATGTTTTGTGAATAGTGGATGGTGCAAATCAAGTGCCGCGCACCTATTTGGGTGTGGATTTGCGATAAGCACTTGCTTTCCAATTTCTCTAAATGTTAAAAAAATTCTCTGAACGTTAAAAAATAAAATTGTACTGCAATAAATTAAACATCATTCCTTTACTAGCAACCCTGAAATGACACCATCACATGAAAGGGCAAAAGATGCTGAGTCAAAAAGTTCTTTGTTCGACATCCTCCGTTTCAAAATAAACAATTACTTGCATACCAGGGTGCCTTTGCGCAAAAGTTTCCAAAAACCTGTTGATCATAAGTGCCCTCAAAACACAGGCAAGGATTTTCTTGGTGAAAAAGAAATATTCTGTCGTGCATGAATCTTTTTCAGCAGCTTTGATGGCAATATCAACCGGGATTTTTGTGAACATACAAACAACATCGAAAGATATATCAGCCTCGCGTTAAAATGTTTACCTCGTAACCCTTCTGTCTGTGAAAGTTGTTTTTTTTAATCTTTTTTGCTAAACACGGCCTATTTTGTGTCTGAGGGCACTTATTTCAACAGGTTTCGGAACAGCATTGGAATCTCTGCTATTGGCAGTAATTTCTAATTTACTAATGTCGAACAACGACGTCTAACCATGCACTTACCCAGTTGTCACTTGATTTTGGAACATATTTGTTGATGATGTCTGTATTACGCCGGTTCTAACGATAAACTTGATGTTTAATTCGCCTTAAAAGTCCTTACGTCACGTACATTGCGTAACGTAAGCACAATAACCGTAAGGGTTATTGAATCGTTTGAATTCCACCGCGAGGTGTCTTTCTAATTCATAGTAAAAGATGGACACTTGGCCTTTTTTAGATTTTGATTTTCATAGACAGTCGAAGAAAAATTGTTTATCGCAAACTTGCATCACCTGGCGCGTCATAACAATCCGAGGCACCAAACCGCGACTCTAAGGACTAGGGACAATGAACGTGAATAAGTTCCAACCGTCTTAAAGGAAAACATTTACTCCAAAGAAACGTTAATTAATCGTTTTCGACCGCCCAAAAGAATGTGCTAAAAACGTCTATTGGCATGCGCTAATAAATATGACATGAGCCGACGGTAGAGCGGTGGGGGTTATTGAGCGTGGGTTCCGGTTTCGTGCGTCCATAGGAAAACGCTATCGTTTTTGACGTTAGGTCATGTTTTCCCAAAGCCTTTCAAATCAAACAGAAAACTCGTGCGTGCTGTGTCAATTAATGCACACATCTAAGGAAATGCTAAAGAACGTACGATTAAAACTTTAGACAAGCACAGATCAGCTCCAGCAGACCATGTGAGTCAAATGAAACGTACCATTGCGTGGGGGACTACAAGAACACCAACAGTCGTTACGGTCAAAAGCGTTACTTATAAGTATGCCACAACATGCTTTTAATAGGAGTGATAGCCCGCGTGCAGGCCCAAGGGAAGAATATTGGGCCTGCAAGCAAGACCCGGTATTTTGTAAAACGCCCCTTTTCATAACACGCCCCATTCGCGCGTCAATTGTCAAAAAAGAACCAATGACAGCAACCCAAATATTAACAACAAACTCGCATTAACATGTGGCGGGGTTTTCTCTGCTTATTCAGAACAGAAACAATGTGTAAATGGCTGCGTTTTAACTCCAAAAAAGCAAGCAACGCAGTCAGTAATTGCCAAATGTGCAAGTGCTCATTTTCAACTAAAATCGGAACAGGCAAATTAGGACGAATTTCAACAGAAAACCTGTCTCAAACTTCAAATCGTGAGGGAAGTCGTGCGACCACATTAGCATTAATGTGTGCTTCGCTGTCGCCATTGTTATATATAAATAAATTGTCTCACTTATCAGATCGTGTGTGCAATTCTTGTTGGCAGCGGAAAGCACGAAATTTATTTCAGTTATTTCATTTGGTGAAGAACTCTACAAAAGAATAGAGCGTTCAGAGCGTCCAGATCGTTTCGTTTCAAACGGCAATTACCGTATTCTGTTTCGCTCTCTCAGCGAAGCCTTGCAAATCGCAAAGTGTTTCGAATAAGCTAACATGCAACTGCCTCTAAATCTTCACCGCGAAAAGCGCTGTTTTCTTCAGTGCAAGAACAGAGTCAACATCAACCAAAAGGTAATTTTCTTGAGGAACATATAACGTATCAAGTCTGTTTGAAATTAATGAAACTCAAGTAAAGGTTACTATAGTTTACCTGAGTTTACCCCAGTCGTATTAAAATGTTGCTATTCCAGCACTTCACGACAAGCAATCCCCATTGGCATAACGGCAAAAACATCACTTCCTTCACGTAAACAATAAACAGCCTGTTCTCGTTCCATTTTTAATCGAAAAAAGTGATCAATTTTCGAATTTTAAGCTTATCGAGAGCCTTTGTGATGAATCACTGATCTAATTATAGAATCCAACAGCAAACAGCCAATCAGAATGCTGCGTTCGTGGGCGAACGCGGAAAGTACAAAATACCGGGCCTTGCTTGCAGGCCCACTATTCTTCCCTTGGGCCTGCACGCGGGCTAAGGGTGACAATACCCATCGTTCACAAGGTATTTTAACCTTGTAGTAAGTCCGAAATATTCCGGGGGGTGCGAATTTAGGTTGCAAACATTTTCTCTGGGTTGATTTTGGTTTAAGGTTTTCGGGAGCAACCGCTCCTCCCCCCAACACACACAAAGACCATTGTGTCAGCCATTACCGCGACCTTGTTGGCGATGACCTTATTATACTAAATAGTATGCCATATTGCGAATTTTGATCACCCCAGTAAATCTTCACTAGACTGGACTTCAACTACCATACAACTAATTTTTCTAGCATAATTTCGATCGATTTTTTTGAAACTCTATAATGATGTCACGTATATAAAGACATTTAATGTTTTTAATTTCCTGTATATATATGAAACACTACCGTCAAGTTTTCAATCGACTCAAAAAAGCTATAAGTTGACACTATCAATGCTTATGTAGGAAGATTAGAATGCCATATTGAACACTGGCAACAGCTCATAAAAATGGATGACTCAGCAAACAAGTTGTCAAAACAAAGACGACGTAGAAGAATCTTAATGCACGATGATGATGATGATGACAGCACACCGAGCAAAATTCAAAATCTTACTGAAAGTGAACCGTCATTCACAACCTTCAGCGAAGTAGAAAAAAGTACGATTTCGTCTCATACTGAACGAACTATTTCAAGCTTCAGTTCAACAGAACAAAATGAAACTACTTCTATCAGTCAAAGGACATTCTCAAGCTCAAGTGAGTTTGAAAAATCGAGTTTCACTAGCTCAGGCCATCCTGATAAACAAGAAAGCAGGTATGAGAGCTTCAGCAAGAGTGACGCTAGAAAGGTTGAAAGCTACAGTGACTTCACCAAAACTGAAAGCACGTACAGAAGTTACAGGAGAACAGATGAATCATCAAGTGTGCACAAAAGTTCTACTTCTAGTAGAGATCTTCCAGGTAGCCTTGCCGGGCTAAGCAGCATCGAGAACCTTGGGGGATCGGAAGGCATTGGCAGTATGCGTCCAAAATTGGGTGAAATTGGTAAAAGCGATCACACGAATAGTAGCCTCGGCAGTTATAGTGACTTCGGAAGAATAAGCCGAGACGACAGAGACATCTCAATCGTTGATACAGGAAAATCTCGGACATATCATGATAAATCTACCAAGGAAGGACACTCTGAAAAATCTGATAAAAATTCAAGTGAACACCGACGCTTTATGACTGATTCAGAAAAGTATTCGTACTCAGACAAGGAGAACAAACAAGTAGACTTCACCAGAAGTGAACATCATGAACTCACAGAACGAAGATTTGTGGCACCAGAAGAAGTCATGTCTATCCTTAATAGAAACTCCCGTACCCGAGATAACACGATAGGAGGTAGGCAATTCCACGATCGAGATAGTTTGCATAGTTCTAGGGAAAGGGAGACACACACCAACATTGAGGATTTATTAGGTAGAACAAAGGAACTAAATCGTGAAACGAAGGAGGAGACGAAATTTAAAATAATTCACGACGTCCGATCCGATGAACCAGAAGAACTGTCGGCAATGCACGTAGCAAGTATCAGAGATCGAGTGCGTCTTATGCGAGCCAGTATGGGAAACCAATTCGAAGAACCAGAAGACGTTGACCAGGACAATGAAACAGTAATCGATATGCGCTTTAGCTCAGATACTGCAACTGATGGCCCGGCGAAAGAAGATCAAGTATCAACTGCACATGAAAAACATTCAGTGATGTTGCAGATGACAAGCCAAACTGAAAAGGCTCACACTGACCAAAGAAGCGAGTCAAGAGAAGATGATGGTCGGAATATACCGAACCCGTCAGATCAAACAGATACTGAGCATAAAAGAGCTGAAACACAAACGAAACCAGAACATGGAGTTCAACAAGAATACGTTAATGTTGCCTACGATTTTGCTAAACCAGTTAAATCAAAAGATCAGGATGAAGTTGAATCTGTGAAACGAGATCATACGAAAAATAATACAGAAACAAGGCCTTTTGAACTTGAAACCAAAAATTATCTTAAACCAACTGACACAGTTAAGCAAGGAATATCACCAGCAGAGATGAACACAGGTGACTCATTCATAGACCCCGATAAAAATGGACAAGTCCTTGACCGTAAGATAAAACCAATTCAAACTGATGAAATAATACAGAAAGATAGGGACGTTGTTGTTCACGCTGAGGCACCAACTGGTTCTGACTTTTCAGGCAAATTTTCAACAGGAATTCAATTAATGGAAACGAACACACTTCACAAAATAGAAGATCAAGAAAAAGATCACGTAGAATTCCCAACTGATATCACATATTCTGTTCAACATGACGTGGAAATCGAAATGGTCCAACAAGATGAAGATCAAAAAGGTAATGTCCTTGAATACAAACTGCCGGCAATGACAGCTATCACGACTGAAGAAATGATAGATATTGAACAGGAAGCACCAGCAAGAACTAGTGATAATTTGGCAGAGCAACAAGCTGACCATACACATGGAATACAATTAATCGAAAGTAAAATTTTCATGACAGCGACAATAACAACAAAATCTGCGGACGAAATACAAGCAATGGAAGTTGAAACTGGACACGAAACAAAAACAATGCCTACTGACACTGGTATTAATTTGCCAGAGCAAGGAGCTAAACTTACAGGTGGAATACAATTCATGCAAACTGACATCTCTGCAACAGACGGAAAGGCACCAGAATCTGAAGATGAGATACAACTAATAGAAGGTAAAGTGGAACATGAAACACCTTACATTCACATTGACACTGGTGATAATCTGTCGGAGCTTGCTGATTCCACTGAACTTCACACAGAAGTTGAACTATCAAATTTGAAAACGGATGCCAGAGACTTTGTTGCAAAATCACCAAATCTTGATGTTGCATCGGGACTTTCAGTTCGGCAATCCGATACTGGTAACGTTTCAGATGAAATTATAACGATCCAAACAGGAATTGTAACATCACATGAACCAAATGCAGATTTGGCTCGTTCAAAGCAGTTTGGCATTCCCCCAAAAACGGTTGGATCGGATGAAGTCATTATAATCCATGGAGTGCCAATTAGACCATCATATGAAATACAGTCTTATAAAACTCTGCAACATGATACAAAGGCAGACGAAGGAACAGTCACGCCAAGGGCAAAAAAGACATATCATACTCAACCGTATGAAGTGGAACGACGCGAAGTGCAAACATACGAAAGTCGGACGTACAATATACGACTACATGATGTGAGCGAAAGTTCGCTAGATGAACAAGAGCGGCATTCAGAACACCAACAAATAAAAGAAGTATATCAACCACAAGAAACCCCACCGTCTGAAGTTGAACGCTCAACCGAAAACACAAAATCATCAAAGTTTGGTGCGCAAAAGCTTAACTTACGGTCGTATGCTCCACGACCATATTTCAAGCCGCAGGAGAAACTACGTGAAAAGCAACCTTCAAATGAGTTCTCATTTGCAATTCGCGAAGTACAATCAACTTATTTACAGTCTTACGAACAGCCTGCTGATGTACAACCAGCGACAACACTAGGGTATGTTAAGCAACCTTATGAAACTCCACCACACGATGAAGAACAAGATGAATTGATGTCGTATGACCCTCACGCAACTCTAGTACAGAAAAAAGATAACATACAACCTCGTAAACCAGTACCTGATGTACAACCAGAGACGAAATCGGAGGGTATTGAGCAACTTTACGACACTCCACCACATGAAAAAGAACCGGATGAATTAATGTTGTATGACCTTCATCCATCTGAAGTACAGCCAAAAGAGTTATCATTTGAAATTCGCGAAGTACAATCAACTTTTTTACAGTCTTACGAACAGCCAGCTGATGTACAACCAGAGGGAAAATCAGAGGTTGTTAAGCAACCTTATGAAACTCCACCACACCAAGAACCAGATGTATACGATAATCCCCCATCTGAAGAAGACACAGACGAACTAATGTCTTATGAACTTTCTCCAACTGAAGTTCAGCCAAAAGATAACTTGCAGCCTTATGCCCTACCACCTGATGCACAAGCAGCGAAAAAACTGGGGTATGTTAAGCAACCTTACGAAACTCCACCACACGATGAAGAACAAGATGAATTGATTCCGTATGAGCCTCACCCAACTCTAGTACAGAAAAAAGATAACCTGAACGTACAACCAGAGACAAAATCTGAGGATATTGGACAACTTTATGATACTCCACCACATGAAAACGAACCCGATGAATTAATGTTGCATGACCTTCGTCCGTCTGAAGTACAGCCAAAAGATGATCAAGAAGATCGATCATCTTACTTAGAGACTCAAGAACAAACACCTGATGTACAGGCAGGCAGGAAATTGGAGGATGTTAAGCAATCTTACGATACTCCACCATATGAAGAGGAACCAGATGAACTAATGTTGTATGAATCTCATCCAACTGAAGAACGACTAAACGAAAACTTACACCCTCATGAACAGCCACCTGATGAACAGACACCTGGTTCACTAACAGAAAGTAACTCAGAGAATATTAAGCAACCGTACGAAACTCCAGCACATGAAGGACCTGATGAACTGGTATTGTATGACCCTCGACCAACTGAGGTACAGACAAAACCTGAAATGATACCTGCAGATAGTCTGTACCATACTGAACATTACCAATATTATAATGAAGAAAGACATGAAGTAAGATCCTATGAAACAACGTCGTATGAATCACGTCCAGACAACACACAGCCACAGAAATTACAATCTTTCGAAACTCCGCCAACTGAATTACAACCACAAGATATAAATAATGACATGACACAGGGAGACAAGTTGTATACTGAACCATACGATGTGGAAAAACCTGACGACCCTTCGGACGGAGACGAATTTGATGGAATACAACAACACGACAGCCATCTTCATGATGTGCAGCCCGAGGAAATGCCCTTGAATAAAACAGATGGCTATGAAGAAGAAACACATAACGTTTCAACATACAAAGTAATACTTACGGATACCGAAGAAATAGATATCGAGCCATATCAAAACCAACAACAAAATGAGGCTCAACAAAAATTGCTACACGAACAGCCGTTAAGCGTAGTTCCGTCACATAAAACTGATCCACTTAAATTCCAACCTCCTGAATCGTGTCCACTTGAACAACGGGCTTTAGAGATGCAGGAATTCGACACTGAACAGAATGAGTCCCAATCTGAGGAAGAACGCAATAAAACAGGGTATGATGCCGTGCCGATTGGAAATGTCTCATATGCTGAGGAAATATCAATAGAAGAATCACCGCAAGAAAAACAAACCGACGAAGTGAGGCAACAAAGTACAGAACAACTGGAATCACCTCATATTCGACCGTTCAAAGCTGCATTACATCTTAGTGCAGACGATCTGGAACCAGAACCACAACCGATGGACATTGATTTTGAAAACCAATCATCTTTCATAACAAGGCGTGAAGTGGTTACGAGTAAAGAAACAACAGTGCATGATTTATATTCGGTTAACACCAGCACCGAATACGAAACTCAATATCTTGGTACGGATTCGGTGTTAGACACAAGCTCACCAGGTGTGCAACTAGAACAAGTAACAGTTGAATACACTCAACTGGAACCCATACATGCTGAGCCAAATGACGTTGTTTCCTTTGAACAAATCTTAATCCTTGATGATCTGCCAGAGAAAGAGGACTCAAATGATGAAACAAACCGCAAGAAGATAGCGCTTAATACGGAGGATGTAGACATTCTGCATTCTACAAAGTACAAAACAATGCAAACTGATGAGAACAAACAATGTCAAGAACAAAAAGAACAACCATTTGGGCACATCGACAAGGACTCAGCCATGGAGGTGGAACATACTGCACATTACAATGTGGAAAGACGCGAAGTAAGAAAGTATGAAACAATACCATCTGAATCACGTTCATACGACTTGAAACCACGTGAATTATCATCTTTTAAAACCCATGAGCCATTTGAAGAACAGCCAAGAGATAAACAGGATGACGTATCACCAGATTTACATCATAATGAAGCATATGATGTGAGGAAACATGAAATAAGATCATACAAAACAAACTCATATGAACAACAACAATATGAGGTGCAACCACCTGAACCTTTTAAAACCCAGCCATATGAGATAGAGCCTCAATTATCAGATGATAATGTGTATCACACTGGACCTTATGATGTGGAGAGACGTGAAGTAAGACCATACAAAACAACTTCATATGAATCACAGCGATACGAGGTGCAACCACCTGAATCTTTTGAAACCCGATCATATGAGATGAAGCCTGAAGATAAAAAGAGTGATGTGATATTAGATGATAATTTGTATCATACTGAACCTTACGTTATAGAGAAGCGGGAAGTAAGATCGTACGAAACGTCATATGAATCACGTGATCAGCCAGGTGAAGTTGATCCATTAGACAGTGATGAGTATTTACCCCAAAGCAACACTAAGGTTGATTCAATACTAGATTCGCCTACTCGCAAGAGGAAATTCCCTGACAGCTACGAAGAGCAAAAAGATGATGATGTAGATCAATCAGGTGCTCCACACGTGGCAATCAAACGAAAAGTTAGGATAACAACATCAAATCCATTCCCAAAAGCTGGAATACGAACCACAAGGAAGGGAGGAAGTAAGCAAATATATGTTCCTCTGACAAGTGCAGACGAACCAAGAACAAATCAAATCGTTGAAAAGATTTCCGCTAGCAAGAGAGATGTTTTAGAAAGTACACAAGAACAGGTTGATCACGTCTTCAGTGTCATGGAATATGAAACAGCAGACAACAAGGAACAAATTAGACAAAAACCACGGCCTCAATCGGAAAACGAGTCGAAACACTCTCGCGAAAATGACCTATCTATAAAACCAAGTAGCGATCCAAACCCGCTCCGCAAGTACCGAGTTGATTGTCATATTCAGTTATCTCCTTTCGAAAGACCTGAATCAAAGCGACCTTTAAAATCTTGGAAATCTGAACCGATACTGAACCTGGATCTGCTCGAAGACGATGATCTTCCAAAAACACGACGTTGGAAGTCTATGAATTTTGAAAAGAAAATCCCTAAACAAAGCAGTGTAGTTATTGCACTACAAAAGCCTCAACGACACCCTCTTGCGCCAGCATATTTAATCGATAACCTACCATTTGAAACAATTATCAGAAATGAAGTGAATATAAAACTAAAGAAAAAGCGAAAAAAGATTCATCCCTCGGCAAAGGTACTGGACGATCTCTACGACGACGAACCCGATGGACCATCAGCTCGTGAAATGCAACCACGTGAGATACAGACAGAGGAAATTGAAAGGGAAGATATACAGCTCAGTGAATCCTTTGAGACAGTCGATGCGTTCTTCACAGATAATTTCAATGATGAACCTGAAGAAAATCCTGATGACAACAAGGAGAATGAACGTGAAGAGCCGATGGAAAGTTGTGAGCAATCACCTCTTAAACGGAGAAACGTGAGTACACATTTTTACTACTTAAGCCTAGTTTCCATTTTGTCGTGGCTGTCTTAACCAAGCAATAGTCACCGATGTGAATAACTGGATCTGTACGTACCGTTTTTGTATCCTGTATGCAAATGAGTCTTAACTGACACATTATTACATCGCTAACTTTGACATGGACACGGCAACCACGAGTAAATGGAACCAGGCTTCGAAAATAAAATTATTATAATAATAGGAAAAACCCTTTCCCAAAGTTTTTGTATATTAATTTAGTTTTTAAATCATTTTGACAATTATTGTTGTCAACCAGGGCCGCCGAGAGGTTGCGCCAGGCCCGGGGCAAAACCTTTCCAGGGGGCCGTATGACGTCAATTGTAAAACAGAAGAAGCGGTGTCTTACAATATGTTACACTTTATTGTATATTCTCAGTTAAGCAATCTTGTATCAAGAAATTTGAAGGGACTGCATTGCTTTGGGGCCCCCTTTTGAGCTGGTGGGCCAGGGCAAGTGCCCCCCCCCCCCCCATCTCTCTCTCTCTCTCGGTGGGCCTGTTGTAAACCATCCGGGAGTTTATTATCATAATTAATTAGGTCTAAATGGATTTATATACATGGGTTCAATAACGAATCTTTTTATGTAATTTACCATACACGTGCATGATGGGTTTTTTATTGCATTTGAAACAGTGATTTGAAACGAACGTAATAAGCAAAACGTTAGCCTTAACTATAATAAACGACTTTGAGTGTATGATAGTTTCGGCTTGTATTTTTCACCGATCTCTCAATTCCGTGCATCAATAGCACAAAATGGATACTTCGCGAAATTTTATCCCGTTTTTAAGAGTAATTGACTCTTCTTGCCCTGCTTTGACACTAATTGGGATGAGAGAAGTATCGGTGCACGAGAGTGTAATCAGTAGTTTACAAAGGCAGTCCAAGACGGCCATCGCAAATTATCTGGATGAGTCGTTTCATTGAGCTAGTACTATATTTTGCCTAATCAAAATTTTAATCTTAAGATGTTAAAACATTCCGACTTGGTAACTTCAATGTTCAAAATATTTCTCGACTTTATTAGTTTTCGGGTAATTCAGCCATTCAAATTTCCCCTATTTTATCATCGCGTTACAACTCATAACAAAGTTTCCTATTTCCACGACTCCGGTGTCCTAGTATTTCAATAGAGCTTCAGATTTGACTTCCACTACCGTTATCACTACCTCTAACTAGTTTGGTACGCATCTGATTGGTTAAACGAATATATCAAACTTATCTGATTGGTTGATGGTCCCTTAATGGTAGCGGTACTTGGAAGTCAAATCTGAACCTCTATAATATGGCGTCTTGAGTTTTATATTCATGGCAGCAAAAATGCGTTAAACGTTTAAAAATACGTATAAAGTTCGTCTGAATTTGCTATTAAAGGGAAATGGCAATATATTTTTTATTTTCTCATTTGAAAGAACTTTTAAGACTATATATAATATTCTTTTACCGTTTTTCATACCTTGCTTACTTCTACAAATATTTTGATCGAAATGAATGAAATGTCCGCCATCTTCATTTTTTATCTAGACAACCACTAATCATTTTGCACTCAAAGCTATACTCTGTCTGCCCTTTGAAATATCACGATCACTCAAAACATCTACCAATCAATATTTGGTCAGCAACCAGTACTTTTATATGGTTAATCCCTGTTGTGACGTCACCAAAACTACCATTAATGAGATCAAAAATTAATCCAAGATGGCGGCCATCTCATTAGTTCAAGTGAAAATAGAACTAAGCAAGATATAATCGGTAAAAGAAGTTAATTATACTTTCAAAAGTTCTTTCAAATGAGAAAATAACTTATATTGCCAGTTCCCTTAAGCCATTTATTGTATAGATTCGGATGTTTACGTCATTGTATTGCCATTCCACCGTATACGAGCTATTCTGCAATCTGATTGGTTGAGTTACTGGCCGTATATCAGCTCATATACGGCGAGTAGCGAAAAACAAATACTAGTAGGAAATACCGAAATAATACTATGTGACAATACAATGATAGTAACATCCGAATCTGCACGCAAATTCAGATGCAAATTCAGACAAACTTTATACGTATTTTTAAGTGATCTTTGCTGGGCGGCATGCCTGTCATTACCCTGGGTTCCAGAGCCTTCGACATAAATAATAAATTGAAACGTCGCGAAGGCTCTGGTTCAACGGGGAGATTCAATCGAGCCAATCACAAAACAGAATTAGTGGTTTTAGTTTATTATTTACTGTTGAAGGCTCTGGAATTCAGGGTAGCCTGTCATATGGTATAATTGAATCGACGACAGCAGGTTCGAAGGTCAGCGAGAAACAAAGCGGAAGTTCATGTGTAAAATTTCATTTTAAAATGGCTAGACTCAACGAGTTTATTCGTTTAAATGTCGGTGGAAGAATGATGGCTGCAAAACGATCAACTCTGTGTCAAATCGAAGGTTCGGTACTGGCTACTATGTTTAGTGAAGTAACTGAAGACAACTTAGATCGCGATGAAAATAATAACATCTTTCTAGATCTGAACCCAAAGTATTTCAGCATTATACTGAATTATTTACGTGCAAAAAGTATACAACCAACAAATGTACCATTCCCCAAGCTTAAACCTGAAGAGATCAGACCATTTTCAGAATTAGCAATCCAGCTAGGGCTAGAGAATGAGTTTTCGTTAGATATACCAAAATTCACACTACATGGTACATGGATAGCACTTAAAGCCAACGCTGTTGCAACGCATACTGGACATAACCGAGCAGTTGGATATGCCTTAAGTGATGTACATCGAAATGGAATCATACGCTGGCAACTTAAACTGGAATCTATACAAAGTCAAATGTTTATCGGCGTATTGAAAGCGGATACTGAACCGTATGATAACAGGTCTTATGATATGCAAGGGTCCTATGGGTGGTTACTTAAGGTCGGCGATAAAATCATTGGAAGTGCATGGAACGATGGGAAGGAAATCTATAATCTAATTGCCGATGTCAAAAAAGGAGATACAGTAGAAGTATTACTAAACAGCGTCACAGCAAAACTTTCGCTTGTTCTATCACCAGTCAGGGAATTTCACATGTTTTTACCAAACTCCGAAGGTTGGAGACTGCACATAAATTTATTTCACCATAATGATATAATACAAATACTGTCGCCTTGAGCGTACAATTGATGATTTGGTAACCAGCTGCTGTATGGCAAGGGCAGATTAAAATCTTAAAATTCGCAACCAAAGGGTTAATTCCTGACTAAACATTGCGGAACTCACCGAACGCAAAGTGAAACAACTATTTTCTGACTTCCGGTTGGTTTTCCAAGAAAAACGAAACAATACAAAGAATTAGGTCAGACAGAAAACATTGTTCCTGTTTAATAGTATAGCAGATTTACAAATAATTTTAATTTCTTTAATAAATAAAACCTGCATGATGTTAGCATATCGCGTACTAATAATACGCAAGCTTGACTAGAATATGCGTGGTATTTTATGATTTCCGGTAGATTTCCAAGAACCCAAGAAGCAGAAGACAGTCAGTTCCGATCTCAGACGAAACGTATTATTAAATTTACGAGTGGATATATAATAAGCGATGGGTGACAATATAGTTTATTTAAATGTTGGTGGTACAAAAATGGCTACTAAGATGTCCACACTATGTCAAATTCAAGGATCACTGCTCGCCGTCATGTTCAGTGGACGTTGGGAAGACAGTGTTGAACGCGATGAGGATGGTCATATTTTCTTGGATTATAATCCGGAATTATTCGCTTGTGTCCTCGACTATCTTCGTGCTAAGAAGCTAGAGACGCCAAGTAAACCTGCATTACTACCTCAAGTTGCTTTGGAAGACGCCGTGAATTTCAGAAGTCTGGTTGATTATTTGGGTGTAGAGCAGAATATCCAGAACGATACACAAGCAAGGGATGAAAGTACGAACGATAATGGTAAATGCCAGTTTGAGTTACACAGTGAAGGAATAGAACTTAACCAAAATGGAACTGTTGCCAGGCATGAAACGGGAACAAACTGTCATGAGTTTGTTATTGGAAAAGATGAAGTTAACGCAACTGGCGAAGTTCGATGGCGACTCAAACTTAATGAAGTGCAACCAAATTCAAAGTTATTTGTCGGTGTGTTGGACACTCGCTACCGAGATAGTTGCGTATCTGAGTCACTAACACAACGAGTAAATTATATCCATGTCCCACCTGTATATGAATGGGAAGGATCGTATGGCTGGATCCTGGGAGAAAATTTCCAGACTTGCTCAAATGGACATGTGTTAAACACAAACACCTTTGGTGTTTTGGGTAAACAGGATGACACAATAGAGTTGCATTTAAAAACAAAAACGTCTGATATACCTGAATATACCAATACACAAGTTTCACTGTTACTCCAGCCATCAGGTTTGAAACGATGTATACCCTTACCTAACTCACGAGCGTGGCAGTGTGTGATTGGTTCATATTACACTGGTGACCGCATATCCCTGATTTGTCTGATTTCTTAATAGACAAGCTAAAACTACGTATTGGTAAATATAATTAATATGTAAAATAATATAATGTTTTTGTATGCCAATATTCTTATAACCATAGACAGTTTGTAATGTTAGAACGTACCGAAACTTGGTCTATGATTTTACTGTAATGTAAGCATTCAGGAACCTGCTGCTGTACGTTAGGGGCAGAGTAAAATATCACGATTTTTGGGCATCTCACTTGATTTAACTAAATGTTGACAGATTGTGTAGTTGGCCATTTCGAGTGTAAATTTTTATATATTTATTTATATCTATAACCAGGAGCAGCTGTCGGAAAAATGCAATTATACTGTAGGTCCTCTAGCAGGAATTGCGATTCCAGTGCAGTGCACTAAGCCAGTACGGGTTTAGCCTTCGTAGCAGGCGTTTATTTATAACGCAGGCTAGTAAGGGTTAAGGCTTAAGCCAGTTTTCCACTTCAATCGTAGCGAAGCGCATTTCTTTGTTTCCTGAACACTAGAGTGGAACTAATGACTTCGATACAAAAGAAAATGCTACGATACATTACGATACGGTTGAAGTGGTAAACTGGCTTTAGAATACCATGCATGTATGTGGTTCTCGGCACTAGCAACCAAAAGGTTAGACTACAGATTAGGGAAGTGAAAGAACTATTTTCTACTTCCGGTTGGACTTCCAAGAAACAGGGATACAATGCAAGGGATCAGGTCAGGCAAGAAAACATTATTTTGTGTTAGATTAACAAATTCACAGCAAATATACAAATACAACGATAATTTTTCAATAAAACCTGCATGCATTCCTGCTAACATATCGCTTACTAACCTGTTCTGTGGTCAGTGATACAAAAGAACAGTACCGTGCTGGCAGAGGGTGACGGGGGGGGGGGGGGGGGGGGGGGGGGGGGGGCGTATGGCTAAACATGAGCCAGCACGCCACTGGTATTTTCTTAATTACATTTCGTCAGATTTCAAAGAACCAAGAAGACGAATACACTTGCAGTGATACAGTGATTGTAAAAACGATGGGTGACGAAAATGATATAGTTTATTTAAACATCGGTGGTACAAAAATGGCTACTAAGAGGTCGACACTGTGTCAAATTGAAGGATCACTGCTTGCCTCCATGTTCAGTGGACGTTGGGAAGACAATGTTGAACGCGATGAGGATGGTCATATTTTCTTGGATTTCAACCCGAAATTATTCGCTCTTGTCCTCGACTATCTTCGTGCTAAGAAGATTGAGACGCCAAGTAGGCCTGTATTACTACCTCCAGTTGCTTTGGAAGACACCGTGAATTTCAGAAGTCTGGTTGATTATTTGGGTGTAGAGCAGACTATCCAGAACAATACACAAGCGAGCGGTAGAAGTATAGATGAGGGTATTAAACACCAGTTTGAGTTTCACAGCGAAGGAATTGTACTTCAAGAAAATGGAACTGTTGCCATGCATAAAATGGGTACAGACCGCCATGAATTTGTTATTGGAAAAGATACTAATGGCCCATGGAGGCTATGCCTTCAGTCAGTGAAACAAAGTAGTGGTGTGTTTGTTGGTGTACTGAACACAAAAAGTCGAGACGACTGCATATCCGGGTCACTTATACAGCGCGCTGACAACATTTTTACGTCACCAAGTACTTGGACTGGGTCGTATGGATGGGTTCTAGGTGAAAATTCCCAAACATGCTCAAATGGAAATGCTTCACCAACACCAAACTATGGTACTTTGGGCAAACAAGGTGACATAATTGAATTACAAACAGTATCATGCCAGTTAAGCTGGAGTCCAAAATACTGGGAAATAGAAGTTTCACTGCTTTTGCGACCATCTGGTCTGAAATTGTCAATGACTATAACACAATACTCACAAAACGGTGAAAACTGGCAGTGTTTGATTGGTTTGTATCATCCAGGTGACTGCATAACCTTCCTTTCATAGCAAGCTTCCAAAATGCATGTTATATCAACAGTCTACAAGTTATTGGTGACTTTCTTGCTCTATTAGTGCCTACCTGCACATTAATTTATTGATCAGTACTGTACTGTAGTCCATAACTCATAAGTAAGAGTCGGTGAAATTGTGTTGTAAATTCGATGTTCAATTATTTTCACAAAAAGTGCGTAATATTTCACTTTTAATTAGAGACTCACTGTAAATGTAATCATGACTCCATGATCCCAAATCTACACTCTAGATATATTAAAAGCTTTATTATTACTATTAAAATAGCTGTTTGTTTCTTTCTTTTTAATAATACTGTTGCTGAATCTCCAATGAAGTGTCACTAATTGCTTAAAATTGAATTATTTAGAAAGCCAATTAAATGGGAATTTGTTAATGTTAATATGTAATTAATTAACCCATTAATTACATCAGTGTTGTATTAAGTATACCGACACATTGAGGCTTACTGGTTTACAATATTATTCTCAACATAATTTTACATCATCAATCAATTGAAAACTCATTCAAGGTAATATACAGTAAACAAGAAATCCAGAAATCTTGATGTCAATTAGGTCAATAGAACTTTTATTTTCTGAAGTTTTGGAATAAACAGACATGCAGAAATACATAAACCAAATCAGCAAGGTAAATTAAAAAATTTATCCTGGCCATGGATTAGCACTATAATCATGCTTTGAATAATTATAGCTCTAGATACAGCTAGGAGGGATAAAAATCCTGAGAATCAGAGATCCTTGACAGAGAGGTGCAGGTTTTTATGTGCCAGCACTAGCCCATGGACTTTGCAAAGTCTTTTAAAGATGTCATTGATTTTTATTAGCCCATTGCCATATCTCGATCATAGTATAGTCATTTGATCTCTTCATGTTATCTCCGAGACAATCAATTTTCCCTTACTGTAATTATGTTTACTTATTTTTTATTCTGCTTAATATGGCATTATGTTAAATATGCTTTTCCACCATTTTTGGGTGGCAATTAAAACTGCAAATTAGTAACAGAGAATATGACAACAAGCCTGGATAAAGTCTGGTTGCATCGTGTGAGAAAGGTTAATTATTTGATAACAACCGCCATGAATTTTTATTATTATGCCCACAATAGGTGGCCAAACACAGGACATATTTCTAATTGGAAAGCAGTGGCGTGCTGGGTACTATTTTTCTGGAGGGGCCAGTGGGCTGTCAACCAATATGCGCCCCTATAATGTTACACTTGATAAACGAGGGCCGAAGGCACGAGCTGAGTGCCGCAGGTGCGAGGTTTGTCTAGGGGGGTCCGGGGGCATGCCCCCCAGGAAAATTTTTGAATTTAGAGTCTCTGAAATGCCATTTCCTGGACTTTGGGAGAAGATTTGGCAGAAATCTGATGGTCAGGAAACGGCATTATAACGTGTCGAAATTTGCAATTTGATTAGAATTTAGTAGTACTACTTAAATTATGCAATGATAACTACTTCCAGCGATTAATTTAATCCCAATTCTGTTCTCTACTGATCTACTGTTCTGAGCACATTTACAACTTAAAGCTCTTTTATACAATAACACACGCACCCCACGCATATGCATTTCAAGGTTTCCTTGCCTGGCTGCCAAAAGGGCATGTTTCAGCATTATTTCATTACTTACATTACTCATGCTTCTTGTGCAAACAACTAAATTGCGTACACAACTTTACATCAGTTATCATAACTTCAACTATCTAATTTGCGCCGCCCTCGTGATTCGTGAAGCATATTATAAGGGCATAATACCAGCAAAAAAGGGCATAATTCCCTGATCGCTTCGATCGAAACCTGACCAATATTCCGGTAATGAGACATTGCCTGTGATCACTGATAATGTTTCTATATGAACGATTTCGTGTGAGCCGCGAGGTAGCAAATACGGTTAGGCAAAATAGTCTGTAATTTAATATATGTCGCCTATGCGCTTAGTCTGTTTTATACTGTAGCCTATAAACATGTCTTTTCTTGGCGGAAGTAACCATATTTTTTCGAGAATGTGTTTTTTCCCACCCACTTTCAAAATTCGGCGCCCCATTTTCATTTTTGCGCCCCCCCCCAAGAATTGCCAGCTGGGGGGGCCGTGGCCCCCCTGCCCCCCCTGCCAGCACGCCACTGTTGGAAAGCCAGTTTGCTGAAAGAGTGAAAGACTATATCATGTGTTCCCCCAACAAGGGCGGTTGTTGTAAACTGTGGATCAGCACTAACCCTCGGTTAAAATTTAACCTGCTGTTTTAGTTAATGTATTTCTGCATTACTGTTTATTTCAAAACTTCAATTGATCCAGACAAGACTTCTGAAGAAATATTTCCAAATTTATAAACAAGGTGTTGGGATCGCAAAGCTTGCTGTGATTTAAGTTAACCTGGGGCCTTAAGATAATCACCCGGCCTCTGGAGCCGGTAATTGTTCATAGGTGGGTTCGCGGTATATTGTATATAACCCTGGGTTAAAATTTAACCTTCTGGGGCCGGTTGTTCAAAGCTGGGTTAGCTTAACCCTAGGTTAACCTAAAAATTCAAAGCAAACTTCCTGACAGCTTGTCTATAAATTTGGAATAATTTCTTCAGAGATCTTGTCTGGATCCATAGGAGTTTATACTTCTCTGACGTTTTGAAATAAACATTTACAGCCGTGCAGAAATACACAAACTAAACCAGCGGGTTAAATTTTAACCCAGGGTTAGCGCTAACCCACCTTTGAACAACCAGCCCCTGTATATAAAAGCATTGAGTGAGGATTATTCTGTATTTATTCAGAATCCTATGGCTATTAATTACCCACACACCCATTGGGTAAGACAATAAGGGGTGCATTATTACCAGATGGACTGTTCAACACACACATAAGTTATAACAAAATATTATTATTAAATTATATTTTTACCTGCCATATATGATTGCTTTCCCTGCTGGCTGAGGTACCTCTGTCAGCAGGGAAATGATTGCTTTGTGTTCTGTTCCCTCGTGACTGTCAACTTCTTGATACGCAACTGAAAAGTCTAAAATTAAAGCATAGTGAGATTATATCAATGCAAGAAAGTCAAATATTGAATAGTACTGCAAAAATTCTACCTTCAATCAAAGTATGAATAATGAATATCAATAAAAACGCTAAAAAACCAGGGCTTCCGAGGACGCTTCGTTTTAAAATTTCCCACAATTTCCTAATTCAGGTTTCAGCCCGCAGGTTCAGTTCCCACCCGCCAATATTAGGGCTTGACGAACTGTGATCTATTCAATCTGCGGATTCAGTTAGAACACGTTAGAATAAAAAATCTTCAAAACCTCCAATAAAATAAAGCGACTAGTACTGCTACGCAGGCTAATCTCTATTGATCCCTATCATTGATATATAATCTGTACGCATACGTATATAATCTGTACGCAGTTCCTCTTGACGGATAAACGGTCATTCCGCCTACTACTTAGTACTATGTGTATAGTGGACCTCTCTCTCTTCCGCCGAGGCGTTTATTTACGATTGTAGTTTAATCGGCACGGGCTGTGTACCTTGAAAATGTAAGGAATTCGAGTAATTGTGAACGCGCGGCGCGGAAGAGCAGGCGACAGCAAGAAGTTCCCCGTGGTTCTGGGTACCAGGTTGGAATTCCTCCCGCGCTCGAAAGGAAAATAACCTCGTCTCGGTTGCCTCGTCCCCAGGGTCTTCTAAAATAATCTGATACTCATTACTCAGGCTAAGTAAGATATCGCGCTATGGTAACTAGCTCCTAAGCCTCGCACTGTCGCACATCCTATATTGTGCCTTTTGTTTATTCTATGATTCCACTGTAGGCGGATGATCCGATCAGAAATCTCAAGTTGAAATTTTTCTTCGGGATTCAGATCGGGATATGTAGCATGACAGAATGACTGTTAACGTTTCAAGTATCACCATTCAGTATTACATGAGTATCGCCATTCAGTATTTTAGACTGTTAATTCATCAATTCACATTTGTTTAGTCTTTCCAAATTTGGTTTTGATTTTGTATCACACCTCTCAGGATTTTAGTTTCAGTGCTAGAAGTTACTATCTCAAGGAAAGTGCTGCCTCGGCCCCAGGGATCAAAGGCAGCAAACATCATTATTTTCTAGAGATAGATTATCGAAGTCGAAGGTCAGCTAAATATTCCAATTCTATTTTCTTGGCATGCGCGGTTTTACACGAATATCTTAAATGCTTATAATTTCTTGCTTTTGTATGTATATTATTATAATACTGTCAGTGGTGAAGCTATAGCCTTAGCAACAGGTCATGCTATGAACGTTTTTAATGATTTGCATTATTCAAAAAGATGTAGGTTTATTAGCATTGCATGACCATTGCTAGCTTGCCAATGAATACTGTACAATATCATATATATAAAGGATAATTTTGTCCATTTTTTGTCAGTTTTGTGACTTAAATATACTTGATTTGTTAATATATGTTTTTTTATTTGACGGTTTATTATATTCAAAATATATCAAGCGTTGCAGAAAATGGGCCGCCCAAAAGTTAATCCTTGCCCACGCAAAATCCAAGCATACATTGGAAGTTCAATGATATTCATGTCCCCTCTTCCTGCTCGTTTTAGATTGAACCAACTCCTTTGGGTGAAAAGAAGCCAAGAAAATCACGTCTAAACATCATCCCTGTAACAATCAGACCTAAATCCTTCAAAGAGGAACCAACTTACGTGGTCGTAAAACAACAACATTCATCAGATATTACCTATGGACGTGTAGAATCTGCACCGAGCTATAAAATACATCATGCTGTAACTTCTGAAAAACCTCGAGATGATATTATTATTGAAGAAACGAGTTCAGAATATCAGAATAGAACTAGTACAGGGTTTCTCAAACAACAGCCACATGATGGAGAAACGTTCAAAGAAGATAGAAGAGAAAGGATTTCAGACTTTAAAGAAACAACCAATCGTCGTACAAGCGCAAACAAGGTAAGAATGTTTTGTACTTTTGTGCAATTAGTTAATCACCTCTTTACGGGCTCTTTTAAAATTTTCCATTACGACTACTTGATACTTAATATTGAACTTTCTCTTGACTTTTTTGAGTCATTAATGTCCATGCAAGAACAAGGCTTAACATTTTATTAAAAACGACGTTCCGGAGTTTACTCCATCATCAGGTTAAAAGACTACATTACACTGTCTAAACAGCTTGCGTTAAGCTTGCGGCTGTATACCTTGATAAAAGATATATTGTAGCCTTATAACCTGATGACGTTTTTAATAAAAAATGTTAAGCCCAGGGGCGTAACTAGCCCCTTTTGATTGGGGGGGGGGGGTATCTGCTAGAATTGCCCGGCGAAACCGATGATGCCCTGCAGCAAAAATATTTTTTGTCAATATTTTTCCTAAAAAAGTTGGCGAGGGGGGGAGGTCGACATTCAAAAAAAGGGGCCGAAAAAATTTTTCTGGACAAAAACCAGTTCAATTAAAGGTCAAAAAAAAATTTTTCGGACAAATTCCTGTTAAAACATGTATGAAACCCTTATTTTTTTAACAATATCTGAAATTTAAAATCTTTCGTTGCCCTGCCCATCCAGATGATTTAAAATTTTCGACTAGATTTTCAGTAGTTTTGCCCGACCTTTTCTTAGTTTTTGTCCGACGAGAGTACCGTTTCGAAAGATTGCGGGGGTGAAACCCCCCCCCCAACCCCCCCTGTAGTTACGCCCCTGGTTAAGCCTTGTTCTTGGTCATTAATAATTACTACTTGAATTGATAGATTATTGCATGTACTGTGCAAGACCTACCCAAATTATATGTTTGGACAAATAAGTATTTCATCAAGTTCTTGTGAAGTTAACTATTTCTTTAGAATAATTATAATGTAAGCCTTTCCCCCTTCCGTCTGCTTATGAACAACAGTGTATGTCTAATGTGTATGGCCACGTTCGAACCAGTATATGGTTTAGCCATCGGTATGTTAGGGAAGGAACACTTTCTGCCGAAATTCATAACCGATACTAACGTCATTTTTCATCGAACACAACTGTAGGACGAAACCAAAGACGATGATAAAGACTTTGAAAATGAACTCATACAGACCCAAGAACAACCAGTACAAAGTGAACCAGTGCGTGACTTATCAAAACAACCCACGCCAAGGAGATCAACGAAACGGCGTCATAGAATTATGTTAGGTGATGGAAACCTTGACGAATCTGTCAAGAATGATGAACTTCCTGTTTTGCCCGCAATGGAGACCCCCATCTTAAAGGATGAGCCCAGTGAACCGAATGAAGAGCCAAAAAATGTAATACCTGCCGTTGATGTAGCAAGGTATTTGGAAGACAACGACAATAACAATGTACCAAAAGATCGATATTCTGTACTTTACCCAAATAAAATTACGAGCCCTACTGAAGAGCTTCACAAAACTAATCAACCTCAAACGTTCTCCCAATACCCTGAAGATCCCAAGGAAGCTTTGGACGAAACAAATGTAGGTGTTCCTTTAAATGAAACTCATGACTTTCCGGAAAAACAAGAATCGCCTTTTTCAATAGATATACAACAATATCTGGGGCATATGGTTGATGACAAGGTAAGAGAAAAACCTGAGGTTAACGACTTGGATCATTTTGAACCATATGAAACATATGAGGCAAACAACGAAATACAGAGGTTGATGGAAAAGGTATCGGACGACGAGGAAGAACCGATGAAGCCACTTGTGCCACAACAGAGTATCGAAGTTATTTTGGTCGACGAAACGAAGAAAAAGAAGAAAAAGAAATTGAAAAAGCAAAGAGATCCAAATGTCGACACAATTTCTGATGATATAATAGTTGATGAACCTGTGGCAAATGTTAGTCAATTGCAAGAACCAGCTACGGTGGAAGTAAAGCCAGTTCCAGAAAAGAAAGAGCGAGTCGACACAAAGGAAATAGCAGTACAAACGATGCCTGTACTTGACGATATGGATAGTGAAGACGATTCTGACCAAGAGATTCTTCATTACCAACAAAGATCCGCGATTGGAGGTTACCTGATCAATACAATACCTGAAGAACAAGAAGATGAAAGTCCACTGTCTACTCCAGATCAAAACAATTTCACTCCTATAGATCAAGAACAAATTCATCGCGAAATGGATTTCTTATTTAGGGATACCCGGGATCATGAACCAACTCCTAGACATCCTTCCAAAAGGACCGAGAAACCAACCTATTCTGATACTCCAGTTCTTCCCCAAAAACAATTTTCAGAGCCTACTATTGAAAAAGACGAAGCAAAGTCGGTAGAACTTTCTCCATATGTTCACGATCAGTCGCGACAAACTAGAGAGGCACATGACACACAAAAGAAACAACCAAACGAACATGAAAACGATCTCAGAATGTCTCGCCCAGGTTTAACTATCTATAGTTCTCTGTCCGAGCCTACTGACGAGAAAGCAACAGAAATGTCAAAACCTTGGGAAAATGACTTTCCGCAGGTTGGACAGGGAGAACCATATAACATACATTCATACCAACCACCTGAAGATGAAAAAGCGGGTTTTGAATTCGACAGGCCAAGAGAAGCCTTGGAAAGCTCTCCTACAAGTAGTATAGAAGACCTTTCAGAAACGAGATACAAACCAAGGTTCGATATACAAGATTTTGTGGAGGAAGACAAAAGACGACAAAATGGAGTAGTAATCCAAGCACCACCAAGTAAAAAGCATAAAATGTCATCACCACATTCTCCGATAGACAATACATTGTTAGAAGGAGAGTTATATCAGAGAGAAGAAACTATCCCAGTTGCTGAAGAAGCAGAATTAGTCAAGCCATCATATCAACCTAAATACGAGGTTCATGATTTCATTAAGCAAGATGTGCAGAAACGATTGGAACCGATCAAATCTACCAGTACAAAAGATTTTGTATTGGAAGAAGAGCCATATCAATATAGTGGACTAGATGGACAAGGTGACATCAGAACACCTTATCAGCCGAAATACCAGGAAGGAGAAGACACACAACAGCCAAACAATTATGTTGTTCAACAAGAAGATGAATTGAAACCTACACAGCTAGATTATCAACCAAGGTATGAAATAAGAGAATCCATACGCCATCAACAGCCCAAGGTAGGCCGATCTTCAGAACCATTAGAAAGCGTTGAACCTCATACTAGAGAAGGTATATCTGAGCCAATTCGCCCAAACTATGAGCCACGATTTGAACTAATAGACATGGTAGCGAAAGAAAACAAAGTTAGTGAGAAGCCCAGTTATCTTGAGCCAGCTCAAACGATGGAGGTACCAACAGTTTCGATAGCCCAAGAGGGACCAGAACCATTATTTTACCAACCAAGATATGAAATAAAGAATTTTGTCTTAGAAGAAGAACCTGGTAATGCTGACAAAGAGGGAGATCACGAAGAATCGGACACAGACGATTCTTCATTCAATGATATACCAGAAACTACACAACCAACATACAAACCACGTTATATACTGGATGAAACACCTGAAAATAAGACACAAAAGGTGCAACCTACATTAAAAGAAAAGAAAGACATCCCTTTTGAATCGACGAGGGATGAAATTATCCAGTCAACTTATCAACCGAGGTATGAAATAACAGAATTGAGGCGAAAAGACGAACAAAAACGCCAGCAACACATAGAGAAAGATATTCCTGATGGATATCTGGAAAATATTCCAAGTCACCAGTTTAATAAAGAAGGACCAGAAAGTATAAGACCTGTTTATCAACCTAAATACGAAATACGAGATTTTGTGTTGGAAGAATCGCCAGATGAGGAAAGACAACCTGTTTTAGATGAACGCGTAAATACTACGGCTGTTCCTTTAGTCCAACAAGAACCAGATATAAGGGGTTCCCCATATCAACCTCGTTATAAAATTACCGATGTTGTGTTGGAAGATCAATTTGAGAAGAAAGCAAAGCCAATAAAACCTCTTCGGTTTAAAAATCGAATAACAGCTGCGGTTCCTTTTATTGAAGGAGAGTCAGAACTTGTTGAAGAAAGACCAGAACCGGAACATATTTCACCAGTTTATCAACCACAGTATGAAATAGGAAATTTCCTATTAGAAGGGCAAATGCATAAATCTGAAGAACCCAAACTTATCTCAGAAGAATCACCCGTTCTTGAAGAAGAATCGAAACAAACTCGTTCTTTTCGTGAACCAAAGTTTAAAATTGATGATTTTCTCTTAGAGAAAGAACCTCAAACCGATAAACAATATTATCCAGTGCCAGATGACAAGACTGATAACAGTCCTGTTCCCGTGACTGGGGACGACCAAGAATCTAACAGATTATTTCACGCGCCCAATTACGAAATTAAGGATTCTGTATTAGTCGATATGCCCGAATCTAAAGATCAAAACGAAGCACCTAAGAATGAAATGTCATTTGTTTTAGAAGAGGAGTCTGAGAGCAACGAAATGCCAATTTACCCTACTGCAGCTACTATTGTGGAAAAAGAATCTGAAATAAAGTGGCATTCTTATGAGCCAAAATACGAAATAAGAGATACGTTGGAGAAAGAAACTGCGGGTAAAAATAGGTTATTCGAACCAATGGAATCTCTCTATCAGCCTAAATACGAAATCAGAAATTTTGTGCAAGAACAACCGAAAGAGAGTAGAGCGAAAGAACAACCATCTAAATACCCCGCATCAGATGCCAAGACAACATTAGCTCCAGTGATTCAAAGAGCTCCAGATTCCAGACTTACGTATGCGCCAAAATATAAAATAAATGATTTTGTATTGGTTGAAGAACCTGAAAGTAAACCACAACAGCAACAAACACTTGTGTCAGACCAGATCATAGATGTACCTTCAATACCACAAAGCAAACAACAAACAAATTTTATTGTCGAGGAACAGCCTGAGAATGACCGTTCTACAAAGCATGCTGTAAGAGATGAAACTATCAGCCCTGCTTCAGTACCTCTCGTTGAAGAACAGCCTAAACCTACTTACGCGATTCCTCGACCAAAAAGTGTCAGAGAATTTGTATTAGAAGAAGAACCTACAAAAAAGAATGTACGACAAGAGCCTGCATCTGATAAAAATATACAGGTAACTGTAGTGAATAACCTGCAGGAAGAGCCTGAAATAACTCGTTCATTCCATCAACCAAAATATGAAATAAATTACCTTGTGCACGACGATGAAGACCAAGAGCCAAATCGACTAGAAGAAGACAATATGAAGAGGTTGCCAGAACATCCGGTAACAGATGAAAGGGTAGACGTTACTCAAGTTTCCATCGTCGAAAAAGAACCCGAATACAATTACCAAGCCTTACTGCAAAGAAAAATGAGAGAAATTGTGATAGAAGAGGAACCTAAACGTGAACGTGCACCCGATGAAAAAGAGAATGAGACCCCTGTAAATAATCTACAGGACGAACCTGAAATAACTCGATCACGACATGAACTAAAATATGAAATAAATGACCTTGTGTTTGAAGAACAACCTGAAAATGAAGATTCGCCAAGATTTTCCGAGATGGATGGATATACCAAACCAGTTACCGTGCCTTTAGTTCAAGAAGAACTAGAGCAAAATCGATCTGTTTACCAGACAAGATATGAAATTCGTGATTTTGTGCTGGAAGAACATGCAGAAATTGGAAAACAGCTACAAACAAAACCTGCCGACATAACAGAATCTCCCTTAGTGGAAGAAGAACCGGAAATTAAACACCCAGTTTATAAACCAAAGGAATTTGAGATAAAAGAACTGAAAACAGGTTCTATAAACAACGCACAAAATAATTCTGGAATGACTCGGTCACTAAATCAGCCAGAATATGAAATAAATGATCTCGTGCTGGAAGAACCAGAAAATTTAAGATTTTCTGAGACGGATGGTGATATAAATGGATGGAGAAATCGAATAGAGAAAGAACCAAAGTATGAGATAAGAGATTTTGTTGTTGAGGAACATCCACAAAACAACGCAAGACCTGAACATCCCGTAATAGATGAGAAGGTAAACAACGCTGAAGTTCCTATCGTCGAAACTATGGTTGAGGAACAACCTGACTTTTACAGACCATTTGAACCAAGACATGAAGTCAAAGCTTTTGTATTAGATGACGGGCCATTAATTGAACGAGATCAATCGAAACCACAAGAGAAAACAAAGACAGATGAAGTACCTGTATCTTCGAAAGAACCACATTTTACCAGATCTGTTAACAGTCCAAAATATGATATTCCAGACTTAGAAACACAGAACAAAGTTATAGAATTTGTTATCGAAGAACAGCCGGAACCTGAAGGTGTTCCAAAACATTCTGCGACAGACGAAACTGTAGAAACAAGTACAGAATCAATGGTTGAGGAGGAACCGGACTTTTACAGACCATTTGAACCAAGAAATGAAGTAAAAGCTTTTGTATTAGATGACGGGCCATTAATTGAACGAGATCAATCGAAACCACAAGAGAAAACAAAGACAGATGAAGTACCTGTATCTTCGAAAGAACCACATTTTACCAGATCTGTTAACAGTCCAAAATATGATATTCCAGACTTAGAAACACAGAACAAAGTTATAGAATTTGTTATCGAAGAACAGCCGGAACCTGAAGGTGTTCCAAAACATTCTGCGACAGACGAAACTGTAGAAACAAGTACAGAATCAATGGTTGAGGAGGAACCGGACTTTTACAGACCATTTGAACCAAGAAATGAAGTAAAAGCTTTTGTATTAGATGACGGGCCATTAATTGAACGAGATCAATCGAAACCACAAGAGAAAACAAAGACAGATGAAGTACCTGTATCTTCGAAAGAACCACATTTTACCAGATCTGTTAACAGTCCAAAATATGATATTCCAGACTTAGAAACACAGAACAAAGTTATAGAATTTGTTATCGAAGAACAGCCGGAACCTGAAGGTGTTCCAAAACATTCTGCGACAGACGAAACTGTAGAAACAAGTACAGAATCAATGGTTGAGGAGGAACCGGACTTTTACAGATCATTTGAACCAAGAAATGAAGTAAAAGCTTTTGTATTAGATGACGGGCCATTAATTGAACGAGATCAATCGAAACCACAAGAGAAAATAAAGACAGATGAAGTACCTGTAGCTTCGAATGAACCAGATTTTACCAGATCTATTAACAGTCCAAAATATGATATTCCAGATTTAGAAACACAGAACAAAGTTATAGAAATTGTTATCGAAGAACAGCCGCAACCTAAAGGTGTTCCGAAACATCCTGCGACAGACGAAACTGTAGAAACAACTACAGAATCAATGGTTGAGGAGGAACCCGACTTTTACAGACCATTTGAACCAAGAAATGAATTCGAAGTAAAAGCTTTTGTATTAGACGACGGGCCATTAATTGAACGAGATCAATCGAAACGACAAGAGAAAATAAAGACAGATAAAGAACTTGTTGGTTTAGAAGAACTAGGTATTCCAACATATCTTGTAACAGATAAATTGGTAAATACCTCTTCCGTTCCAGTTGTTGAAGTAGAACCAGAACCTACTTACTCGGTTTCTCAGCCCAAAAAGATTAGAGAGTTCGTATTAGAGGAAGAACCAGAGAATGAGCGACGACGAGAACTTCCATTTGATGAAAATGTGAATGTAACTGCTGTGAAATTAGTTCACGAAAAACCAAATGATTCTAAAAGTAAAGATAAACCACTGGAACAAGGGGTAAAAGTTTCTTCACCAAAAGAACGAGAACATATTCGAACTTTATACCAGAAAACATATGAATTAAAAGATTTTGTTTTGATTGAAGAATCTGAACAGTATGAAACAGCAGTAAACTCTCCAAATGAGGAAAATATTAAAACGACTGCAGTTTCTTTGGCTGAGCAAGAACCAGTGCCATTCGATGTTGACCTTTACCAAAACATTCGACCGGAAAAGCCGCTCAAAGATGAGGGCGCACAGATACAACCCAATACACTTTTCGTGACATTAAGAGGGCGAACAGAACCATATGAAATCACTGTCAATGTTGATGGAACATCAGAGTTAATAGATGAATCGTCGCAGGAAGAAACAATCATTGATGATGAGCCATCGCGTTTAGATATTGATCATGCAGATGGTGATCAATCTGGAAAGGTGGGGTCAGGTTTTATAGACAATCTACGAAAAATGCTATCACAAAGGTATGAAAGGGAAGAAAAAACTACAGTGATTATCGAAGAGGAATCAACACGCAAGATTAAAGTTAGTCCACTCGAGTCGATGGAGCAAATAGGGACACATGGCCTTTTGGGCATCCAAGAACCAGAAATGGACGAGTATTCTGTAGAAAATGTACTAGATTTGGAAAATGTGGAGAATGTTGATGAAACAACCGAAACAGATAGAGCAGACAAGAAGATTACTTTATCGATTGCAGCGAACGAATCAAGATTTGAAGAAAAGCCAGTAGAAATAATCGAAAATTTGAGAGACGGAATACCGGCATCAGACAAGCATACAGAAGAAATAGGAAACAAAAACGTTTACAATTACGAAAGAGAACTTGAAATAACTAGTATTAAGACAACGCCTGCATTAGATGTTGACATTGAACATTTCGAATCAGAAAATAAGTCAAAAACAAAGGAAATAGCACCTCAACCTCCAGATGAAACATCGCAAGACACAATTTCAACTGACATTGCAATTGAAAGAGAACCCGATAAACCAGTGGGAATAAATATTCAACTCATAGATGAATTACCAGAGCCTGTTAAGTCAAAGTATGACGGAACAGAAGAAATTAAAGAGCTTGTTGTTGACGAACCTGGACATTTCAAGACACGAACAATAAATACCACAACCAATACGTTGGCAAGATCGGAATATCGAGAATCGGAAATAATAACTATGACAACTAGTGATTTTGTCGAAAACGTACCACGAGAGATAGGAGAACAACGATTTGTAACAGAGGTGGATATTCCTACATCCATTGTTGAAAGTGTAGTTAGTGTAAACAACGAAGGAGAAACTGAAAGAGAATTAATCTCCCCTCATCAAACAACTGGTGGAATAACAGTTGACCTTGTCGTCCATGAACGCGAGCTGACGACAAAAACCGAAAAAACAACAATTGAAAATGATTTTCCATCGCAGTTGGTCAAACAAAGTTCACTTCGCGAAGTTAATGTGCGGGCAACTGCTGTGGATAGTACGGACGGAATAATGCAAGAAATAAGTGGTAAAGGCCATGAAAATATCGAATTTGAAATAAACAACAAATCTGAACTGATGGATCAGAGACATGAAATGGATAAAATTCATGGAGAGACATCTATTCAAAAAGAACCAGTAACAATCTATCCACTGAACAGACCAAAAGGGATAACCGTTCAACTTATAGATGATATACCAGAACCTGCTACACCAAAGTATGTGGGAACAGCAGTAATTGAAAAGATTGTTGTTGACGAACCTGAACATTACAAGAAACGAACAATACATACCACAACCAATACCTCAGCAAGGTTAGAATATTATGAATCAGAAATAACAAATATAACAACTACTGACGTTGTGGAAAACATACCACCAGAGAATGCAGAGCAACGATTAGTAAGAGAATTCGAAGTTGATGTTCCCACAACCTTTGTAGATGGTAGGCCAGGCATGGTAAATGAAGTAGTTTTGATGAATGCTTATGAAGATTCCGAAGATGCAGCAATTCATCTTGCGCAAGATATACCCATACCAGGTAACACAGAATCTTTCAGCAAAACCATTACACGAGACGAATTTGAAAAAGTTGACATAGTCAACAATGAAGAAAGTGAAATTATCACTATTTCGTCAGGAACATCAAGTGTTGATCACGCAGAGGATATGACGAACATCATACCCAGTTATCTAACAGAAGTAGATCATCCCGCTCTCCTTAGTACGGAAACTGCTAGAGCAAAACAGGAAATGAATCAGCTAAATGAAGAACCATTCGGGACGATAATCATCGATTCTGTTGAAAATGTGGAGAAAAAGGAAGAAAGAAGTGTGGAAATCAAAACCTTGACTGAGCGTCATGAGTCAGGACATGGCTCAGGAACTATCAGCACGTTAAAACCTTTGGACTTCGGTTATGACCAGGAACATATATATGCTCGGGTTAACAAAGAACAACTAAATATCCATGATCGAACAGAAGAGTCAATGAAAAAATCTGGAGAATCTGTAATCATCAATCATTATCCAGGAACTACAACCATCGCCACTATTGACAAAAATTCCTTACGTGATGAAGAAACTGAAAACATTGTAACGGAAGTTGAGCAGAAATTCGTAAGAGAAATGGATAATCAGAATTTCCTGCAAGAAGAGATATCGCGAAGTACCGATATAACAATAGATGCGTCGCCCATAGAAATAAAACAACCAGATCAAGAGGTTGTCTGGATGACAGTTCGTCAAAGCAAGAAGTTATTTGCCGCAGGTGGTAGTGAAAGAGTTATAACACTTCCCATTGTGAATAAATTGCCTTCTGACAATCTCTCACCAACAGATAATTTAGATTTCGATCTAGAAAATGATGGAGAAATGTTTGCTCAACGTCATAAGCAAGAGGCTTCAGGTGAATACCACACCAGCACACGTGCCATGGAACTAGAAAAAATGGAAGAAATTCCAGTAACAGAACGAGAACAGCCACTAGAGCATTCACCAGACTACTCCATAACTGATGAAAATGTATTGATGGAATCAGGGAAAGTTGTTAAAAGAGGAAGCGCGAGAAGCTCCGCCTCAAGTAAGCATTCTCAGGATCCAAATTTGTCTCGTGTGCCTACAGCGGAAAGTGACGTCATGGGAAGCGAAGAAATCTCTCGAAGATCCGTGAGGGAAACTCTTCCAGTGGCTGACGGCACGACAACAGAGAGCAATGTTTGGTGTACTGTAAAACTGAAACGCTGGGAAAGTGATATACGAAGAGTGAATTTGTCAAAGCAATCCAGAGGAGATGCTTCAGAACTTTCTAGCTCTACAGCAAGTATTGACGGTAGTTATGAGCGAGATACCCCGAGAGGACAAAGTCCAAATTCAGAATTTTGCATGAAATCCGAAAGCACAAATCCCTGGATTGATGTTAGACGAAAACACAACGAAGATATGACTGCATATGCGTTTGGCAACAAAACAAAGAAAGATAGCAAGATCGTCAAAAGGAGTTCTTCACGCAGTACAACAAACCATGGTGATGGAGAATCGATTGGATACAGCATGCAGATAACAGCAACTGATGATGGACCGCTAATGACCCAAGAAGATACCTTCAGTACTGTGGAAACCGAAAGCACTCAGAGTACAAATATGGGTGATGTGAAAACTCTTCCATGGATAGAAGTACGGAAGCGAAATTCTATCAGACAACGTCTAAGCTTTAAAAAGAAAAAGCATGATGCCAGCCTGAAAAATGTTTCACACGCATCTGATGGGGAAAATCGTCTTCTTCTTCTCAAGATTCCACGTACAATGTTGCAGGAAATGGAAAATAATGAGAACATGTTGGACACAGAAGTAGAAATTCCATGGATGGAACTTGACCAGTCAACCGGTAAGCTCAGGGCTTTAAATCCCTTCACATTTTGAAATGTAGTAGAACTTTTATATCATATTATATTGCATTATCCAATGAAAAATGATGCGATTATTTTTAAATAGCGTTTACTCTTATTTCTTTTTCTCCAGTTGACGGATATGAATTGTCACCCTGAGTAGTCACTATTTTTACCGACAGTGGAGATATAAGATATAGAATTCACATCCTGCTTGGTGTGTACTTTAGATGCATGCCCTAATTAATCTAACCCAGACGTATATAGTGTAAAAACGTTAATATTGAACTGGAAAATATGAAGGTAACCGATGTCGTATAGTGTCGACATAACTTTACAATCAGTAAGGTAAGCCTCACATATCGATTTTTTCCACGAGAAACGTCATATGTTCGTTTGGGGGGGGGGGGGGGGGGGGGGGGGGTGGCAGCTGTGACGTTTCTCTGTAAACATCATGGAAAAATTCGATAGTTTTTATCTTTGCAGAATATAAAAAAGAAAACAATTTGATACAAACAGCAGTCTATATATTCGTAATACCATACCTGTTCTATAATACCTATACATTTATATTATTACGCCTTCCTTGCATTGAAAACACTCAAATTTCAAGAAAAACGCGCTAAAATTATCAATATTTCATGCAAAAAAGTTGTTTTGATAAACGTTGGAAATTTTGAAGTTCATATATATATATAAATAAAAAAGAGTATGTCAGCAGAAGATGACATATTCCTCGCGGAAGCATCTCCAATAGCCGACCGAAAAAAATAGTAGAAAATTACCTTATGTGTACTATAAGAACAAAATATCGATAACTATGTGTGACGTTTCTAAGGGGGGGGGGGGGTCTCCAGAGAAACGAACATATGACGTTTCTCATGGACAAAATCGATATGTGAGGCTTCCCTAAGATTGATTTACACTATGATTTACATAGAGCAAAGAGAATTTCACACTGGTTACCATGATTTGCACACGGTATCTGCAACCAAATGAAAATCAGGCTTTAATTAATCGTGTACGTAGTTGTAATTGAAGCTCATACAATAATTATCTTTCCAACAGGCGAGAAGCAAGGCTTACTACCATGGGTGGAGTTGGCTGACCAAAATCAACATACCCAGACTGATCGTATACTGATGTTAAAAGTCTCCCGGCATATGATCTTGAAAGCGTCGAAGGAATCGACGGGTGAAGAAAGTGAAATTCAACTACCTTGGAACGAAGTGGTGAGATATTGGGAAGAAACTGGTCAGATCACTCCAGGTTCTTTATCAAGTACAGAGAGACCGGGATCTGCGAACATCGCTATTACCTTCCCACGTGAATCAATAAGTGAGAGTCAACTTCTCGAGGAAAACCCCAACCTGCCTAACATGAGATTAATCCTCCCAAAGAAATGCTGCTTGGATGGTTCACTGAAATTCAAACCCATGATTACGGTAAATGAAAAACGGAACATTAAAGTACGCATCAATAAGACAGTGAAGAGGAAACACGATTGGAACACTCTGCTTCGTTTAAGTAATTCAGAACGCAGAAAGAAATATTCGCATGCAACTGAACAAGATGACTGGGTTGTTCTAGCAGATGGTACAAAATGGTGGAGACTTCAAGTTGATGATATGGATGAGTTTAATAAATTACAACCGAGATCAGATGGACAAAAGTTTGAGAATTGCTTTGAGATCAGTAGTGAAGATACAGACGAGAGAGAATCAATTGATTTCAATGAATTTACAAAAGAACTAGGGGCTAAAAAACAAAAGCAATTCAGCTTTGTAATAGACCCAAAGAACTTTTTGTCAAGCTCGATGAGTTTCTAATATAACAATTCAATATTATACATATACTGATATAGCGATGCAACAGTAAGCAACCAGATTCACTTTTCACAAACGCAGACCTTTTACAATGATAACTAAAAATTCGAACGGTCACCCTACAGTATATTGCATGTTTACTAGTACTGCTTACGGTAAATGAATATTACGATTAATTAAGTGATTTCAGACGAAAAGGAAATTTCATCTTTCGATCAAGGTAAAAAAAATTGAAATTTTATAGATGAATTGAACCTGTATCAACTCGCTTGTGGAATTGTGTGCAACACCATTCACTGGAAGGGATAACTGTAGTTGAAAATGATGATTGTGATTGCTTACGAATTATAAACTGCCGTAACGAAAATACCTACATTATTTTTATAGTTCTAGTGAGTACGTATATAGTGTTCACATATATATGAATAAGTACGCATTGATATAATAAAATATCAAATTAATAATCTTAATTAATATTATTCTTATCTATTTCAGTCTGAATATTTTGCAATGGTATATTCAACATATAACGTTAGTAATCGCATGGCCCCTTGCGAAGCAGATCGTAATTATACTGGTTCCTGTATTCTGTAATACTTCGCTATGTAAGTTTATTGTAAGGTTTATACACACCACAGATGCCAATGACAGTGCTACAATCGTACATAATGTACCTTGAATTAATATATAATAAGAGTAAATGGGTAAATAGCATGCCAGTGGCGGTATTAACAGTATTGGTTGTATTAAAATCATTTTCATTATAAAATATATGCATTATACGTTTTCACTGATTATTTATATAGTAGTTTAAGTTTATAACAATCCATATTTCAAAGCTTATACCATGGATTGTAAAAAACAATGTTATTTTACAATCCATGCTTATACTATAGCCTACGTTTCTGAGAATGTCATGAGGAGCGATGCATGGTGAATTCTACTGTATTTAGTCTGAACCTCTCATTGCAAATTGGCTCTCAATCGAACGGCACTACTAGTAGTAGTCTGTCATTGCTTTTGTATGTTTCACTCCTGGCGAAAATAGATGGTTTCACAAAATTACATGACATTGCATAACATGCTTTCGTTGGTAGGGATGCAACTACCTGAAAAATATAAGGAGAATTTCGACGTTTCAAGGCCTTCCGTCTGTTGTTACTATAGCCAATTATGAGTTACGTTCCTACACAAGAATTTTAAACCATGCAACTCATTTTTTTCCAATAAACTTTACTTAATAATTGAAACTCTTATATTTAACATTGAAGAGAAGTGTACCCATTATTCTTCTCTTTAGAAATCGGTCATTCCAAAAAGCAATATGCCAATAAACATTAACTAGCCTTGCTTCGACAGGTGTAGACTAAATGGAAATTAACAAAAAAATGCCAGAAAATTCCAACTTGTAAAATTTAGTTATGAACTTATGATATCCTTTTCCACCATATTATAAGCCAATTAAATACTGGACATTCACAAACATACTGTACAACTTAGAACAGGTTTAGCTAGCTCTTAAACAACTTGAATACTGTGAATATTGAGTTCAACTACAGTATTTGCAAACAATTGCAGTGTATATATAACAGCAAGTATTCCACATTATTTTTATCTATTTTACTTATCAGTACACCACAGTTCATTCACCGAGTCTGACAAAAGTCCTTTAGGAATGTGGTATTCAATAAAAGCATTACTCTTAGTGAATTCTGTGCACTCGCCATCAAACAACGCTTCGTATGAAGATTCAAACCATTCTGAGACATCTGTTTCATTTTTACCAATTGGTTTTTCAAGAAGCTCAACCAAACTTTTGATCTCAGGATAATAATGATGCCTTAGTGTCTCTAGTTCCCACAATGAACTTTGCAATGCTTCACACTGGCTTGGATCTGGTTCATCTTCTTTAAAAGGATCAGGTGAAGTTTCGTTTTGGTCTGCCAAATCTTCTCCAGTCATTTGGACATTCTGCATTGAAAAGTGCAATATATAAAAACATATCACAGATGATACTGTTTGTTGCATGAACAGTCATGAAACCTAAAATTTGACTATGTTAAACTTAAAATTTATTATTTCCCAATAAACAAGAAGCATGATGCAATGAAGCACAAAATTCTTGGTTAGTTAATCCATGAAGTTAAAATCAGAAGTACAGTACAGATCTGAATGACAATGTAGTTTTATACACTTAGATGCAAATAACTTGTACATCTTTCCTCTGCCTGCTTTGGTCCCATATTCACTCATAGACCTGTGGTCTTGCCATCAACTTTTGACACTCAATTAAAAAACTTAACATGGAAATTAACATAATTGACTACAAAGTCATTTATTCAACTGGTATATTTGGCCTGCTGCAATAGTATTGAACTTGTGAGACCTGTTATAAAGAATTGACAACACCACAGACATGTGAGTGAAAACAGGACCTGCAAACAGTGCAAAGCTAGGCCCCCCAAAAAATACCTGTGGTTCTGGTTCCCGACCTACCCTATTTTTTCTGCTGACCCTATTATTTTTTTACGCCATTGACCGTGCAACCCTATTTTCGCTGGGTTGTTGCGGGCTCCTCATACAGCGTGTCAAAATGGCATCTGTTGTCACAATAATTATTGAACCAAATTGCCTAAATTCATCCATAGGAAATATGCATCTCTAGTTAATATTGATGTCGGGACTCTACTGCAAATCGCCCAGAAAAAAAATATGCCAAAACCATGAAAAAAATATTCAAAAAATTTATTTCCGACCTACCGTCACCGACCCTAATTTTTTCACGATATGAAACCGGAACCACAGGTATTTTTTTAGGCCCTAGCAAAGGTTATTTGGGATAAATGAGATGTAAACAATGACCAATTACACAGCAAGTAATTTATACTTTTGAGATACTTTACTAGCATTTTATCAAAAAATTTATTGAGTTGTGTTTGTTTTCTATAAAAATGTTGTTTATTCTTCCCTTGCTAGTACTTGCTTTGTTTTTAGGCTGATTATATTTTAATTTTGTTACTTTGTGGCAGACCAAATCCTATTTTAACTGATTCAATCTATACACAGGACTTTCAGCAGATAAATACAACAGAACACATTCCAAATATATTCAGGGTCAATTTAAGGTGCACAATGGGCACATCGATTTTACATCTTGCTAATTTCCACTCTTAATTTGTATTTTATACTTCTGAACAGTATTGAGTAATAAATACAAACCTTCTCTTGTTTTCTGTGAATCAGGACCTTGCAATTAGGATGTCGTCTAATTAAATTTCCAACAAATGTGATAATTAGTGCTACACCATATGGTGGTGCTCTTAACGCAAGCCTTGAAAGTCGTTTAATGAAAGCTGCAACCAGATATGCTGGCAAATGGGTTGACATCAAAAACAAGTCAGCAAGATAGAAAAACCGTGCACGATATTTCAGATGAAATATTTCCGCATCAAATAGACTGTACAGCTTTTTATAGAAATCTGGATAATCCAGGTTATACTTGTGTATTAGCACAAACAAGCTGTTTAGGGCTAGAATGCTGATCACACCACCAATGTTGTAGGAGTCAACCAAGAAATCCATCAGTATTTTTGGATCAATAAGGTGAGGAATAACTTTGTCTTCGAGTTTAACCAAGACTTGTCGATATAGACTATTATCCAGTTGAAGACTGAGGAATGACATCCATGCATCAGTGAAAACTTTCTTGTATGAATTTAAGTTCATTACATTATGGTTAATGATGGGTTGGTTAGCTTCAACTGGTTCAGCCAAGATCACAAATAGGTTACCTAAATCTTCTTCACATTCAGGTATGGTGATTAATGGTAAAAGACGAAACACGTTTCTGGCAAAGTGGAGACCACATTCAGTGGGCGTCCCATCAGTAAATTTTGAAGTGATTTTGCTTAAGTTTCTCAACATGTAATAACATATGTCATTATACTGAAGGTAAGGCTTGAAAAATTTGACTACATTATCATTGCTGTACAAGCCATCTGTCAAATATGACACAATTTTTAAAAATAGATCATTAGAAAATGTGAAGTCTGGAGAGTTTTCCTGCAATTTCTGGCTCTCTGCTTTAAGAAACATCATTAATGTTGTCAAGACTTTCTCTATGACTTCAGGATTAGGAGATCGCAGGATTACCAGCAACGTATTCACAGTTAGAGTATAGTTTTGACTTAACCAATGCTCAAAGATTTTCTCTGGTTTGTCAGGAATTTTAGACTTCTTTTTAGAGACTTTTGATACTTTCCTGATTGGGCATGTCCCGGATTGTATCAATTTGGAGAATATTTTGCACAAACCATCAACGCATTCCACAACTACAGACACATCTTTGCTACCTAGTCCTTCTATGATATCTACAATACCGTTTACTTTACTACGATCGGCAAGGACCTCTTTTATTTTTCCTCGAAGAACGACTTTTCTACCATTTTTGTCCGCCATTATGTAGCACGTGTTTGGGAATGAAATGTATTATGCATGGATATTGCAGGACATAGGAGCAGCTCAGGGATAAAATGTTACGAATAAATAGGGATAATTTTGTTTGTTGACAATGTACCTGCCACCGTTTGGCACTTTTGGCTGCATATTTTAAAATGTTTATAAAATTTTTATACACTAAAGCGAGTATAATATCGCCAAAATGTGGGAAAATAATTGAGAATACTGACTGATTCATTGTGCAAATGAACAAAAAAAACGACAGGTGCGTATCCACTTGAAATGTTGGGTTTCTTCCCATGATTTGTACTCCTTGTGCTCGTTTGTGAGTCACAAGACTTTGTGTGTGACTTCTCATTTCTCTGACATCTAAGGCGAAGTGGCGGGTTGTATTTGAGATATTTTTCAAGTTTCGAGTTTCACGTTAATTAAACAAAGCTTCACTCTTTTAGTATTTATGCTACATTATGTCATTTTCTACTACTGTACGTGTTTTATTTTAAACCTTTTAAGTGTAAATTAAGATAAATTAGATAAATAACCGTCTTCTGTTCATTGTTCAATAATAATTACAATAGTTCCTAAAATGTTTATTTCTCTGACAAACCTTGGGCCTTGGAAATGTCAGGTTTGCTTGTATTTTCAGGATGATGAAAACTAACATTCAATTGGAATATTGGATGATCCGACAACTATCCTAATTCCTAAAGCTAAGGAAGCTTGAAATAGTTTGCATATTTCTTACAAAATATATGTTACAAAGTAATATTTTATGTTATGTTTTAGGGTTGCACCGGATAGTGCTTTTTTCTATCCGACCGGATATGCCGGATAGTTGTAAAATATCCGGCCAGATATTCTGGATAAAAATTCATACATGCCAGAGAGCAAAATTAAAACTTGCATGTGCTGTTTAAGACCATGTCAAGTCCGTTCTGGACCCACAGATATAATGTACGAGGCAAATCCAACCGCGATCAGGCCCCCCGGGCAACCCCCGGGGAATTTGACTTTTGAAAAAATAATTGGTCAAATGGCCGCCCGAACAGGCAGAAACCACAGTCAAATGCCCTGCTATAGGGGTAGTACTGGTTCTGGAATTTTGGCTAAAATTAAATTGAACAAGTGTTTCCACCCGATTAGCGCGTTTGACGCCGGCTGACAGCCGGAAATTTTGTCTCCGATTGCTCGGCTGTCAGCCGGGCTGTACTATAGTACATACTGTACTATTCGTTCAAAAAATGCGCGCATTTTGGAGACTGGTTCTAGAATGTTTCATAAGCAGAAAACCACCAAAATTACATTAAATTTTCCGAAAATCATCGAAATGCATCTAAATTCATCTTTCCAATGCATATAGCTAGCTATGCGACAGGTAAATAAACAAGAAAAAAAAAATTTAGGCAAAAAGAAAAATTCAAATTCGTTTGCGTGCATTCCGGGACCGAACTCACGACCTTCAGCACACACGCTGAGTCTTGTCCCTCTGCGCCACCACGTCTTACACGGAAAATATGTTAATTTATTGTATATATACAGGTTATTCTTAGCCAGCGCGATTAAAGATTGCGTAAATATGTACACCATCGTACACGGCCAAGGGTACAGTAGCAGCCGAGCCGTATCTACACTTTAATACAATACTTACAATACATCGCGGCATAGATCACGGCTTCCAGCCGGGGTTATTTAACTGTAATACAATACTACCATGCAATACGAGTGTCAGCCATGCCTGTTGGTAGTATACTGTAGTATACTACGATACTTCACGGCTACCAGCCGACAATACGGCTATCAGCCGGGCCTGTCTGTAGTATACTATAGTATACTACAATACATCACGGCTACCAGCCGGGGTTATTTAACTGTAATAAAGTACTACAATGCAATACGAGTGTCAGCCGAACCTGTCGGTAGTATACTGTAGTATACTACGATACTTCACGGCTACCAGCCGACAATACGGCTATCAGCCGGGCCTGTCTGTAGTATACTATAGTATACTATAATACATCACGGGTACCAGCCGACAATATGGCTATCAGCCGGGCGTGTCTGTAGTATACTATAGTATACTACAGACAGGCCCGGCTGATAGCCGTATTGCCGGCTGGTAGCCGCGATGTATTGTAGTATACTACAGTATACTACCGACAGGTTCGGCTGACACTCGTATTGCATTGTAATATTTTATTACAGTTAAATAACCCCGGCTGGTAGCCGTGATGTATTGTAGTTGCTGCCGAGCGTTAGCGAGGCAGCACACTAATCTGTACACGTGGTGTGCGTACCACGTGACCGCCGAGTTTATAGCTGCTACAATCTCGATTTATGTCATTTTGTCATCCACGGACGGGCCAAAACTAGCTGTTTTGATATTATTTTTTTGTTCCCGGGGGGTTGTTCACAACATGGCGACTATTATAAACGGACAGAAATATAATCATAAAATAATGCGAATTGCCATAAAATTTCGAGTAATATCTGTGAAGATGAATGGGTAAATAAAGCATGTTGTTATTTTATATTACTGGCATGAACGATGGACAATATTTTGAATAATTCAGGTAAGGATGGCTTTATTTCTTTCTCGTGTAGTCGTGTGACTCGTGTCGGCCTGTTTGGTGATATACAAAATGCATTTATATTTAAATCTGCTGTTTATACTTGTTTAGTGTATTAAACTTCGATATAGAGGTATTGAAACAATATGATTTCAAGAATATATCGGCAGTTTTAATAATAGCCCACTGATCTACTTGTCAATATAATGCCTTTATATTGATACAAGGAGTCAAATACTCAAATGTACTTTTAGTTTATTTGTTTGTTATGTCACTTAATATATAGTGCAAAGGCGATGGGTTTATAATAGTGTTCAGTACGTTCCGTTTCTAATTCTAGATGTTTATAGTATACAAGCAAACGCGGGATGTTGTTAAATCAGGCTTACTATAACAAGATTCCTACAGCAACCCAATTATTTGTTGTCTGCACATATTGACTTACCAGCAATTACATGTGATCAGTGATGTAATATAGCATGTCAAGTGTCACTGACTATTGTATAAGATATGACTGTCTGTTTATATATATAAATATCTGAGATATGTCCATTGGCATTGTTTATAGCATAATATAG